AGTAATAATATATATATAAGTCTAAGATAGTAGTAGTATATAAGAGTACTTTCTAGTTAATATAAAGAGTATATAGAGATATATATTTAGATCGTCTAGTACAAACTCCTAGAATATAAGTAAACAAAATATATAAATATATATACTAGAACTAGTACTAGGGTACAAAAAGTCTATAATAGTATAGTAATAGTATAGTAACAGTATAGTAACAGTATAGTAACAGTATAGTAACGATCCGGTATTATAACGGTATTGTAACGGTATAGTAATAGTATCTAGTATTTACTATTGTCGAGATAGTAAATAGTAGAGAACTATAATACAGAGTCGGTAAGTATAGAGTAAATAATAGTTTTTAGATAGCTCGATAGAAGTAGATACAAAGGAAGAAGAAAAAACATAACCTGCACTCGTAATTTAAACTATGCACTCGTTCCGTCTTGGGATGCGTTTTGAATGCTTAGTCAGGAGTGCGTAGAACCTCAGAACGAGTGCGAGTCAGCGCCGCACGCCTTCCTCGCAACGTTGCAGCTTTCAGTTTCACCTCTCACCAGAGAGTCTCACGACATGATGCCGAAGTGAATTGAAGCACGAATCGAACGGACGGCGAGGTACAGTACATGCCACCACCCACACACTACCTGCTGCTATCCTTGGCGCGTCACACGACTAACCCACTCTCCCCCCTCCCAGCAAAACAAACAACCAAACAAACAAGAAAACGGATCCCGATGATGGAAAAACCAATCACCGAGCTTAAACAGGACGCATGGTGGTCTCTCTCTCTTCTTGCTGAGCTGCACGTAACCGCAAAACTTGCTTTTGCCGAGAAACAAAGCGGAAGACATTGTATAGCTTCACTGCTTTCATCTCACGCTGCGGGTGCGCGGGAAGGAAGAAGACTTCGTGCCCATGACTGAGCCACAGAACAGAAATCCGAGGGAGAAAGATTCTTGCTTTTGCTTTGGCTTGTTTTTTGTCTTGCTTGCTTTCGTTCTTTTCGCCCCCTTCTTTCACATCAACATCAACATCCGCACGCCTCTCCAACGGACTACACAACCCCCTTTTTTTCTTGTCCTCCACTCGTCCCCTTTCTTCGCCATTCTTTCTTTCTTTTCTTTTTTCATGCTGAGCAGAGAACACCCACAGAGACGGAGAAGCTTTGACATCAAATTTTTCCGCAAAAGAACGTGTCAGCAACAAAATGGTGTATCCTATGACCGACAAAAGACTGAATCGAGCACTTTGCGGAGAGAGAGAGAGATGATGGTTTTCCAGACTTGTCCCTTCAGTGGGATGGGAAAGGGGGCCGTTTTTCTTTTCAATCTCGCGTGCGATGAGACTTCAAAACACAAAAATGATAGTTTTCAATCGGAGGGCACCTTGCTCCGTTCTTATGCGGGATTTGTTTGAGTGTCTTTCGACGGTCTGTTTTGATTGGTCTCTGTGAGGACGCATGGGGAATGAAGAAGAAGAAGGAGAAGAGGGGGAGGAGGAGGAGGATGAAGATGAAAGTGTGGTTGTGGGGACTTGGGAGGCGCGCGTATGGGTGTGTGGTGGACTCGATTTTTGTTTTTTGTCTAATGATGATTGAAGCGATGATGAAGATTTTGTCTTCGTTTCATTCCAAGCCAAATATGATGGCAGCCGTTCTGTCATGGAACTGGTTGCTCTTGATGGTACCATACGGAGAGCTAATCTGAAGACAATGCAAAAAACAAAAAAACATCTTGGCGTTCATGTGGTTGGTGTAATCGCGAGCTGCACAGTTTGTTCATAGACAATATGCTCTGGCATGATACTACATTTCTACCACGCTTGCTCGCTTGAGTAGGTACGATTCAAAACAGAACCAAATATCGGTCAGTGTCTTTTTGTTTCCTTTTCTTTTGCCCTCAGAACCTGTCCCTCTGCTTCGCGCGGTACATGGTGAAACCGACATAGCCCCCTACCACGACGAGACCAAAGATCAGGAACTTCATGAAAAACCAGCCCCAACCTCCGCCTTCACTGGCATCGCTCTTCTTTCCCGGGAAGAGCTTGCCGCGATGCTTGTCCCTGTTTGTAAACGTCGACGGGTGCTGTCCCGAGGGCGAGTACAGGTTCTTCGTCTCCACACTGATAATGTCGTGGTTGTCCGACAGCTCTCCCGTCTCCGAGCTGAATCCCAAATATGTCACCGTCGGCAGCTTGACGTCTGGGACCTCAAAGCACGTCGTCCACTCATCCTCCTTCTTGTACATCAAATCCACCTTCAAGCCCTTTTCGAGAAAGTACCGGATCTTCGCCTTGGTGGGGATCTCTGCATTCCGCAGTCCTCTCGCCGAACATCCGGCCAACTCGTTGGGTTTCCCATCCGTCTGCCCATCGTACGTCGTTTGTCCGTCTCCATTCATGGCCATGACATAGGGGAAGACCACGCCAGGTCGGTTGTTTTTGTAGGTATCGAAGAAAATGGCGAGACCTTCAAACTTGTCCTTCATGCCAAACACCGGTCCCATCTCTGCCCGATCTTTCGTGATCCATACGGCCATGCCGTCTCCGAACAGACTTCCTGTACCATGAATTTTGAACTCGAACTCGACCTCCCAATTGTTTGCCGTGAGTGGCACTCGACTGAACAGCCAGCCGGCCTGCGAGGGGTAGTTGCCTGTGAGTCGGATGTATTGGTCTGTGCGGATGACGGTGCTGCCTCCAAAGTCCCACCAGCGCGACTGCATGTCCTCGTCGACGTATGGCTAGCGGCAAAAGTCAGCGGGAGTTTCGTGCAAAAGGTTCGCTATGCGGGTGTGGCCGGCCATACAGCTTGTATGCTGTGCGTCCGTAGGGGTATGGACTTGATGTCGGACTCATCGTCGGGGTTGAGGGCTCCAGTGAAGCCAGTCCATGCTGCCAGCAGTACGGAGGCGACTCGCGTGAAGCTGAGGAGTGCCATTGAGGGAGGAGACGCCGTCTATGGCTGGGCAATCATGCGCGTGCTGTTGCTGTTGCTGTTGCGCTGTTGGTACGTGATGGATGTGCCTGACAGCCTAGCAGCAAGGACAAGCCTGCGGGCGACGCCAGGAAGTGAAGGAGAAAAGGGCGTGTACAGGAGAATACGAGAGGTGAGGCGTGGACATCAACGTGAATGAAATCGGCATTAAGAGAGCGCATTAAAGTGAGTAGAACAGCTGTCGACAGCGGGTCGGAGAGCCATGACTAGGCTAGGGTCTGCCTGACGCCAAGCCCTATCTCGCTCTCTCCCGCTCTCGACTTTGCATGTGAAGGCATCTTTCGCTGGGCATCCCCTTCACTCACTCACTTACTCACTCACTCATGGTAGTCTTCTCCTGAATATTACCGTCCCGCGACCAACATGTCCTCGTGGCTCACAGATATTGCCGGGTCACACAGAGTGCAGCTGGGAGTTACCGCTGTCCTCTCGGGAGTCCTCGCTGCGAGCGCTGTGATCGGCCTGCAAGAGGCCAAAAGACGGTACGATGTACACGACTTAAAAGACACGATTCCGGACTTGAAATCGCCACACCAGGTTGGCAGAGTAGGTGGGGACATCGGAGAGTGACTGCAGGCCGCTAACTGACCACAAGCTAGATTAACCACATCGGAGGCGCCGAGCCAGAACACCACGAGAAGAACAGAGACGATGAGAAAAGTGCAGCGCTCGCACGCAGAGCACGGCTAGGAGACTACGATGAAGCTCTCGTCCTGGAGCAGCTGGCTCGAAACCGCGTCTTCTTGACAGATGCTGGTCTCAAGAGCCTCCGGGAAGCATTCGTGGTTGTTGTTGGATGTGGCGGTGTCGGCTCACACGCTACAGCAGCCCTTGCTCGCTCTGGCTGTGGTAGGCTGCGATTAATCGATTTTGACCAAGTCACCCTTAGCTCGCTCAACCGTCATGCAGTGGCCACTCTTGCTGATGTAGGAACGCCCAAAGTCAAGTGCCTGCAGAGACGGTTGGAGCAAGTCGTACCTTGGACGCACTTCGACTGCAGGAATGAGCTGTTCAGCGAGGCTGTAGCGTCGAAGCAGCTCTCCTCCTGGGAAGATGGTCAAGCGCCGACGTACGTGATTGATGCAATTGACAACATTGATTCGAAGGTGGCCCTACTGCACTACTGCAAGACCCACAGCTTACCCGTCATTTCTTCTATGGGCGCCGGCTGTAAGTCCGATCCGACACGAGTCTTCATTGGAGACATTTCTGTCTCGACAGATGATGCCCTGGCCGGTAGCACCAGGCGGAAGCTTCGCAAGCGTGGCGTCAAAGATGGCATACCTGTGGTCTTCTCATCTGAGAAGACTGGACCGGGCAAGGCTCAGCTACTACCACTCCCAGAGGAAGAGTTTCAGAAGGGTGCTGTGGGCGAGCTAGGCGTGTTGCCTGATTTTCGTGTGCGGATCTTGCCAGTGCTGGGGACTATGCCGGCGGTCTTCGGTCTATGCGTTGCAAACCATGTCATGCTGGAGATCTCGGGCTACCCACACGAATACCTTCCGAACAAATTGCGGGAGAAAATGTATGAGGGCATCATGGGACAACTGCAAGGCTTCGAAGAGAAGGTCGCAAGACATCAAGGACTCGATCCGATCGGGTTACGGCTACCAATCACATCTGATGATGTTGGCTATCTAGTCGAGGAGGTCTTCCATGGTCGGAGTGCAGTCTCTGGCCTTGCTGCTCGGCTGGCACTGGTTCGATGGCGAAGACCAGAGGGAGCCTGGATTGACACGAATACCCCTGGCCAGAAGTCAGACGTGCTCAAGCTGGAGGACTTGGTCTGTATGACTAAGGATGAGGCGACAAAGCATGAGCAACTGGTCATGAAGGAGGGCAAAGATCCCAGCGAAATTTACGCTCCAGCAGTAGTGGAATTGATAGAGAAGCGGCTGGAAGAGGAGCGCCGCATCACGCACCCGTAGTTTCCAGCTTCGACACTGTCTCGGATGCTGATGAAGGTTGGTGAGTCAATTCACTTTAGCGTATTCACTGATCTCTGCGAGTGACGAGCTCAACTAAGATCATCAAGCAGTCCACTTCTCTTCTCCTCCTCACATGCACCGTGCACAAGTACTTGGTAACCATTCGAACTTCATCTTCCGAGCATCTCCCTAGTGTGCCTTTTTCACTTCCGTCTTCCCCGGTCCAGCATATCGATGGCGACACATCGTCGCCACTCCAACACTGCTGCGCACAGCGTCCTTCCTCCTGCGACTTTGAACGCAATATTTGTTATGAGACAATACCTGGAGTAAGTCATGTCCAGGCAAGACGCATTTGTGCATGGAAATACTCACGTTCCTCACAGCGACCTCGAATCGAGAAGATTTGGGGCCACATTTCTCTCGGAGTGACATAGACAAATGCGCTGCAGCAATGTGCGGACCGGACAAGTACGCACGGTATCTGTAGCCGCTGCCACAATAAGTAGCGGTGTACTTGGCGTAGCTCAAGCGAATTGGGAGCCGATTTGCAAGACCTGCGACCAATAGCGACCTACAGGAATCTGCAGAGAGTGTAGCCGTTGCTGAGTAGAGGCAAGGCACGGCAATCGGGCAATCAGTGCTACCACGAGCAGGAGAATCGAGCTCGACTAGCCAGTCTGGATAATGGAAAAGCCTTTACATATACCCTCCAGGAACATTGTCTGCCACTTTCAGTGGTTCGTGCATAGCTCTACTTTGCATTAGCCGCGATGAAGGACAATCTCTCCTTAATGGCAAGCCCGAGTCCTCACTCACGCCAAGTAGTGAACACACTAGACCGGGTTCTTGTAGTATTCACCTCTCTCATTGACAAGCGAAGCAGCAACATTGGGCGACTTTCAGCACATTCAAAAGGGTGATCAAAGACAGCTGACAGATCATCTCCTACGTGTCCCACCAAACACTTCAAAACATGACTTAGGAGGTGGGGTAGATAGAGCCGGAGGAAAAGAACATTCAGCCAAGTATATATGCTCATCAGGTATATGTCTAGGAGAGTTGTCAGTCAACATTTACACATGGAGGATGCCCTAGATAGGTAAGTAGGTAGGTAGGTTATTACTCACCACATTCAGCAACCACATGATTGCCAACACCAATACCACCCGGTTCTTAAGTTTCGTCGGCCACAAGCGTAGCTTAATCGATAGCACTTGCACAGCTACTCGCTGCAACCACGATCGTCTTTGACCAAATTTTTCTCCGTACTCTCTGCCAATTTCAATCTCGTCGAATTCGTCCTCCTCCTCCCATCCGCCGCTACTTCTTGTCGCAGACCCAGCGGCGCCAGCCAACAATCCCATTTCCACCTCATCTTTATTCCCCTCCCCATCGCGACCCCATACTGCTGCTGCTGCTGAAGAAGAAGAAGAAGAAGTAGAACCAGAAGAGCCAGAACCTCCCTCCTCCCTAACAAACCACTCCGCAATCCCGCCCGTCGCATCCCCAACAATTCTACAACCCACCAAATACCCCACCGTCACCACAATCAAATCCCTCCACCGATCCCCCCATACCGTCTCATCACCAGCGCCAGCGGCCCCAAATATCCCCGTCCGCAACACCGCTTGCTGATCACCCGCGAGCCAAATATGATCTTGCAGCACGTACATTTCACCACTGTATCGCCCCAACCAGGCGAAAATGGTGGAGTGGTGAGAGCGTAGCGCGGGGTGTGCGTTGCGTAGGATCGTGAAGGAGAGGATCGGGAGGAAGGTTATGTAGGGTTGCCAGGTGGCGAAGGGGCGTTGGTCGTGCGTGCGGAAGAGGTGGGTGTGTGTGGTGTGGAAGAATAGGGGGAGGGTGAGGAGGGAGAGGAGGATGGCGAGGCGTTTGAGGAGGGGCCACAGGTGGAGGATTAGATTTGTTTTTCCTCTGCTTCTGCTGAGGGATGGGGGGTTTTGGTGGTGGTGGGGTTTCGTGCTGTCGTTGTTGTCGTGAAGAATGCTGATGGATTCTTCTTCTTCTTGTTGTTGTTGAGAAAGAATGTCTTTGAGAAAAATGTAGAGCATCGCGGCTACCATTCCCACATAGACAATATACTGATCCACCTGTACACGGTGATGGAAGAATTCATTCGTGTCGAATTTCATTTTGCAGGTGATGACGAAGAAGCGAACGACAGTTTCGGGGAGATCTTTGGTCGAGAGAAAAGTGTGTACCAACCCGGCGCTGAAGGCGATTTTGAAGAGCAGGAAAAGTGTGCGATGGTTGTACTTTTGGCCGATTGCGAGGGTGGCGTAGACGATGAGGAACCAGAATGTGGAAAGGGGCCTAAATAATATATGTGATCGGATATGATGCACATGGTCAGCCAAATACTCTCTCTCTCTCTCCCTCTCCCAATCCAGGGAATATCTCTCTTTCAACTCACATATAATAATAAAGCAACCAATTCGTCCTCATCACATACGCCAACGTACACGGCAACAAATTCGTGCGAATCAATACATTCACCAGACGTTTCAAGGAGAAATCCCTTTTTTGCAAAAAATACACCGTGTGTCCAAATCCCGTCAAGAATAAGTAGGAAGAGACGCATAAGCGGATGATTTGCCAGAATTCGTCGTACCAAAATGCCATGTTGTAATGGTAGATGATGATGAGGAGTTGCATCCAGCCTTTCCATTCGTCGGTTTGGTCTCGGGGGAGGAATGGGAACGATGGGGAGGGAGGAGGAGGAGGAAGAGGAGGGCTTGCTGCTGATGTTGCTGCTGTCGCTACTCCTGCTGCGGGTGCTGCTGGAAGGGGTCTGCGTGGTGGTGGAGGGCCTTTGCTGCGGCGAATTGATAAAACTCCAATTACTCCTGCGATGATGATCATGCTGAAGAGATTGAATTTATTCAGAGGGAGACGAGTAACTTGCTCAAAGACGTGCGTTCGATCGGCGACGTAGGATATTGCAACGACGGCTGTGAAAGCACTCAAGGCTCGAACCCCTGGACGTGAGGAGTCGGAGAGAATTTCGTATTTGAAGTCTGCGGAGACGATCGCAGGGAGAATAGCGATGGAAAGGACGAGAAAGGTGGTTTGAAGGAGATTTGGGGCTCGCCAACTGCCGCAACATGTCGCCAGGTTGGGAAATGCCCCTGTGTTCGCTCTTCGGGCGTTGCAGCGGAGATTGAGTAAGACGTCTACGCGGCGATGCGAGACTTCGTTTGTAACGAAGACGCCGTTGCTTTGGTAGACATTCTGTCGTTGGCCATTGGTCATTGCTGCAAAGCTCCAGAGGACGTCTAAGGTATTGGTGGTGCTCAATTCTCGGAGACTCTCGTCCAGTTTGTCGTACGGAAGGAGTTTCTTATTCTTCTCGTCATCACTGTCTGATCTGGAGCTCATTGAAGGCTTCTGCGGCGGCGTGAACAAGAGCAAGTCTCCCGGTCCGGACGTATAATCGATCTTCGATCCATGCAAGCTCCGTGACCCAGGACTAATGGCTGTAGATGCGAGGCTTTGGACCGTTGCGATATACTCTTCGGTTCTGTTGTGATCGATGGCATAGTTGGCAGCGCCCACGACCATCAACATCGGACGGTCCTGTGGCGCGTTTCCCTGAGACTCGATTCGACTGAGCAGACTACTCCCATTGAGGTACGGATCGAAAAAGTACCTCAACTGCACATGGTCCTTTTCAAAAACCAGATCCTTTTCTTCGAACGAAGGCCATTTATTCCCAAAGCCCACGCGCTCCGCAAAGGCCCAGTAAGTACCCTGAAGATGGATATCGCCAGCAATGACAATTTCCCGCTTCTTTTTATCAGTGCACGCATCCACATCCGCCCTTCCGTAGTGAGCGGTCGAGCACCCAGGAATGAGCCATTGACGAAGGTCTTCCTTGAACCATTGCCCCGAAGTCACCAGCGCATTGCAACGGTATGGGTCGGAATCTGCAGGCAAAAGAAATTTGAAAATCAGCGAGATCATACGGGAGTCGGGATGTAGAAGTTATGAGGAGTGACCTTACCGAACACGATATGCCGGAGTAGGATTCCTGCTAATAAAACCAGAACCAGAATGAAAGGCACTCCGCTGAGTTTAGATGCAGCGTTGGGCCAGGATTTAAATATGTCAGAAGCTAGAGGCTTCTTGAATGCATATCCGAGCGCCATTTATATATGTATATATACATGTAAACAAACAGAGTAGGGTGTTCATAACAATGCGGGTGGGTGTAGTCGACAAATGGAACACACAAAGGTCAGGTCACATCCTTTTTTTAGTGGCTGCTTCTTCTCAACCTTTTGGACGCCATGGGCTTGGAAGCAGAACTAGTTTATCGAGAGCAACCGATTAGCCGTCTACGCTTCTCAAAGCCTTTGGAGTCCAGTTTGGGGGATAGTTGGTTGGACCCCAAGTTTGTGCGTGTGCCACTTTCGAAGTAATGAAGAATAATCCAGATATCATGCCCCCTAATTTACAAACAATAGCAAGGGGATAAATGGTGAATGTGGAGGGGCGTATATGGCAAGCTTAGAGCTCTAGAAATTCGAAATTCTTTGCAACAGCGGGTGGGCGGACTGGCGCTCTCTCGGTCTTCGTCGGTCACAATGCGCCAGATGGCCTTCATCGTAGGCCGTGCCGCATGGCTGCAAGCAGTGTTTCACTTCCAGTAGACATACATCATCTTGGTAACACGGGGTTATCAATGGTATTGTAGTAGTAGTCGTCATATCCCTCACGTACAAACATACAGTTCTCGCCCGAAAAGAACGAGGAGACGACGCACCGCTTTCTGTTGTTGTAACAAGAGTCTGGTTACATCCACCCTCTTCTCGCGCAACATTGTACACTCGTGGTGGGCAGAGGCCATAGCTGCTCAAATCTTGCAGCGAGGCTGTTTCATCTCTTTGAGTGAACTCTTGGGTGGTCAGCAGAAGAGGCCACCCAGCGCATCTTGTGGAGAAAGTAGGCGCGACGAAAGCGAATAGCTATGCATCAATCTGGACAAGCAGCAACATACATGAGAGATTTCCTTTTCCCCCGAGGGCCGAGGGGTCAACATCCAGTCACAAGAGAAAATGGCGAGCAGTGGCAAAGCTCGCGGAGAGCGATTGGGATTGTTCTAATCACGCTTTTCTTACAAGATGTTGTTGATGCCTTCATATCCAAACGTCGTCATCTTCGTAATCGCCCGTTTTTGGAGCATTCAAATACTTTTCGAACGATCGGCCTCGAAGCGCCGTTGTTGATCCGCCTTCTTTCGAGCTTCTATAAGGATCTGGCTCAAAGGAAACTTGACTGTATCCTTGGATCAGTCGTCGGATATAGCACGATTGCGCAGCCCGCGTCAAATACTTGTTTCGAAAAGTGTTCAGCGAATTGGCAATGATCGTTTCGGCCTGATCAGGATGTTCGAGATAATGTGTCATCTGCGTCTCCAAGTTTGAGAAGTTCCGGTGAACGGGAATGTAATTCTGCCGCGGCCCGTCTGGTTGAAGAAGATGCGAGTACCAGACGATCCAGTTCAAATCGTGAACTACTGGCAAGGAGTTGCACAGCAGAATGAACTCGAGCCTACCAGAGTATGATATGCCTTCCGTGTGCGCAAGTGCGGCATACTTGCACATCTCTGCGGGCTTCATCTTCCTCCTCTTCTTCTCCGCGGTGTCGTCGAGATCTGTCCTCAAAACATCTGCCCACGGCTTTTTCTCAGTCACCTTCAGTAAGGAGCCTCTCACGTCGCGCTGTACCCATTCACTTCCGCGCCACACAAGTTTCTGTATTTTGTCGGAGAATGGTGCGTCGTAGGACATGGCTCTTCTGCGTGCTTCGCGATAGGTGCCGAACCCGCGGTCGTACCAGAAATCGAAGTTGGGCATCAGCCAGAGGCGATCGTGGCGTGGTTCAATTTTGAGCCTGCCGACCATCCATAGGGAATGGTTGTCCAGCTTGCTATAAGGCTGCACCTTGTCCATGAATGCGATCGAAGCTTCAATCGTAGGCAACATCTCGCCGCCGGCTGTCGCGCTGTCGATGGCACGCTGGATCAGCGACATCTGGCCCACCGTACGCTCGTGATAGCGCCAGTTGTCACTGGACTGCCGGTCTTCCAAAATGCGCAATTCATTTCCGTGAATGAGGAATCGAAGGGCTCCATCTTGCTGCCATGATACGTTGACAGTCTCTGGTGTAATCAAGTGGTCCTGGTCCTTCCAATAATTCACCGCCCGATCGACTTCGGCATACAAGTCGGGAAAGTGTGCTGTGCACTCGGCAGCGGTCAGACCATCCAGCTGCTCGATGTCGTCCAGGTCGATTTCCTGGTCCGCTCCATCCGAGGCGAATGAAGATTCTGTCCAGCGGCTGGTCGTCGTGCTCCAACTCCTCTCCCGCAGAAGCACGATGGCAAGGAATGTGGCAGCAAGAAAACACGCAAACCTCCACGGCCGCAGCACCATGGTTGCGTGAACACGGCGTGCTTCCACGATCTGCTCTGCTCTGGGTGCCTCTCAGCGAAGATGGAGTGACAGCATCATCATGTGATTGCGTGGTATCGATGCTGATCTTCTACGTGAAGTGGCGGCGCGGCGCGTACACGGTCATTTGCCCCGCGTTAATCTTGTGAAGGCCGTCCGGTAGTAGTGAAGAGCAATCATCATGGTGTTGATGATTTGAGCCTCGGAGTGCGTTCCCATAGGACGCCATGTCTCTTGTGTTCCCCCTATTCCCCTTGTCTAGACGTTCGTCAGGGTGCGCTGTGCCGTCCGGAGTCCTGGGCGGCCAGACCACTCATCACTGCAGAAAGCGGGACAGGAAAGGAGGGTAACTAACGCCACACGCGCTCGCCGTTTCTCGGTATCTTTTCACAAGCAACAACTTGGAAGCTTAGGAGGGGAGGTAGCAAGGTCAGACTCGACTATTGATGGCAAATAGTCGTGGACACAGGGATCTCGGACTAGTGTCCGCTAAGCGAAGCCATTAGCCTTACTTCTATCTGGACTACGCTCGAATAGTTCTACGCACCTCATCGCTTTCATATGTCAAGCCACATTTCTGCACCGCGGTAGACTACTCGCGGTATGCTCCGTATCTGTTGAACAGTCAACACCCTCGATGAGGCCGGCAGTTCCGCTCAGATGGGCTCCGTAGCCTCTGTGGCTTGAATTACATTATCGATCGTGCGAATTGCTTCGCGTCTTCCGGAGCCGCAAACCTTACAGGAGGTGCAAGAGCAGCATGGAGAGGCAGAGGAGCATTTGTAGATTGTGTGTAGATGGCACACTCACTCTAGGGCGATAGCTGCTCGCAGTTTCACGCTAGCCTCAGTTTTCTGATGATCCTCTGCTGATCCAACTTGGAGACTCTCATCTTGCGATACTGTCGCCCGAGACGTCCTTTCTATACACATTGTCAATATGAGCGAAAAAATGGCTTTTGCGCACAGTGTGCCACCGTCTGTCACATGGAGGGATGCTCGAGGCAGTCGAAGGGTATGGTTGACTGCCCTGGCAGCTCTTCTGGTTCTGGGGACCCTATATTCATTCTCCAGCCATCCGATTCCCTCTATGCACGCTTCGGACGCCCTTCTGGACACCGTGATGAACGAGACCCTTGGAGTAAGTGAGACATCATCCCCACCACGATTGTTTCTGAACTCATCTGATGACTGAGCCAAACAGTTCCAAAAGATATTCGTCATCAACATGCATACGCAAAGAGATCGCCAGGACCGGATGCTACTGGCTGCGAAACTGTCGGGGATCAAGGTGGAATTCATCGATGCAGTCACCACAGATCAAGTGGACGAGAACTTTCGTAATATTGTTCCACCTGCGGACAAGGGCTTTGATGCCAAAAAGCTAAAGGACAAAGCATACGCGAGTTGGCGGTCGCATGTGAATGCTATCAAAGCAATCGTGGAGCAAGACTTGGGCTCAGCTTTGATCTTGGAGGACGATGCCGACTGGGACGTGCGCTTGAAGACTCAGTTACGGGACTGGGCTATTGCGACGCGGCAGCTGGTGCAGCCTCGCATGGGAACTACGGACCAGTATCTGGATCCCACCTACTCCAGAGCGAACTACACCAAGTACAATGAGCCCATTCAGAAAGGATTGAACTACACAGAATGGGACATCCAGAGTCCTCCTGGCCAGATTGTACCGCCGACCGACTGCGCCTATGGCGATCTGAGTCGCTGGGATGTGCTCTGGGCGGGACATTGCGGTCAGCGGCTTGCCATGCCCGGTTCTGAATGTCTCAAGACCCCTCTCGGTCGAGTCGCCATGTTCGACGACGAAACAGCGGTATCAACGCAACACTTTGCCAATTACTGGTCCGGCAGCGACTACAAGAACACGTACAAGAACCATACCCGCCTCACGTCTTGGTCTTGCGCCCAGGTGTGTAATACCGCCTACGCCATTTCCAACCAAGGTGCCAAGAGGCTCTTCTACGACTATTCCATGAAGAGATTCGATGGTATGGCGGATGCCATGCTGCGGCAAATCTGCGATGGCACTCATACGTTTGATTTGAGGACGTGCTTGAGCGTCACTCCGCCACTGTTTAATCAGTACGCCAGAAAGGGTTCTTACTTCGACATTACCCCCAACATTCGATGGAGCACGTTGAAGAATATCCCTCAACTCACAGAAGGATCGACGAATTTCATTGAGTCGTGGCCTGATAATTCGACCAAGCGCGGTCATTGAGTAGGCTCTCCTCATATAGATACCTATATATGTATTGACTTATTAGCGGGATACATTTCCAGATCACGGACAACGTGAGGTTTTTTGCCACTTTACTCGTGCCAGGTTTCTGCAGCAGCGACGGGCTTTGTTCATGTGGTATAGTATCTCAATTGATTGCAGAAACCATTTGCATTCTTCCCTCGCTGTCCTGATACGCATATCACGTGATCTGGATGTAAGGTATTCACTCTGAGGATTTCGGGCGCGAAACACCTCTGCGCGCTTATAGCGGATAGCATGGATAGTTCCTGCGAGCTGCTTGATGAGGTGCTCATGGATGGGAGCCTGAGTCGCCAAAAAGATTGCTGCTGGCAGCATAGAATGACAATTCTGAGAATAATGATGCCAGCGCACAGAGTCGCAGGCGCATAGTAGAAGGTGACTCTGGCATGGGGGCATCATCGCGCTCTCCAATGCGCGTCATTCATCCCATGGTGCGCGCGCGCGACATGCTGAAGGTTTCGCGTTTCGTGGGTGGACTGAGACAAAGGCCCGCGAACGATGGGAATTCCCAATTCCAAGAGGTGAGGTCAGACTGTATCAAGACTTTTGCAGTCGACACTCTCCGGTCTCATGTCCGTCCGCAAGCTTTCTCTCGACATCACATCATCATACCGCCGACTAGTTCTACTCTCATGGCGCCCCTGAAGCAACACCATCTGCATGCATAGCGTGGCGTCGCGTGGCGTCGCGCGCCGCGTTTGATTCGAGCCGACATGCAGCGCATCGCACCGCTCTTCAGGAACAGCGCCCACCGAACAAGGCCTCGCGCTACCGCCCGGGCCCGATAGCAGACGAGATGAGTCGACGACATCCCCGAGTCCCAACCAGACGAGACAGCATGGCCGCCCGGACCACAGCGCGCGAGGACGGGGACGAGGGATCGAGGATGAGGTGAAGGACCATGAGTCTACGACAACGCTCCCCAGGGCGGAAGCGGGGCCGCCTCAGAACCAGATCGCCCTCTGTCAGACATGCTCTGCGGCTGGCAAGTCAGTTCAGTGATGCCGCGAGAAGATCAGTTCAGTGTTCCATACACTGGCTGCTATGCTGTGACTGCCGCAGATCATCAACTCTTGTCTCGGCGCGTCAACCATGGCGCTCACCCACGCGCGTGCCAGGCTGCTGATGGCGCGAGCAATTCTTCTGCCGCCACAACGAACGGCAATTGGAGCGGTACAGGAAATGAACGAATCTCAGGAACAGACTACTCTAGCCCGGTAGTGATGGTGGTGGTGATGGTGATGAGCTTGCAGCGCGCTGCACGCCTTCAGCCTCGCGATGTGGCTACGTGGCTAGAGCTGCAGGCTGCGCTCCCGGTCCTGCACGGACTCATAGCCCATCCCGTCTTTGGGCACGGCTCGTTCGTTTGGTCTGCATTTCTCGTTGTAGGAGTCAGCACTGCAAACTTTCGGTGTCGGGACTACCGAGCCATTGGAATTCCAGTCCCGGCGTGTCTCGGTCGTTGTGTTGCCGGTCTCACAGGAGTGACTGCAACGCGCCCTTGACGGCAGTCTTGTGCTACTAAAAAAACATCACTGGAAGTTTTCACGCTCGAGCAAACATTGCTGAAGGAGTCAGGACCTCATCGATAGCATGGCCACAAACGATGCATCAGATGCCGCGATGGCAGAGAAGCACCTGCTTGAGATGCAAAACCTCCTACAACAGAAACACTCATTCCAAGGTGATGAACCCTATGAGAAGAACGCCTCCACCGCGCTTGGCGGTGTCAAGTCATTGCGCTCCCGACTATGGTGGCCCAAGAGAGCCTCTCCTGCGGGACCTGTGAAAGAAAGGCCCAGCAGTCCTGCGAAGGAGCGTTTACGACGAACAGCATATCTCGATGGCCTACGTGGAGTCGCAGCACTACTGGTCTATTCTCTGCATCATCAGAACTGGGCTCGTGCGAATGTGGTCGAGAGAGGCATCCTCGAAAATGCCTATGGCTGGGAGAGGCACTATTACTTTGCAACTTTGCCAGGGTTTCGCGTCTTCTTCTCGGGCGGTCACACCGCGGTCGCCATCTTCTTCGTCATCTCCGGATATGTGCTGTCTGTAAAGCCATTGGGCATGATCATGGGCGGACCGAGTGAAGCAGCGAGCCTGTCCAGGAACGTGGGTTCTGCACTGTTTCGTCGCTGGATTCGACTCTACATTCCCGTATTAGCAACGACATTCATATTCATGACATGTTGGCATCTGTTTGGAATCCAATCAAGCCACCCTATGGCGCTCAAACCCGAGAAGACCTATATGGACGAACTGTGGAGGTTCTATTGCGACTTCAAAAATTTCAGCTTCATCTTCTCGGAAAACACGAACCACTACAACGACCACACCTGGTCTATCGCAATGGAATTTCGAGGCTCGATCGTGGTCTACACCTCTCTACTTGCACTTGCTGAATGCGCAACAAACATGAGACTCCTGTGTGAAGCAGGCCTGGTTTACTACTTCCTGTATATTGTGGATGGATGGTACTGCGCACTCTTCATGGTGGGCGTGTTTCTGTGCGATCTGGACCTGCTACTACTATCGGATCAGGCTCCAAAGATGTTTCGACGGAATATCGGCAAGTGGTTCTGGTGGCTATTGTTCATCATCGCCTTGTATCTGGCCGGTGTGCCATCAGCCAGTAACGAAATCCGTGACCTCAAGACAGAACCTGGCTGGTATTACCTCGCCTACCTGAAGCCGCAGGCCATGTGGGATTTCCGCTGGTTCTTCCGTTTCTGGGCTGCGACATTCGCTATGATTTCCATTCCGCGTCTGCCAGTCAAGAAATTCTTCGAGACTGCATTCTGCCAATACCTTGGCAAGGTCTCATTTGCGCTCTATCTGGTACATGGTCCGATACTTTGGACAGTTGGAGACAGGATATATGCAGCAACAGGTCGACCACAAGAGAGCTCGTTCGCCATGGCACCCAACTGGATCAATCTTTTCCAGTTTCCGAGCTGGGGACCGTTCTGTCTGGAGACGAATTACCTGGCAGCCCATCTGATACTATTGCCACTCACTCTGGGAGTCGCTGAGCTTGTGACAAACCTTATTGATGAACCCAGCGTCAATTTGGCGCAATTGGCGTTCACAACAGCTACTCGGAGGCCCAGAGCATCTTCCGAGTGGCGCACAGCAAGTCAAAGAATCAAGTGATGGATAATGACGCCTCGCGGGGAATGTTATGTTAGCAAAGCAAATGTAATCGATGAACCACTTTCCAACAAACGTGATCTGCTCAGCACCGTTGAATTCATGCTCTGTACAGAGGAGAATGGTAACGCTCAAAGCGCGCATTCAGCCGAGCAAACGAAGCCTCCAATGTAATCATTCTGCGCTGAACGTGATCCGAGCATTATGAGACTCATGGCTCGTACAGAACAAGGCAGCGCAAGAAGCACACAAGCGAGCCAACATTGTGATCACCGATCAGCCCACGGGATGCTGTTGATTATTGTCGAGGTGGCTTGTGATGCACGGCCAGATGGTTTCAAGCCGGGGCTCAGCATCATGTCGAGTCGAGCGCCCCTAGATACGTATCTCAACGCAAAGAGAGTGCAGACGAACTGCGGGATGATCATGATAGGATGGACGGCTCAGCACTGCATCGTAGTAGCTACAGTAGCGTCCTGAGATGCAAACGGCAAGCCTAGTATATGGTCCGTGTTCACTCCGGCATGGACCAACGATCAACCGAGTTCTGGGAATTGAAATTCTTCCCAATTCGGATGGGGGATATGCAAGGACAAACCTTCGGAGGATTTCGATATATGCATCTATAGGCTTGCGCTCATCTGCTCTGTTTTCTTGCTATCGTTGTCCTGCGTCTGATTTTTGCACACGCCTTCGACCATCTCACCTTCGTTCACCATGACGATGTACAGCGTTCTGCTCCTGTCCCTTCTTGGGCTCAGCAGTGTGCAAGCAACATCCATCCCGGCATGCGCTGTAAGTGTCTCTCGTTGGGATAGCTCGAATGCCGCAAAACGCTAACAATGCCCCATAGAGCAGCTGTGTCGGTGATGCAATTGATGCCTCGCTGTGCTCGTCCGTCGACACTCGTTGCATATGTTCATCGAAGACATTCCTACCACACATCACATCATGCATTGAACTGAATTGTGAAGAAGAGGATCAAGCTGGTCCGTATCAAGTCTCTCGTCACATTGCTCGACTCGTCACTAACAAGTCGTAGAAGCCCTAGCACACACCCATTCATTGTGTGATGCCGTTGGGCCTCGGCAAGGTCTCCGTGCTCGTAGTGCTGAGCCAGAGCCAGCGCCAGAGGCTGAAGCTGAGCCAGAGGCGCATGCCCCACAAGGATATGGCCGCAAGGAAGAACACAAGAGGCCTGAAAAGCACCAAAGCTGGTGGGACAAGGCCAAGCACAAGGCCGGCTATGGGGACAACAGAAAGCACCACAAGGAGATCCATCGCCCACAGAAGCACCATGGGGAGAAGGATCACCCGGCCAAGTACCAGCCAAAGAAGCATCACAAGGCTGAGAAGCATCAGAAGCCTGAGAAGCATCACAAGCCTGAGAAGCACCACAAGCCTGAGAAGCATCACAAGCCCGAGAAGCATCACAAGCCTGAGAAGCATCAGCCCGCGAAGCACAAGAAGCCAAACAAGGACCACCAGCCGGAGCCTTACAAGCCAAAGCACCAAAAGCCGAAGCATGAGGAGCCAAAGCACCAGAAGCCAAAGCATCAGAAACCAAAGCACCAGGAGCCAAAGCACCCCAAGCCGGCACCTTACAAGCCAAAGCACCAGGAGCCAAAGCACCAGAAGCCAAAGCAACCTCAGCCGGAGCCCTACAAGCCAAAGCACCAGAAGCCAAAGCCAAAGCCTCAGCCAAAGCCAAAGCACCCCAAGCCGCAGCCTTACAAGCCAAAGCACCAGAAGCCAAAGCCAAAGCCACAGCCAAAGCCAAAGCACCACAAGACGCACAAGCCAAAGAAGCCCAAGCACCCCAAGACGCAGCATCCTAAGCCGACAGAGACCCCCAAGGGCTACCCAGCACCACCACCTCCACCATCTCGCCCGACCACCACTGAGCCAGCGAAGCCTTATCAGCCAACTCCCCCTTCGTATCCTCACCCCACCACCACCACCACCACACAAAAGAAGCCTCAGACCACCACTACAACCACACAAAAGAAGCCTCAGACCACCACTACAACCACACAAAAGAAGCCTCAACCCACTACCACAACCACACAAAAGAAGCCTCAAACCACCACAGAGGCCGCGAAGCCGTACCAACCAACTCCCCCTTCATATCCTCACACCACCACCACAACCACTCAAATAAAGCCTTCGACCACCACCACGCAGCCACAATATCAAACCACAAGGGGCCCAGTTTCGATGACGACCTCATTTACACAAACACGATATACCCACAGCACGCCGACACACACCGTGTGGTAATTCCCTGGTTCATAAAACTGAACTCTCGGCTCAGCGTTTTAAATTTTCGTATTATCATTCCCAGCGGAAGCGGGAGATTGTCACAAAATACAGGACAAAGGAAGGGGGCACAAATGTTACAGTAACGACGCGATGGAAAGTCCTCCCTCACACACACCACATACATGGGAGTGGATAGGGAATGGACAAAAAGAGTTAGAAATATTTCTCTCTTTTTTCTTCTTCTTCGGAAATACAAATCAACTTTTCATGTCGAAAGACAGTCAATCCTTCTCTTTTCGTTTTCCTCTTCTTCTTCTTCCCTTCTTTCCCTCGTTCTTCATTCTTCGAATCGAAGCAACAACCAACACTTCTTTTCTTCTTCACTTTTGAAAAAACATGTGTAAATAGTGATGGAACCTTTTTTAGGAGAGTCCGATTGTAGACATCTATATATCTGATTCATTTTAGTATCAGAGGAGAGTTCTTTTCGAAACAGTTGGCAAGGCAGATTAAACACCAACAACAACACATTTTTTGAGGTACAAAGGAATTGACTTCTACCACTTCTCTTGCACTACATCACAACAAAAACTAGAAGAAGAATAACAACAACAAACTACCTACCCTAGTAGTAGAAGAACCAATCCCCCAATCAATATATTCAAACTCATCCCAACCGCGCAACCCAGGGTCAGGATAGGAAACAAAACAAACAATCCCCTTCCCAGTCTATACAGCAGCAACGCATAACGCTGATTCGGACCCTTTTTTAGATAACCTCGCAACCGACTCGCAAAACCTCAGTGACTTTACTATAGGCAAAAAAGCTGAATCACGACGCCACAAACAAACAAAAAAGAAAAAACGGTTGATGCGTCTCGAGTAAGTAAGCGGATTTGGGGGGAGATGATGATGTGATGTGATGTTTACTTGGGATATCACGTGATGGGGCTTCAGGGGCTAGATTGGACGGGACGGGACGGGTATTTCCTTCTATTCACTCCGACTCCGATGGGTCTGGTCTAGTCAAGCCCTTTCGCTACACATTTGTTCACTTTTTCACTTTTTCCCATCCCGCGTCCTGATTTCCCTTTTGAGAATTCTCCGTGCCCGTCTCTAGTACTACTACCACCACCATCACCACTACCAACAAGAAAAAAAAAAGATAGGGTAGAACTGACCGTTCCATATCTAAAGTTTTTTTTTTCGCTTGGTTTCCAACGGTCAACGGTCGGTAGTGGCTTGTCTTGCCTTGCCTTGCGGTATTGTTGGCTGCATCACCCCCCGGTTGAAACTCTCGAGGCCAACAAATACCGCCTCAATGCAAGTTTTTATGTTGGTGCGATTTCTTTTTGGGGGATTGTGATGATAAGGAGAGTACAACATACTTACACGCCACTTTATACGCCACTTTCTACTCATCACAATCTCTCTTTCTTCTCTCTTCTCTCTCAATGGTAGGTGGGTAGGTTCTCTATCTTTTCGCTTTCTGCAGCTACTGTAGTCATGTCTCTCCCGCAGAAGCGAAAAAAGGTTGTTTGGTTTCGTACCTGAGTCGGTCGAGCTTTTCCAGTTTTTTTGGGGGGGTTCGCCGCGCACAATCACATGCATGCACGCACGCTAGGAGGTATCTCGATAGCAAGTATGTATGTATGTAGTAGGAGGAGGAGGTATAGGCGGGTGAGAATCATGATGAGTCGGTCCCATGCGTCGGGTACCTTTAGTTCTCTCTATCATTCGTGGGCGGCGTGAGACATGCCGAAACGTTCTTTTTTTCTTTTTCCCCTCCTTCACAAGATGGTGTTGTTGTTCTCGGGTTGAGACCTTATTCTAACTATTACTGGTGCAGCGCAAACGCCCCCTCGGAGTGGACGGACGATTCAAACAAGACAAACGCGTCAATCCTCTGTCTAGCTTACGGAACGACCGTCTTATCGGGCTCATCACAACATAACCCGCGTTGCCTTATTTGTGTAGCAAAGCAGAGAGTGCGGAGAACGAGCGAGCGTCATCGAGAGAAGGGAGATTGTACTATCGTTCCCTGGTGGTGTTTTGTTCGATTCCTTTCCGGCATCTTTGCTGCTACTGCTACTAGGCGATTATTGCAACGCCGTATCCCTCCAAGAAAAAAACCATATTCCGAATATGGCCGACGCAGAGAAGCACCGCGATAGTCTATCCCTAGAACCACACGACTACGAAAAAGTCGGCCTTTTGGCACAACAACAACAAAAACAGCAGCACGACATCGAGTCCCAAGCAGCAATCGAGACTCCGCACGAATACCAGGCTTCATCAACGAAAAAATTCCTCTGCTTGGCGCTATACTTTGCCCTCAATTTGGGCGTAACTCTTTCGAACAAGGCAGTTTTACAATCAGCACAATACCCTTGGCTCCTCACAGCTGTGCATGCGACGACGACATCATTCGGATGCTTCATTTTAAGGCGATTAGGAGTTTTCCATTGCACGAAATTGAGCTCGAGAGATAATTTGAAATTGGTGGCTTTTTCGTGTTTGTTTACGGCGAATATTGCTACTAGCAATGTTTCTCTGTGAGTTACCACCATCTCTTCAAACATTTATATTATTATTATCTGCTTGTACAATCAAGAAAAAAAAAGGCTATCAATTGTACTAACCAACAAAAAAAAACAAAAACAGCGGCCTCGTCTCCGTCCCCTTCCACCAAGTCCTCCGCTCCACCGTCCCCATCGTGACCATCCTGATCTACCGCTGGATCTACAACCGCCACTACACGCGTCAAATCTACTTAACCATGATCCCCCTCATCAGCGGCGTCAGCCTCGCGACTTTCGGAGACTATTATTTCACTCCGACAGGTTTCGCTCTGACTTTCACGGGCGTACTCCTCGCAGCCATCAAATCCATCTCGAGCAATCGCATGATGACGGGGACGTTGCATCTCTCTGCTTTGGAAATTTTATATCGCATGTCTCCGCTTGCTGCGGCGCAGAGTTTGGTTTGTGCGGGCATGATTGGAGAGGTTGGGGATGCGCGGAGGGAGTTTTTTGCGAGTGGTGGGAGATTGTTTATGACTGAAAAGGGAAACGGGTTTGTGATGATGCTGGTTTTGAATGCTTTGATGGCGTTCATGTTGAATGGGATTTCGTTTTATACGAATAAAATTGCGGGCGCGTTGACGATTTCGGTATGTGCGAATTTGAAGCAGATTTTGACCATTTTGTTGGGTATTGTGTTGTTTCGTGTGCATGTCACGCCGGTGCATGGGTTGGGTATGGTGGTGGCTTTGGTCGGCGCGGCTTGGTATAGTAAGGCCGAATTGGATGCGAAGCGGGAAAGGGAGAGGAGCCTCGATTTGAAGAAATAGGAGGATTTATGGGTTTGCGGTATACAGGTTGGATGGAGTGTGTGAGAGAGGGATTTCTAGCTCTTTACTGTAGTATATATGGAAATGAACTACCATGATTGTTATACTAAGTTCTTGATGATTTATATGCTAGCAGTAAGCAAGATCCTCCAACAAATCGCCCGCCAAAACATCCATAGCCGCAGCCCGAGAATCCTCAATTCCAAACGACAACCAAATCTCATCATCCACATGACCATGATACGTTCGTCCATGTTTTTTCCAACTCATACTCGTCAGATAAAACAATTCAGTATGTCCCTCTGGCATCACCTTCTCCGGATGACTCTCATATTCTTTCGCATGCGTCTCCTTGCTCAATTTCGACCGACCATGAATCCAAAAAGGTTTTTGCGAAATGGCGTAGAGTTCAAACGGGGCAGTTTGGCGAAAGAGGACGAGATAGGGTTCGTAGACGCTGTGGTAGTCGTAAAAGGTTTTGTGTTGAATAATGTGCATGATGAAGGTGTTGTCGTCCGAGGGTTGGCAGGCGCCTCGTTTGCACAAGGTGATGGATAGGGAGTTTGTGGCTTGGTGAATACCTTCCATTTTGGAGAGGGGGACTGGCATATATTTGGCCATGCAGAATTTGTCTTTTTTTGCTGCTGCTGGTGCGAGATCGTTGCTGACTGTGCCATCTATGTTGATTTGGGCGAACGACCGAGCGGGATATACGTCGTAGTGGGCATAGGCTTTTCCATCACTTGCCCAGAACACGAAGAAGTTTTTCTCAATGGGGTTGACAGGTGGCGGTCGATGCAGCTCCGTCGATTGCTTGAATAGTTTGTTGCCTACGGATTCGATAATGTGGAAGACGTCAAGCAGTGACCGGGCATCTTGTATCCATAGTCCCAGGCACGTCCATGTTGACTGTGAGCCGTACAGCACATAGGGCTTATCGGGCCCGTAGAACATCCGAACATCTCGTGGACCAGTGTAGAAGTTCAAATACTCCTTTCCGTCGACACATTTCTCGCTTTTGATGGATGGGGCCGGAGTCATCTGCCGCGGTTCAGAAGAGCACACCAGTACATCGTTCAAGTTTCCAAGTGAACAATACAGAGCTTCGGATGAGCTCAGCCCCGGATGAGATGCGACCACGACCCACTCATCAGCTCGTACCGGATGCGGGATGAGATTCGCATTATAGACCCAAATTCCGTCCATATGGATTGGGTAAAACTTGCGATTGCGTGTCGTCAAGGAGAACAGCTCGCGATAGTCGCCACGATATGGTATGGCCGTGGCGTTTTGGTCATAAAGATCCTCGTCGGCCTCATCCAGGCTCTCTTCGGAATCATTCTCATCTTGATCCTCTCCGTCGGAATCTGTCCACTCGTCGGTGTCCACATTCGCGAGCTTGGTGGCCGCGGCTCTGCTGGGCCTGGTGGTGGATTCGACAACGTCTGCGAGCTCAGCCACCACTTCCTGCTCGTAGAGCCGCACACGATGCACTCGTGACCGTTTGGTCGTCTGGCCCACTCCAGAGGATAGCACAGGGCCAGGATTGACCCAGACCAGAATTAACAGCAACGATACAAAAACACACAGCTCGATCCCGAGAACCGCCCAGGTCTTATGTCGACGTGGTCCCGCGGTGACTTTCCCCGAGCCATGGTCTCTCTCGCCGTAATCAGAGCTTGCCATGGGCGCGAGGGATGAGATTTCCACAATCAAAAGAGAGACGCTGGAGTATACCACGCGGACAGTCCTACAAAACCAACAAGTCCAGAGGTGAGGCTTCTCGCAACAACATGGCTTTGCCCGGTCTCCGAACGCTTCTGTGAGAAGCAGCCAGAAAAGCCAATGCACGGAAATCGATTGCAGCCAGCAGCCAAATTCTGGCGGCTGATCCCCACGCAGCTCTCTACCTCCTACTCGCACGGAACAGCAGCCAGAACTAGGCCAGGAACGGAAATGTGCATGTGAGTTCACTTTTCAAGGCTACTAAGGCTCGCACCAAGCTCAACAAAACGGCTAGTAAGTGTGATGAGGCCATACCCCATTCGTACTGTCCCTTTTCACAGATCTCTCATCAGCTCGCGCATGTGCCGGCCCCTATTCTTACCGGCGGTAACGGTCCAGAGTAATGGCATTGCATTTGCTGCTCCTGGTGTGTATGGGATGACCGAGACATTGGAAGCCCCGGCGGCATTGCGATGATCCGTCAATCTGGTCAGACTGGGGAACCCGGAATTGTGGTCTGGATAAGACACAATTATTTGAATATCTGGCGCGTCCGAGACCTGAAGAAAAAAAATCATTTTCAAAGCCATGACGATGGAGGCGTGTTCACATCACGCTGCCGATGATAATTAGTCCTGGGACAGACAGTGGAAGTGAAGTTAAAGTTGACGCGGTAGAGATTCATGTCAGACAGACATCGGACCGGGCCGTGACCATCCGGGCTTGGCGTGTGGCGTTTGCATCGATGCCCCTAGCAGAGAGCAGGGAAGTGAGTGAGTGAGTGAGTGAGTGAGTATCGCCTAACTTCCCCTAATCTCCCCTAGTGAGAAAAGGGAAAACACGACTTTTGGAATTGAGCAATGGCAGACACGCATACCTCTAGCCACCGCTCGGTACTCTTTCACGTGCCGATTAGTTAATTCTATGGACGGCTGGGGGCGACACGGGCAAAGACTGCTTTGCTGCTGTCGTCTATCCTGCTATTGTTGTTGTCGATGCCATGCAGACACCCAATATCGTCGCCCGCTTCACCAGGTCAGCATCAGGTTCGCCACGTCGGGTGCACTTTAACGAAGATGAACGCTACGAGGAGAAGAAGAACAACAACAAACGCTGGGAGTCCACGGCCAAGCGACCATCCCATGGCCAAGCATATATGAACAGAACTTTCCTGGGAAAACGACCTCTGGCCGCCGTGTTGTTCATCTTCGCCACCTTCTTCGCTGTCTTGGTCGTGAGATCGTACTCGACGGCACCCGTCCATTCTCATACAGTGCACAATGGGCCCACAGCGAAATACATGCAACTCATTATTCCCATCAATCGAAAGTCCGATACCGACCTGTGCAAGACCGTCCTCTCCGCCCAGGTGTTGAACTATCCCGTACCAGTGGTTGTGCCCTGGGGGAATTCCACCGATGGCACTCTCGTGGCGAAGAAGCAACGCATGCATCACAAAGCCACGCAGATTTACTCGTATCTGAACTCCTTGCCACGAGAGGCCGATGATGGCATTGCCATTCTTCTCGATGGGCCCGACACGTGGTTTCAACTGCGTCCTGAGTCGCTTTTGCAAGGCTATTATCGCATCACGAGCCGGCGAAATCGGAAGCTGCAAAAGTCTCATGGCAAAGGCTTTGAGCAAAAAGTCGTTTTCTCCGCTTCCGATGTCTGTGGCATGTCCGACGAGAATGATCCGTCTTGCTCTGTAATACCACAGCCTCCAGCGGCCAATCTCCCCAATTATCTCGGCCATGGAGCCATTGTGGGTCAAGTCCAAGACGTCCGAAAGGTGCTGGCTCGTGTTATCGACAAGCTCGAAACACAACAGGAAGAGCCCCCATCAAGACTTCTACCCATTTTCACCCACATCTTCGGTGAACAAGAAGCCCGACGTCAGCAATATCGCATCATCAAACCCCATCAAAAACACAACCGACGACCCCGCCAGGTTACTGAAGCAGCAACACCACCACCACCAAACGCCTTCAACACCACAAACGAAGCAGTCGAATTAGGCATCGGTCTAGACTACCACAACGAACTCGGCTTCTCCATTTCCCCAACCACCCTCCCTCAATGGCACCAACAAACCTCCTCCTCCCAATCCGCCGAAATCCAATCCAGCATGCCTCCTTACTGGACCGTCTCAGGCCAAGAACCCAATCTCCCTCACCACAAAACCTGGTCCGAAATCCCCCTCTTCGCCACCACCAAAAACAACAATTCCATCCCCGCCATGCTACACCACTACCCCACAGTCGCCATGGGCGGCCACGACGCCACGGGCCATCGCAGCCAATGGTGGTCTCAAATGTGGTTTACAGAATTTTCGCGCGCGTTGTACACGGCTTCGGAGCGCTTGCCGAGTACTATTGTCGCTCAAGTACGAGTTGATGATGGGCAAGAAGGAAAGGAACATGTGTTTTGGAATTTGTGGCCGAGTCATAATCGTGCGGGAGCGTGGTTGTCTGGGGGGAAATTTTGGCATTGGCAGGATATGTGTGGGTTGGAGGGGCAGTGGAGAGAGGTTTTTAGGGATGAGGAGGGGCCTTGGGTTAGGAGGGAGTGGTTTTAGATTTTTTTTTTACCTATTGTTTTTGATGTATGAAGAAGATATGGTTGGTTTCCATCTCTTCTTCGCCAATGTCGTGATTGATTTGTTTCTCCCTCTTAAACTTTTCGACATATGACTAAGGTTGGTAAAAGAAACATCTCCTTGAAAATTTCCGGGAACACGAGAAATCGCAGTAGCATGTTTGAAAGAAGAAAGTATGGTAAACCAATAATAATACACTTCTACTTCTGCTCCTTCCAGGGTACTGGCAAAATCTTGGAACATAGACCCAAAAAAGTCCTAAATTTCGAAAAATCCTCTCTCTCTATATGCAACGCTCAAGGTACTATGCACAAAGTCATTCACTCAAAAAGATATCAAGTCGCCGGCTTGCCATCATCCTTCTTCTTATCTCCAGCCTTGGCCACACCACCCTCGCCATCTTTGAGCCTGGGGTCCGATAATTGATCCGCTTGAGCTTTCTGCGGCTCAGCTGCTGGCGGCGGAGGAGGCGAGTTCTTCTTATCCTCTGTATTTCCCTTTGGCAGCGCAGCCGGAGGAACTCCTGGCGGGTCCGACTCAGGCAATTCCTTCTTATCTTCTTTAGTCTCCTTGAGAATCTTAAGATTGTCCGCCTTCTCACTGATGACTTTCAGATCTTTGACCGGAGGTTCTTTTCCCTTGACCTTTTCTGCCTTTTGCATGGGTTCTGGCGAGCCGTCTTTGGCCTTTTCGGCCTCCTTTTCTATTTTGGGAGGTGCCTCTTCCTTCTCTTCTTGTGCTTCTTCTTCTTCTTCTTCTTTCTCTTGCTTGATAGGGACTTGCTCTGCTTCGGCTTTGACTTGAGCGAGCTTCTTCTCCTTTGCATCGTCGATTCTCTTCAATTCAATCATTTTCAATTGCTCTTCTTCCGGTAGCGAGTTGTAGAATGCCACGTTGGAATCCCACAGTGCTACACATTCCGCATCCCAATTACATCTCTCGATTTCGTCGTATACGGGATGCTTGAAGCGTTGATGCTTGTCGGTCCAGGAGGATGCGTGGAAGTGATGTTTGACCAGTGCTCTGCTACCTTTGTGGTTTCCTGATCTCGAGTGTCCTGTGCCGGCAGCGAATGCCTCCGAAGGCAACACGAGGACACCGCCGACAAGTTGAGAGTCGAGCAGATCGTGAAAGTCATTCCAGACAATCTTTCTGCCTTCGGAAATCGACATTTCTGTCAGGATGGCTTTCGTGAAAGCAGAAGGCCCCGTTCCACTCAGCACTTCGTCAAAGTCCAAGTGTAGCTCCGACACGCTTTTTCCCTGTTCCGCTGCCAGTCGATGTAACCAAATCATAATGTTTTCAATCAGTCGTATCATGACCGGCAAGCCAGGCTTGCACATGAAGGTCCATTGGCAGAAGGATGCAGCTTTGCTTCCCAGGACTTGATATCTCCGTTAGCAACACATACATACATGATTGTCGTGTGGAGGGTGTCTTGTACATACCAGGGTGGTTCTCCAAGTCTGGCTCGTCCGTCTCTATCCCAATAACCATATCAACATCACGCTCATCGAATCGTCTCGGGATGAACGTCTTGATCGGTTGAATAGCCTCGACATCGATATCGGCCCAGAGTCCTCCATCGACATACATAATAATGTATCGAAGCAAGTCGGCCTGAATGATCTTCAGGTTGTCGTTCAATGCATTGTAGGTGTTGACAATATCCGACCTGCAAAGGCCTCCCGGGCCACAGCCAAACGCTTGCTCGACATACGGTATAGCACTGTAGTCGGTCAACAGTTCATATCGATGACTGGGATTCTTCCTCGCCCAAGTTCGTGCTCGGTCCAGATCGCGGTCCTCGAAGTGAAGGGCGTCGACCTTCCATGACTGCCAGATCTTGGCTGGAATCTTCTCTGGTCGGGGAATGGAAAAACTCCTTTGCAATCGGCTCAAGACCTGCTGTGACGAGAGAAAGATGAAGCATGTCACGATAAAGACTGACAACAAGCGGTATCTGCCACTGAACCAGCCAGCGTAAGACTGCTTGTACGTCCTCATACCCATTGTCGCAAAAAATACACCGCGATGAGGGGTTGTGTGTCTGTGGGAGCTCACAATGACAGGCCGAAAGGAAAAAATCACGTCGCGTCACACAAAAACACACACACGAGAGTGAATCCTCATCATGTGGCAGCTAGCTCCAACTCCACGAGTTGTGCTCTGCACAATCACGGCCGGGGGACATTCAAAGTTCGCGGAGAGTCAACAAGCTACCTCCTACTCACATCATTTTCGTCAGTGACATTAGATGCAGATGGCTGCCGCTTCATGCACTCTAGGATAAACGGTCTCTTGTCGACGGTCCAGTCGATCGAAGTGTCTCAGAGTCTACAAATTGTTGGGGCTCACCAGCGCCATAGTGGCGCATACCGAGATTGAGTCGTCCATTTGCTCCAATGGCTTCTGCAGCGCCTCCTGGCCGTGGGGGGACGAAAAGTTGAAAGGAGAGTAGCGCTTGCAACGCCACGCCTCCCACGATGTGCATTACAGTATATTCATCTGGGAGACGCTCGGGTGTGGCGTTGCGCTCTGCAGTTTTGGCACGCTTATTATTATAGGTAGTTGAGCGCAATCAGGGAGCACCGGTTCCAGCGCCACGGCTGAAAGCTTCTTCAGTGCCGAAAAACGTGCCAACAAACGCACTTCGGAGCACACCAGTGTATAGTCGCTAGTGCTGGAACTAATGCCAACTCAATGAGGGCTTTAGGGAATGCAATCAATGGCCCTGATCGGCAAGAGTCTGCCGAGTCTTTCGTTTACGCCGGTCTCGCTGTTACCGTCCGTTACCCAACGATACTGTCAACAAGGCCAAATTGTGCTGCCGTACCGAGACCGTTCAATCTACCCTATCAAGACAGACCAGCTTTGCACTGCGTGCAGCGGCTGCACTCGCTTTGCATCTCGTCGCGATGAATTGAATCAACAACAGACAACATGCTACAGCTGGGCAAGAATGGCAGATCGTTGCTGTTGATCTTCTCGTCCTTGTTCGTTCTTTTGCTGTTCTTCGTCTCTCTGCATCCTCCTACTCGGACCTTGCTCCATCCACTCCATGGCGTCGCCGATAAGCCAAGAGGGTTCCATTTCTTGCTGCCAACGACCAGCACCAACTCGGAAGTTTGCAAATTGATCGGTTCAGGCACAATTCTGGGCTATCCGGCTCCCTCGCTGCTGGGCTGGGAAGGCAGAGGACGTTGGAATGGCTCCGAGAGCCATCTGTTCAAGCTCTCGGAGACTCTGTTCTACCTCAATACGTTGCGCAAAGAACAAGACGATGATCTGGTGCTCCTCCTCGACGCGTTTGACGTCTGGCTTCAGCTTCCACCACATGTCTTGATTGCACGATACAATCGCGCCATCGCAAAAGAGAATGAGATTCTGAGACGAGATGGCCTACTCGACCGGCCTGCGCCGGATGGTACGCCCATCAGGAACACCATCCTGTTTGGAGTCGACAAGTTTTGCTGGCCACAGAATGGGGAGGTCATCCCATGCTGGGCAGCTCCCAATAGCTCGCTGCCAGACGACATTTTTGGTCCTGGCACGGATGGCGGCGAGGATGTGAAGTTACGACCGCGATTCTTGAACAGCGGCTCTATCATGGGCCCCGTCAAGGACATCCGCAATCTCTTCCGCACCACGATCGAGCAAATCGATCTGGAGTGGGACGACGACTTCATTCACAAGACGTCGGACCAACACTACCTGAGCATCTTGTGGGGCGACCAGGAAGAAGCTCGTATGGCAGTGCGCAATGGCACAGGGCGGCTACTGGAGTCCCAGAGCGCGATGGAATTCCACATGGCTGTGGACCACGCGAGCGATGCGTTCCAGGTGAACAACTGGAACTCGCAGTACATGACGTGGATGACATTCAACCACTCGACGCGAGACAACACTTCCCAAGCGGCTCGCAGCCTCGGCCGCCTGGACCAACTACAATTGGACCCCGAAATCACCTCCTCACCCGGCCCCTTTTCCGCTGCCGATCCAGATGATGCGACGGACGGACTGCCGGTGGAGCTCGGGTGGGAGGACGTCTCGCTGGGCACCAACACGGCCACCGGCGAGGTATTTCCGCTCTACCACATCACGGGAAATAAGCTCGTGCGAGGGCAATGGTGGCCTCGAATGTGGTTCCACCCCCACGGCGAGGCCCTTCTCAAGGCGGCGCGCAAGAAGTGGCTCGCGAAAGTCCATTCTGCCGGTCATTTCGAGGTCGCTGACGTCGGAGGGATCAAGTATACGGCGGTACAGCCCAACAATGGCGATATTTTTCAGAATATGCGTGCGAGGGACAAATCCAACGCCAAGGGGGGCGCGTGGAATGATCTGGGCGAGTTCATGTCGTGGAATGAGATTTGTGGACGCGAAGAGAAGGCTGTCTTTCTCACTAGAGTAGTGCCGTTGTGATGATACCCATGTCGTTGTGCCAAGTAGCGCCAAGAACTCGATGAATCTCTTTATTCGTGACTGTGGAGTGAACGACAACCTCTCCATGTACTCACTACAAATTCATTCCCTCCACCTCATATGTGCCACTCACTACCGTGTCCTCCTCCCAATGCACTTCCCCAATGCTATATTCCGATTCATCTGTGCGCGCGGGCACTAGCAGCCTACTCCTACTCCGTGCCCTCAATTCAGCCACCGGGGAACCAAACCAGCTGACTTGACGTAAAGCGGGAACATCATGACACGGCTCACAGCTCATCAATCTCAACGATCGCGCGTAATGCCCCTGAAGCAAGCCAGCCACAGAAAGTATAGACCATCTGCTGCCCTCCCTCGTAGGTGGTAGCAGCGAGAGATTCCCACGGGAACTAATGGATGTCTCTGCAATGTCTCGGATATTTTCGAGCGTAAAAAGCATGCAAGCAAGCAAGCAAAACGGAGGTAGGAGGAGGTATGGACAGGACTCGCATTCTGTGCACGTTCCATAGACGAACTTTTTATTACCTAAACATATGCTGAACTATGGGCTGTCTTCAAACTTCATTGGGGCAGCTATAGCAGCCAAACAATACTTGTGCACTTGATCAGCTCAGGTGCTAGGAACAGCGAAAGTACATATTTCAAGCGATCTCCAAGCACTTTAGATTGAGCCCAAACTTCTACCAGTATAGAGAGCAGAGAACGCACGCACCTGAACTGCAGCTGAAGAAGCAAAGAATAGCGCGACGCCTTTTGAGACGTCATCTATAACGACCATGAAGAACGCACCAGTCACACTACGTGCATATCCCTCAAGGCCAGGACATCTGATTGAGATTATCATTGCAATACTTCGACCCAAACCCGCGAAGACATCTCAGCAATTGAGAAGACCTTGGAATGCTAGCAACCCACCATTAAGAAGGAGAAGAATCGACATGCTGGGCTAGATTTAGATTACTCAAGTCAAAGATGACCAAAGAAAGAAAACCCCAAAAAGAAAAAGAAACATAAACATAAACACAGATGAAAAATTCCATTTATATATTCTCAAAATAAAAATCAGTTTTCTCTATTCATTTCTCCCATTATATCCCCAACTCCCAAATCTCAATAAAAGAAAACCAAAAAAAACTTACCCATCCATCCACACACATAAAACAACATATCCCCACCCATCCAAACCCCTACCTAACAGACCTCGCCGCCCTCTTCGCCCTCTCCGAAGAAAACACCGGCAAAGCATCTCCCGGCGTCGCCAGAAAAGCAGGAGGTCTAGAAGCAACAGCTGGAGCTCTAACAGGAGTTCTACCGACTTTCTGGCTCGTAGTAGTGGCAATACCACTACCTTTTCCTTTCCCTTTCATAGAGATTTTCGCTACAGCACCAGCAGCAGTAGGAGGGAAAGATGTAATTTTTATAGCGGTTGCTTGGAGGATGATGAATGGTTCTTCTTCGTCGTCTTCCTCATCTTCCTCATCTTCCTCATCGTCGTCTTCATAGAAGGAGGAGGAGGAGGAGGTACTGGTAGTAGTAGAGTTTTCGTAAACAGTAGAGTCTTGAGCTACGTGAGTATCATACTTACATGTACCTGATGAAGAAGGTGTTGAGGTGAGAGGAGGAGTTGAGTGAGACATTGCTTGGGCGTGGGCTGATATGTGAGTGAATATTCGTGAGGAATAACTTTCTGTCGGTCGGTTGGGATGGGATGAGAGCGTGTTTGTTGTTGTTGTTGTGTGCTTGCTCGTTGGATGTAACTTGAATTGATTTATCGGTTGAATATGGTTTTTCTGGTCGCTCGATGGGTATGCTATGCAGATAGATTGGTTGATTGGTTGATAAGAAGAAGAATGCCTTGTGAGCGGAAGGGAGAGGAGTGGATATATAAGACCATTGTAAACGGAAAAATGTATCTTTGTCTAATCGCATCACAAAATGAATAAAGCCAGCCATTGTCATCGTTCGAGTACAACTTGCCAGTCCCGATGATCAAAGGATCGAATAAAGACAACTCTTGAAATCTCCAAACAGGTGAAAGAAATTCCTGGCCTTTGTCCTCTTCCTAGGAGGGAGGGCAAGAAAGAAGAGAGCAAGCCTTTGTCCCGGTCTTGTCTGTTCATTCGATCTCGCGCAACAATACATTTGGATAGGAGCTCTCTCTCCATCTGAGGATCCTGTTTCATGAGCAGATCGGGCGTGCTCAAAGTACCATGGACAATGTGCAATGATTTGGGAATACTAGCCAATGTCCCCCGTTCCTGTTTGGTGGCCACAACTGACTGAAGAGTTCCACTTCGAACATCAAAATTTTGCAGCAACGAGAGAAGTAGAAGCGCCGATGCGACGCGCTGGGTATACGCTAATTACAAGTCAAGTCTCTTCCATATCCTTTTTTTCTTGGTCAATTACTTCCTCCATGCCATGCATGCACTTCCTTGCCCACGCCCTTACGCACTGATCGCGCTTTCTCCTGTGTCTGCTTCTTCTTCTTCTTTTTTGCCGCCTCCTGTCCGCTTTCCACCATCATGTACAGTTCTCTCCACCATTAACGAGACATTAAACATTCAATTACTCAACTCCAACCACAAAAGAGCCCACACTACGATTATTTCTTCTGATTCAATGAAACTAATCATGGAGTCCAAATGCCCTCCTCAACATTCCGAACTTCTTCTTCCTGCCCGTCCTGGCACTATATGCCCCTGGACTCACCGTCACGTCCTCGGAAAACCTGACGCCCTGTCCATCACTTGTCGCAGGTCTTCCGTCACCTTTCAAAGTCTGCAAATCAGCGGGAATGGCAGGGACAGGAGGCACGTCACCCGACGGCCAAATACTGCTCTCGCCCATCATAGGAGGAGCAGTCGCAGTGGAATACGTCGAATCACCTCGAACCATACGTTGATGAGGCTGCCCGGAAGCGCGCCTGATGAGCTTGCCAGGACTTGCGGTAGGGGATTGTGGCCGTGCGCTGTATGATGAGTCTCGTTGACTCCCTTGTGGTCTTGTGGGCGTTTCGTGCTGCTGGATGAGCGGCGCGCCACCATTTTGTGGCATGCCGGACACCGTCATAACGCTCTGCTGACTGTTGCGATTGCGACGAAGCAAGCCGCCCATGAAGCTCTTCTTCCTGGCTGAGTTGATGTCTGGCGACTGCGGCAGTGCAGGCGGTGGAGGTTGGCTGGCTCGTGGACTGCCTGGGGCCAACGCTGAGTCCCGCGAGTCATCCTTTTTCTGGGGCGTAGATGGCGGATCGCTTGTGATTCCAAGATTCTTGCGTGCGACAGCCATGGCTTTCTCCACATCCGCCGGATCTGGCACCAGTGGCACTATTTGTCCATTCCGAGCCCGAGAGGACGACTTGTGTCCTCCTTCGGCGTCAGAGTCGTCCAGGTCGGTAGAATCGCCGTCATCCTGGCCGCTCCTCCGAGGGATACCACGTACAGGAGTGAGAACGTCTGCATCCTCTTCGTCAGAGTCAGCAAATCGACTTCTGAAGCCTCCGCCACCGCCTCTTCTGGCGGGAGGAGCATCGTCATCCGAGTCGTCTGAATCTGCAAATCGGGATTTGAACCTCGAGCTTGATGCCGAGGCCTTTTGTGCCGCTGGAGCAGGAGTCTGGCGCATAGTCTTGGCTGGCTGCGCGGTGCGCATCGTCGTCATACGACCGCTGGATGCAACAGAAGAACCCCGAATCGAGTTCCTCACGTCTTTAGCCTTCTTGCGTCCGAAAATCGAGCCTGTCGGAGATAGAGATCGAATGCTGAAGGAGTCCTTGCCTTTGCCCCTGCCGACTCGATCTGGAGATAATCGTCGTTGTTCACGAGCCGGGGCTCCCTGGTCGGGCAAACCGCCACGCATACTACGCTTCATGCTCATGCCGCCACTGGTCATAGAGTTGGAACGCTTCTTCTTTCTGAAACTGCTTTCGGAGTCGGAGTCGTGATTCAGTAGCTCCTTTTGCAACCTCTGGCTGACGACAGGTGGAGCTGGTGTGGTAGAAGTAGACGACACTGGCCTGGTCAGGACTGGCTTCGTGTAGGAGTGCTCTTGCGAGACACGACCATTACTCATCGAATAAGCAACGGTTGGCCCGGAGGACTGGGGGCGCATCGTCTTCTTTACCAGCGCACCAGCTCGTTGCTCCGAGGCTGCGGGTTGCGCAGATGACGACCTTGATCGGAGAGAACCACTAGAGAGACCTCCGCCATCACGCATCGACTTACGCATCGAGTGGTTGGACTCCACTGGCGCAGGATTCGTACGCATCGCGTTCTTCAGCGCTGGCTGTGCAGGCTGTGCAATGCGATGAGCGGGAACGGACCTGGGCGAAGCTTGCGTGGAAATAGGCTGAGGAGGTGTCTTTCTTGTTTTCTTCGTGGCGGCAGGCGAGGGTCTCGCCTCATCATCAGACGACATGTGGTCGCGCTCGATCTGTGCACGTTGCTGTCTGCTCAATTGAGACCAATATGCAGTCGCCGACGTCCAATCTCCGCTCGACTTGTCTTCGGTTGTGCCAGTACTTCCGTCAGACTGACCGAGCGCCTTTGGTGCAGTGGGACTATCAGGAGGCGACGTGAGGCTCTTTATGGGCGAAGCTGGCAATTCACCTGACGAGGGCTTTACAGTGATTGGACTGACGGCAATAGCGTCAAGTGAAGCAAAGCCGCCTTCGAACTCTGAGGGGTCTTCTGCAGCATCGCTAAACTCGGCGTCGTCTGTGTCTGTGTCTTCGTCTATGGGAGTCAGAATGGGGGGATGTTCTTCGGTAGAGTTCAAAGTACCAGTCGAAGCCCCGTCGTGCTGCGGAGTGCCTGTTGTCGCAATGGCCGATTTGGCGTCGGTCTCGGTCTCTGCACCCCAACCACCAGGAACGACGATCTCTGCCGATTGCCTGTTATCCAGCGATGTGAATTCTTCGGTGCCTGGCGTGGGCGGCAGAAGACTAATATGAGGCACGCTTGGGTCATGCGCCTTTTGAGCGGCGGTTCCAACTGAGGCAAAGTCTCGAACAATGGGCTCGACCGGAGATCGTTCACTGGGCTCGATTGGAGATTGTGCACTGGGCTCCTCGTGGATTGGAGCTGCCTGTTCAGCAGTCTGCTCCGGCAGATTGACGTGAGCAGCGTTCGCAGCAACGTACTCGCCAAGGTCACCCACGTCAGAGATGCTGTCACTGTCACTGATGTTGACAGGAGTGTCCTTGCTCGTCACCACAGGCGGCATCGGCTCACCCGCGAGCTTTGTGGCGCCATTCGCACCGTGCAGGATGCTGCCAATGGCATGATCATTGCTGTATTCCAGGCGATCTGGAGCCATTTCCGTGACCTTCTCAGCAACTTCTCTGTTCTTACGAATGCTGCCAAAGGTAGGTAGAACGGGGCGTGGCTTTGAAAAGTCCTCATCATCCGAATCATCCAAGTCGGGAGATCGAGCACGCGACACCTTCGGAGGAGCCGCAGCAGGAACTTCGATTTCGTGCGGCTGCTCATCAAAGCTCACCCGTGCAGACTTCTTCTTCTTCTTGACCATCGAAGAGATGCCATCCTGTGAATACACCGATGAAACATCACTACCAGGCCCCATCGACTGTCCAGAAAAGTGTGCCAGGGGCGAAGCGGTCCGAGCAGAAGGCGCAGGAGAATTGGAGTTCTTGAGAGCAGATTTGGCAGGTGAAATGTCTCGTGGTGGAGGGTCATGTCTCGTGGCATGCGATACAGGGGAGGCAGAGAAGTGCGTCTTGCGTTGCGGACTTGGAGACGCCGAGACCTGCCGACCACGGATGCTTGGTGTGTTGCGTGATGGTACATCCAGACTCGCTGATCTTTGATGCTGCTGCTGCACGGCCGAGACATACGACTTGGCTGGTCCTACTGACGTTTGGATCATCCTCGCACTCGTGGGAGTATCTAGAGATGCAGCTCCCTCCTCTTCCTCCTCCTCCTCCTCCTCCTCCTTCTCCTCTGGATCCTCGTGGACAGTCGAAGGCTGATGCTGCAAATAAGAGTTCCTGGGACTGGTGGTCGGAGACAGTCTCGCAGGATTGCGTGGAGGAGGCGCCACATCAGGAGCAGGCGCCACTGGAACGATCGTGCGTGTATGGGGATCATACGTTCCTGGCGCAGCTGCGGGCAGGGGCGGCAGAGTGGGTGACGGTGGTTCAACAACGGCAGATTTCGTCTTGATTTGAGGAACAAATGTTCGGGAGTTGGAGTCGTAGACCATGACCGTTTCCGTAGCCTGCTGAGGTCTGGCTTGCGGTCTGACAGCGGTGCCAGTAATGGTCGGCTGGGTGTATGTTTTTAGCTGCGCACCTTGCGAGGAGGAGTTCTGGCCATCTTTCTTCACGCTCTGGCCTTGTGCACTTTGAATCCTCGCCATTTTGGCCGCTAGTTGGTCTGGGTTGGGTCCTGGGCCGCCATTACTCGTGGGCTTGTTCTGTACGGGCTCTGCATACCAGCCACCAGTTCCGTGTGTATAGGCCTTCCCACGTGAGGGGCTTGTAGGACTCGTGGGCTGCGATGTTTGCGGCTGCGAGATGTTCTTTTTTCGCTGGCTGTCTGACCGCTCGAGCTCCGACTCATTGACGTCCGCTAACTGCATTCCCTTGCGTGTAGACACGGGAGGAGGGGCGGTAGACCTATCCATGCTGTTCGTGCGACCCCCTCGTCCATACGGGCCGGGCGAGTAGACTCGTTGCGGCGGCTCCATACTCAACGAGCGCTGATGAGCACTGCCTTGCTGCATACTTTTTGGTATAGTTGGCACCGGAGGCGCGTCCACCACGGGTGAGCCATTGTTGGTGAAGCTGTTGGTCCGACTCCTGCCAGGAGAGGGCGATCGAAAGGTGCGCTCGGTCATCGAGGACTGACTGCCACGACGCTGCCTGTCTCCGCCACCGCTGCCGCCACCACCGCGTGCCCTTCCAGGAGAGGGAGATCGAAAGGTGCGCTCGGCCATGGAGCCCTGACTACCGCGTCGCTGCATACTTCCTCCGCGCATCGAGGCCCCGCGGCCGTTCCCACTCATGATACTCGCGCTGCCAATGGACGAGTTGCTCCCTCGTCGGACCATGCGCCTGGTCTGTATGCTGCCCACAGGCTCGGGACTCGAGGTGACGGATCGAAGAGCGGCGGCAGCGGCGGCAGAGGAGAGGCCACTGCTGGTGCCAGGACGTGAGGCGGCAGCAGCAGCGCGCGCCGCGACACCGGCAGCATAGGCGGTGTTTGCATCGAGAGGTTGCTATACAGCGCAAATGAAATTGTCAGCGCAATGATCTGGTCGAGCCCTCATCCTGGAAACTGCACGGCCGGACCTACCCTCGCCGCACTACTCCCCCTCCGCCTGCTCCCAAACAGAGCCATGGTCAGTGATGACGGTATGGCCAGTGAGGTATGGATGCTGGAGTCCGCCGATGGTCGGGGGGTGTGTAATGATTTTGTATGCGATGCTCGGTCGCTGTGCAACCAATAGCAGGTATGTAATGAATGGCGAACAGCGACGTGAGGCGAGCGAACTAGAACGATGTCATCGGCGGCTGGGGGCGACGCGACAAGAGATCCATGGATGCTGCTGTTGCTGCTGTTGCTCTCTGATCAACCTTTCTCTCTCTCCGACTCCCTCTCCCGACCCAGCACAACAATTAAGCTTCACGTCTGAGGCTAATGATTCGACAGCCAGAAACAGGACAGGCACACGATTGAAGAGAGTCAGACACGGCAGAAACGGTTAACAGGGCGGAGCCGAGCAGAACGAGTGGCCGACAGGATGGTGGTGGTATATAATAATGGCATTCACAGCCAGAAACACGTCGACACGACCAGTTGCTTTGTCTCGGTCCCATGTGATAATCACAGGAGGTAGGAGGTAGTTCTCGCGATGATGCGCTGGTGCATAAATGGTGAATTGATGGTATTGGTCGCGGTGGTGCCAAAGCATGCCCAATGCCCGGCAGTTCTCCTATCCGAGCTCCCTCCTAAGTCCTTCCATGGTTGGACCGTGCGCACGCTTTTACACAAGAAGGCTACCTCCGTACCTGGGAGCCAGGTATTATTGATTGGCTCAGAGGCTCTTATACAGTATCAAAGTCCATCGACAATTCAAATCAATTGTGTAAAAATACGTACAGTCACTTTTATGTGGACTCTGGAGGGCCAGGTTGGAGTAGAAGGCGTTACCTACCTATTAAGTATTGTATAGCCACTTTTCTATACACACTAAAAATAATTTCAAACCTAGTAGTATATACCTGTAGTTTTACAGAGTCGAGAGTCGAGAGTCGAGTTCGGAGTCCATATTACCTAAGCTTTGTTATACGGAGGTAGGAGGTAGAGGTACCGACCTTGATAATAGTCGGACGTCGGTCCGCTATATCCTTGTACTTGTTACTCCTTTGTTACCTTCTACAATTCTCCTGTTTGTTTCTCCTCTCCTCCTCCTCTTCTTCTCCTGCCCCCTATCCTCCTTGCTCTACTGCTCTCTTGGCCCTTTTACCAAGGTACCCACCACCTCACTGTCAGCTCGACATCTTCTCATCCACAGATTGGGTCACCTGAGAACATCCTGAGAAAGCCTCACGCGCACCTTGTCTCTGGGACATCATCACCTCCATGAACTTTGCTACATACCTCACTTACTACTGAACTTATCTTAGATTTTCTTCCTCTTTGAGTCCTCAGGTCGCAAGCTTGTTGGAATGACAAATATAACATCTTCTCCCATTCGCTGTCTGGATTTCTGCTTCAGGTATGCCGTTCAGCCATCCTAGGAAATGTTACTGCCCAATCTTGCGCTGGATAGTATCCACTACTATTCCTGCGCGTTTGCTCTATCGAAAGGCTCTTTCGACCCGTACAATGAACATGCGCATCCGGCATCCTGTGGTAGAGTTCTAGGGGCCGATTGCCCCCCACGAACCTACCCACCCTGGCATACTTGTGCAGGACGTCTCTCACAAGGATATGGCAGCGTTGGTCCCATATCGCTGGGCCATTCGTACCACTCTCTGTACCTCGAAATATCCCCATTCTCAAGGGCCTCATTTCGAACTCTCAGGGGGTCCCGCTCCATGTTCAGCGCTACATCATGATCCGCGTGTGAAAGCACTTCATCCAGCAATAGTTTATATACTAGGAGCAGGCTCTACTCAAAAGGAGTAGTGCAATTGATGGCAGAATGCCCAAGAACGCGAACCACAGATGACTCTTCGGCAGACTATCGTATCGCTCCTATATCTCTATGGGGTGCAGAGAGCGAGAGTGGCAGCCTCAGCGATCCAACGCAGCCCAGCACCCACCGCTACTCACAACAACTTCGCGTGTCGCAGTGCGATCCACCCTAACCCCGTACGTGCACCAATGCTCCACTATCACGAGAATATACTACTCGTCAAGTGAATAAGTGACACACGCTGGACATGGACAACTTACCTAATCACACACACAGGTCATCATCCTCCACGGGCTCAGCTGCAACACCTACAGCTGCATTAGCACCCTCACTGATTTCCTGGGTGCCTCCGGCTTCTGCACCTTCTCCACCGTCTATGGAATCTCGTTTGTGCCCAGTCTTGGAATCATACCAATCCCCTTCGGTGGCGTGGCTCCCATAAAAAATTCGGCACCTGAAGTAGTAGCCTTCGTCCACCAAGTCCTCGCCCTGACGGGAGCAGCCCAAGTCGACATGGTGGGTCATTCCGAAGGCGCCTTTATGAGCCTCTGGGTTGCCAAATTCTACCCTGAACTCAACCCATACACATCTCAAATTGTTGCGCTGGCACCGCCCACACATGGCACCGACTTCTCGAATTTCTACGACATGGCATACATTTTCGGTGAAACCTCGCGGAAGCTCGTCAGTGATTTCTTCCAAACGGTACAATGTGGAGCGTGCGATGATCTGGGAATCGGAGGTCCTGCGGTAATTGCACTCAACGCCGATGGACCGATCGCGCAACCTAGTATTCAATACACTATTCTGGCGACTCAGGACGATGAATTTGTGACCCCTCCACCCGTTGCGTTTGTCGAGGAACCGGGAGTGAGAAACATTTATATCCAGGACTACTGTCCCGACGACATTACTGGCCATCATGCATTGAGCTACGATGTCAATGTACAGCAAGTGGTGAGAAATACGTTACTCGGCCACTTTGATGCGCCCATAACGTGCCTTGCTGGGCCGGGCATGGTGGACACAGTGCTCGGGATTGCGGAAGGGTTGGAGCACTCGGACTTGACTCTACCTGAGCAAGCAGACAAGGGTCTCAAGGATATTTTGGCCAGTATGACATGGTTTAGATGATGATGAATGTAGGTATGATGTATACGACTGAGACACTCGAACATGCAGCAGCAGCAGCAGCAGCGACTTTTTCGACGAGCACCAGCGCCAGAAGTGCAAATGGCGATGTTGGGAGATTTCGTCCCATCAAGAGTGTGCATGACAGCTGGGAACGATCTTGGTTTCGCACTACAATAGCAAAGCCAGGGGCAATTCAAGAACCCTCGACATATCCGTTTTGACTGATCCAGGAGGCAGGTATATACACAATTATTACACGCGAAGAACAACCATTCAGGTGCTCCTCCAAAAACTCACTCCATCACAGTCCTCACCTTGATGGAACATTCTTTCATAAACCTATTGACAGACCTTCCTACCATTGAACGAAGAATGATACCAAAGCACTCACTACTACTACACACCATCTTACACATCATCCTCCTCCCACCACCAGCAGTCCCATGGCCACCCTTCAACCCCAACAACCTTCTTCCAACCTCACCCTCACCACCCTCCCCATCGAACTCATCCTCGAAATTCTCCCCTACATTCCCTACACTGCAGCCCACAGCCTCCGAGCCCTCTGTCTCACTTGCACCTCCCTCCACCGCATCATTGTGCAACACGAAAAATCTCTTGTCCGCTCGATCAAGACGAAGCAAGCATTTCACCTCCAGTTCCAACTTTTTCCGAGTCTGGTAATAGATTCTTTCAAGGGGTTGGATTTGTTTTATCGGAGATTGGAGAGGTGGGAGGTTTTGCGGGGGGAGTGGGGGCGGATTGTTAGTGGTAGTGGTGGTGGTGGTGGTGCTACGGGTGATGATGATGATGATGATGATGATGATGGGGAAAGGGGATTAGAAGTAGAGTGGCTTCAGGGAAGACGGTGGGAGGGAATATATCAAATGGGAGGATTGTTGTTGTATCGATTGGGGGATCATCAACGACAACAAGAACAAGAACAACAGCAGCAACATCAACACGAAGAAGAGGAAAGAGAAAAAGAAAAATATCCATCATCATTAATAAACCACCTCCCCGCAACAAGTCTAGCAAGCATATATTTCCACATCATCGCTTCGATCAAAATCCTTCGAATCTACGGTCCGGATCCCATACATCAGAGATTTTGCGCGGGAGATTTCGGAGTGAGGTCGGATGTGGAATTGGCATTGGAGGAAATGTTATTGACATATGGACCGGAGTTTTTTCAAGCGTTGTTGGAAGTTGGGAGGGTAGGGAGGGAGAAGAAGAAGAAAAAGATTGATAGAAGGAGAGATTGTGGTAGTGATGGTGATAGTAGGGGTTCTTGGGCCGTCGAGTAAGTCTCCCCACCTCCCTACTTTCCACATCCCTTTTCCTCGTCTTTTCATTCTCTCCCTGCTACAAGACTAACCCCCCATCCCCCGAATCAGCGCTCTCCACCGCGAAATCGCAGGAATGATCGAACGCCAATCCACTTTAACACCGGAAGGAACCCCTCGACCCCCAACTCTCACAGCCCGTCTCCGAAGAGCTTTCGCCGCGAAATTGGGCTTACATGTCACGCAAAACGTATCCAAAATGTGGGAGATTGTGTCGAGTACATTATTTGATGAGATGAGTGAGGAGAAGATGGTGCAAGTGGTTCGGGGAGAGGATATTGGGAAGGGGGGGGGGTTGAAGAGGATTTTTTGACATGAGGTTTGGCAGGGGGCTGTGTTTATGGGGGTGGTTGGGTGAGAGGAGGAGAAGTAGGGATGGGAATTGGGATTGTTGACAGAGGCTGTTTGGCTTGCTGTTCGAGTAGGAGGAAGGTTTTGTGATGGCTCTGGGGTTTCATACATTTGTGCGACGAGGGAGGGATGGAATGCAGTCAGTCAGTCAGTCTGTCAATCAATCAATCAGACATGTGATAGTTGCGTGACATTGATTGCAGTCCCATGGTTCTGCGGCGTAATGAACGAGAGTAGTCGGTTTGTTCAAGTGCCCGGGGATGAATCCTTTTCTATCAGTTGTCCCGTTCTGTACCTGAGAGAGAGGGAGAGAAGTTGATACTATACCACATGTTTGCTCAAAGGACAAAGCACGGCCAATCAAGTGACATTGCTAGTACTAGCGGAATCCCAGGGCGCGGATAGAAACAGGGGTTCAGCTCCTCTCGGCGGTTATCAGCCTATTCTCTCTCTCTCTCTCTCTCTCTCTCTCTCTCTCTCTCTCTCTCTTTGCTGCCTGCTCTGGTAAATCTCTCACTCTCTCTCTCTGCTACAATTCTTTTCTCTCTGCTTTTTTTTCTGCATTTTCGGTCCTAATAATTGCCTCCTATTCGCCCATTGTTGCTGCTGTTGCATCTAGCGCTGATGGGATATGTCCGCTGTTGTTACAGAGCGACTAGTACTGTAGGCTTGTCGGGATGGATGGATGCTTGACCCTGACAGACTATTTCACCTCTCTCTCTCTCTCTCTCTCTCTCTCTCTCCCCCCTATGAGTTGTAGTTTCTAGGCTGTATGAGTTCCAGGTAAGGTAGGCTGTCACTTGCCCGGAGAGCTCATGGGTTGTTGGCTTTTTATTTTCCTCCCCTTTCTACCACTATTTGTGCCGTGCAGTCTCTCTGCATTCTGGTCAGGTACAGTACCTTACTCACATCCATACAGTACATCCACAACCCGGTCCGCCAGGCTGCGGCCGATGTCTCTCCCCTCGCTACCTGTACCTACCTGACCTTACCTTACTCCTCCTCCTACACTACCGTGTCACACATGGCGCGGATGCCTGGCCTGCGTCCTAAAAGGCTTGCCGTTTCTTATCTTCCTTGGATGCTCCACCCTTTCGACGCTGTTTGCAACTGACTACATCTACCTTACGCTTCCTTCTGCTGCTGCTGCTGCTGCTTCACTTTCGACCACCTGCCGGACGTCGGCATCCGTCCGCCATGGATAGAGAAGCATCCTCCTCGCTCAAGAACAAGCATCAACACCTCCCCCGACGAGAAGATACTAGTAGCCCACCATGGGAGCGCTCAGTCACCATGCAAGTGCCATTTACCAATGCCAACACACCCGCCCCATTGTCGATAACGCGAGGCCATACTGTACCAACGCTATGGACTGCACGTAACCATGACTCTCGACGGCAGCAGCAGCAGCATCATCATCACCATCATCCACAGCTTCGACGATCACAATCCATCAGCGAAGACTCACCAATTGACTCTGCCCTGGAAACTTGGCAGACGAAGAAACAAACATCACCCTACGAAACCCCAGTATATCTCCTTCCATCATCCACGGGACTGAATACAGCTGCATCGGCACCCCCATTTGTCATGGAACCTACTCGTCTTCCAGGTCGCCCAGCACCGCCTTTGACTCCTCCAGACAGTATGCGCAGTAGATCCGTCGACGCCACCACTACCACTAGAACAAGTACAACAACAACAACAACAACACCAGCACCATTAGACGACAACACTCCCTTCCCCACCGTGACCGCTTTCCCCGGCACCATGTTCACGCGGCCTGGTATCCGACGTCCGCAATATATTTCTCTTTCCGATGATAATATCAAACCATCTCCCTCTCATTGCTGCTGCTGTTCCTCCTCCTCCCAACAACACCAACATCAACATCAACATCAACATTCCGAGCCAGATGATGCTCGACTGGAGCAGGACAAAGCAGGACATCATGATGCTGCAGCAGCAGGCAAGCCACGATGGAAGGCGGCTCTGAAAGGCATGTTTAAGAGAAAACCGATGAATGATTCGGATTTTGTGAGGATTGGGGATCAGCATTGGACTGATGATTGAATGCATGAATAGATGGAATGAATAGGGGATGTATCTATCCAAAACGAAGGAAGAAGGTTCTGGAGGGGTGAGAGGGGGCGGGGGGGCAGAAAAGGGAAGACTTTTTTGTCTATATGAGGGGAATTGGTTGGGGACCAAGATTGATTGTATAGCGGTGTTGTTTGTGTGTGTGTGGGTTTTCTTTTGGGGAAGTTGATATTTTTATAATTATACCCGATTCTGTTTTGTTTTTTTTTCCTCCCCTTTACGTACCGAAATAACCGACGCGATGATTTCTTTGTTTACAAATAATAATAATATCTCACATGTTACCTTCCTTCCTGTCATCAGCACATCAGCTCGTCAGCTCGTCAGCAATGCAGTTCCACCACCTCCAGAAATTCCGAAGATAGCTCACCTCAATTGTGTGCATACCTAGACAGATGTTTAGGTAGCTAGGTAAGGTAGCTAGCCATGTTGAACGGGGATCTATGCATCCATAGCAGTCGAGACTCTTTTGCCCAAACCTTGCCACGTGCCGTGCCTTGGATGTGTATCCATACCATACCATACCCATACCCATACCAGTGGCATACCATACATACCATACACATACCTGGTATACCGTGCCCATACCCATACCCTTAGCTTTTTCACTTTTTACTTTCCACTACTACGCGCCCAGACTGGGGTGGCCAAAAGGACAAAAAAAAAGAGTTCACGATATATGCTGTGCCGCAGTTTTGTTCTTCACACGTTCTCCTGCTTGCTTGCTTGCCCAGTGCAGCGTGCTAGGTAACTTGTGACGACGAGCAAAAAAAAAGTCAGTCACACATGGCGGAAACACAGACATGCACCCTACCTACATACGCTTACATGCAGCAGCAGCAGCATGGTGGCGATGATTGATTGATTGATTGTTGGTGATGTGATGGATGTCCTGGCAGTCGCCTGTCACCTGTGCTCGTAGATTATCAGCATCAGCATCAGCATCAGCCTTGTCCTCCCTCCTCCGCAGGTTCAGGTTAGAGTTGGTGATTGATCTCAGGCGTGCCATCTCCCCTTCCCCCCTCCCCCGGACGGGTAGACAAGGTGTCAGCGTGGCTCTGCATCAATTAATCGTGGGCGGGAAGACTGGACCGTGTTTTGAGGCTTGCTTACGATGTATTATAGGTGCTGTACTGTGTAATGTACCCGAAATTTTTTTGACCGGGCTCTGTAAAGTACCTACCTAGAGGAAAGACAAGTATCTAACAATGTGATTTCTCCTCGAGTCAAGGACACGATATATACAATGTATAATAATAATGAGGTGGAAGGAAAGGAAGAGGGAAAAAAAGTCGACATCAGTTATATCATTGGTCATTCACTTGCCTTCCGGTTCCCCTACAGCAGAAAGCTTAAAAATCATCTGGGCGCTTAGAGGAGCTCAAAGGGGTATAGTGACACTCTCCCTCTCACTCTCTCCGAGTCTCTCGTTCGTTCACTAGACCCCTGTACTGTGAGTGTGCTGTGTCCTAGCCTTTCTGAATCACAAAGTCTGCCTTCGTTCCATCACCTACTGCACAACCGTATGTGTACTAGACTACATGTGCGGTGGCTGCACTCTCTACCAACCACTTGCGCTGTACGCGCCAAGGGGGGGGCGGGATTATCTCTGCCACACTCTGGCACACTCTCTTCTCATCATTGGGGGATTCAAGGCCACTGGGCGAGCGAGGCGAGTAAGTGGGCACTGCTCTCACCGCAGGCGCCTATCAGTCCTCGTTGCAGTATGGCACAGGCACACTGGACTCGGCCCCCCTACGGTAAGTAAGGTAGTACAGATGCTGTAAGTGGTTTAAGGATTAGGTACTTCACTCTGCAGCAGCTGCTGCTCCTCCTCCTTCGGCTTCCTTTGCAAGTCTCTTTGGAGAGAAACTACTCCTACTACTATTCTGTTCCCCCTCGCCCCATCTCACGTACGCGACTGGGCTTGTATACCTTACCTTACAGATTCTGATCGGTGACAAAATACCGACGTTTGTTTCATCATATCTACCGACCGCAGCAAGCCCTCGACGACCCGCGCGACCGTATACGTTGTCTTTGTCGATGCGCTACACCTGCTGCTCGGCACGCGAGTGATTGATCGGGTTTGGGACGTCTTCGGACTTGCGCGCGACAAGAGAAGAAGGGAGAAGGGAAGAGAGGAAGAGAGGAAGAGAGAAAGAGAGCGAGAAAGAAAGATGCATGGTATCAGAACAGTACTCGTGGCAGCGGCCACCTGGAATCTCGCGACGGCACATACGGTCATCACATATCCGGGATGGCGAGGGAACAACCTCCACACCACAGGCGCATTGCCCGAGACGAATCCCGACTCGATTGGGATAGACTACAACAACAGCACGGGCGAGGTGGAATTTCCGTATGGCATGCAGTGGATGTATCCATGTAAGCGCCTTGATATACCCAATCAACTGCATTCAAAAAGAAAAAGCATATGGAAACGGACAGATACACTAACAACACCACCAACAACAACTCACAGGCGGTGGACTTCCCCAAGCCGAAAACCGAACCAAATGGCCCGTCGGAGGAGGAGCATTATCCGTGCAACCCGGCTGGTTTCCCGGGCATAAAAAAGCTCTCTTCTATGTGAATATTGGCATTATCGAATCTGGCATGCAAGCTCCTCCGAATTACTCGCATCCTGTCGTGGGTCCGCTGGAGGTGACGGGTCCGAATAATACGCAATATCCGGGTCAATTCTGCTATCCTCAGGTGCGAATGCCTGCCAATGTTACGCTTGCTGTGGGTCAGAATATTACGATTCAAGTTATTGAAATCGCGCAGCATGGGGCGGCATTATACAGTGTGCGTTTTTTTCTTTTTCCCCATTTCCCCCTGGATCATCATCTTGTGCTGACACTTGTTTTTTCTTTCCTCTTCGATGGAAATTAGTGCGTAGATGTCACACTCGTAGAGCCCAAAGACATGCCTCGAGAGATGGAGGTCACGCCTCAGAATTGTTACAACAGCTCCGATCTGGGCTTCAATCGCTACTTTACCACCGCTGCATTGACGGCCGGCGCTTCGACGACGATGACGACCTCTTCGATATCCTCTACACTTCTGGTCCTCGTCGCTGTGGTGTGGACGGGAATGTACACGGCCTTTTTATAGAACACTCGATCGAGCTGGCTTTTTACGACGACAACGACTCTCTCTTTGAAAGACTTGTTCTTCATCCTCCTTCTTTTACTCTTCTTCTTCTTGTGCATACTATTGGTCCTACTACTACTACTACTACTATTACCACCTCCTCTACCACCAAAGAACAGAGATCAGATCTTGTTGTTGTTTGGCCTGCCCGAAAAAAAGAAAAAGAAATGTGATATCCCAGCGGGAAAGGCCAAGCAGAAGCAGGTGGTTTCTTTTTTCTTTTGGCAAATTTGTTGCATACTCTCGATATTAAAATGCAGACAGACAGCGTCTCACAGTCGCGAAGAATATATCACATCTAGTTTTAATTTTTCTTTTTTTTTTGGGATTTTTGATCGTCTTTGGTATGTATACAAGTGCACTGGGGGGAGGGGGTTACAGAAACAGAGATAAGGTATATATAAGGTACCTATATACACGAAACCGGATGATGATGATGATGATGACAACGACGATGACGATGCTACTGACTACATTACTCTGTACATATGTACTTGCAAACAAAATGTCCGAAAACAGAAACAATTTGGAAGATACACAGGTACCCTAGGAGCTACTACCTGACCTGCCCGACGGCCAGTTGATGATAGGAGGAGGTAAGGTAGTAGGTAGGTACCTTAGGTAGGTTGGACGCTGAGCTTATCGCTGATAACAAAAGGGAAAAAAAAGCTTCTTGGACTGTCTGTCATTTTATCTCCATGGGGAAGACCAAATCAAAAAGAAAAGCTTACTACAGGACTACAGTATACAGCTCTCTCCCTCTCTCTCTCCCTCTTTCTCTTTCTTATTATGCTGTATTAAAGAGAAAAATGGTTGGGTGGTCTATCAATCATCAGACTTTCTCACTTCTTGAATAGGGGGAGAAGAGAGAGAGAGAGAGAGAGAAAACATACATACCTGACCACAGGTGGGGAAGAGCTGAGGGAGGTAATAAAACTCATCCTATCGTACAACGCCCGTTGGTACACACAGACTCTCACAGACTCACACTCCGGACTACTACGGCAGGCTTATCTGGAACCGTCGGCAATTGTTTGTGTGTGTGTTGCTTTCTGGCTTTTTCCAACCAACGAATTAATCGGAAAAAAGGTACGTAGTTCTTTTGGGGGGGCATGGTTAAAGTAGTTTAGTACTCAGTACTTCTACTGTATAACCACACCGAACTTCTACTTGTTCTACTTTGATTGATGAAAAAAACAGCTCCTTTGTCTGTCTGTCTGCTAGGAGAGAGAGAGACTTTCTTTGCCTTCAACAGTCCACGCATTCTTCGACAACAATAATATGGGCTTCTTCACCACGAATTCAGACTCGGAAAAGGAGAATGTCCCCTCTCACGGATTGCCCGTGCCGGGGACAGTACACCTCGTCGACCTCGAAGGCACCATGCGAGCCAAACATGCCAAAGGTTCTCTTCACGATGTCGTTCTCGTGCCTGCACCTTCTGCAGATCCCGACGATCCTGTAAGTAAGAAAATTTCTCATTTTCTCCATCTCTTTCTTCCAGAGCAATTGTACGCAAAAACTTCTTCTTTCTCAAAAAGCTGACCCATTCTCCTTACTAGTTAAACTGGTCACCCGCCCGCAAAGCCCTCTCCACCACCTGCATGTGCATCTACGTCCTCATGGTAGGAATCGCCAGCGCAGCAATCTACTCTGTCCTCGAACCCATTTCCAACGCCACAGGCCTCACGCTAGGGAACCTCAACGCGGGAACCGGCTACATGTTTCTCGCCTTTGGCTGGGGTTGTCTCATTTGGCAACCCCTCGCCCTGCAATACGGTAAACGCCCCATCTACCTCTTTTCCATCCTCGCCACAGCCGCGATTCAAGTCTGGGCACCTTATACAAAAAACAACAGCCAATGGATCGCGAATAAAGTGTTGCAGGGTTTTGTGGGAGCGCCGATTGAGTCTTTGTGTGAAATTAGTGTGACGGATATTTATTTTCAGCATGAGAGGGGATTTTATATTGCTGTGTATGGATTGTTGTTGGCGGGAAGTAATTTTTTTGCGCCGATTATTGCCGGGTTTATTACGGATGGGCAGGGTTGGGAATGGGTTTTGTATTGGAGTGCGATTTTTAATGGCGTGGGGTTTGTGATTTTGTTCTTTTTTATGGAGGAGACGAATTTTCGGCGGGAAGTGCTTTTTGGAAGGGAGAATGATGAGGGGACGGCGGAGACGACGATGACGATAACGGGCAAGCCTGCTAGTCTCGCTCATAGCGACGATGAGAAAAAGACTCCGGATAGTCCTCAAGTGCAAGAAGCAGAAGAACAAGGAGAAGCAGGTCAAGCAAGCACCTACACCAAGAAATCCTACCTGGACAAACTCAAACCTCTGCGCTCGGCCGACATTTACAAACCCAACCGCCTCGTCGGAATGGCCATTCGTCCGCTCATCTTCCTGACTTTCCCCGTCATCTTCTACTCGGGATTCGCGTACGGCTCCAATCTCGTCTGGTTCAATGTCCTCAACGGCACCACCAGCCTCATCCTCTCCAACCCACCCTACAATTTCCGCGCCTCCATGGTCGGTCTGACGTACATTTCCTGCTTAATCGGCACGGGCATCGCGACGATTTACACGGGCTGGTTTGGTGATAAATTTGTGCTCTGGCTCGCGAGACGAAATGGAGGAATTATGGAACCCGAGCATCGATTGTGGTTGTTTGTTCCCGAAATGATTTTATTGCCGTTTGCGTTGATTTTGTGGGGAGTCGGTTCGGCGCATGAAATTCATTGGTTTGGATGTGTGTTTGCCATGGGAGTGATTTCGTTGACGATTGTGATTGGATTGCAGTTGAGTATTTCGTATTGTATTGATAGTTATAAGGATTTGTCTGGAGAGGCGATTGTGACGGTGATTTTGGTGAGGAATACGATGAGTTTTGCGGTGAGTTATGGGATTACGCCGTGGGTGACGGATATGGGACTGCAGAATGCGTTTTTGGTTGCGGCGTTTGTGGGAATGGCGCAGGTGGCGACGTTTTTGATTTTTGTCAAGTTTGGGAAGAGTATGAGGAGGAAGAGTGCGCCGAGATATGTCAAGTATGTGCAGCAGATGGCGAGTGATGGACTGGTTCATTGAGATGGACGGAGATATTCTGATCTTATGATCCATAGACATTTGCGCATATTGTTATCTCGTCTTCATAAAAACATTCTTGTACTCACTCAGACTCACTCTACATAATGATGGCCCGAGGGCTGGCCGTCTTGACCCCACTTCCAGTGTAGAGTGTACTACATATACCTTGCCTTACCAGGCAGGTATTATTCTGTTCAACAACACCAACATATTCCCTATATCACAACGAACTGCTTGAACGCATCACTCAGTGGTAACAAATAGTAAACATCGAGCCATGGCCGAGCAACATACCCACGATCATTCCCACGATCATTCCCACGATCATTCCCACGACCATACTCATAACCACCCCCCTCCCACTGATAATCATTCACCCCCCTCCTCCACCCCCCTCGACGCCTGGAAGACCTCAGGCGTCCGAGTAATCCCCTCCACCTCCCTCTCCCCCGTAACCGGCCAACAACACCAAACGCCCGGAATGGATCGCATGTCAGCCATCGACTTCGCCCGCGTCGGAGCGCAAAAACTCTGGGCCGGCACCGTATCCATCCACGCCAACGCCAAAACGGGAGCCCACCATCACGGTCACCTCGAGTCGGTGATTTACGTCCTTCACGGCCGCGCTCGCATGCGATGGGGAGAGAAGTTGGAATTCACGGCGGAGGCTGGACCGGGAGATTTTATTTATGTTCCGCCGTATGTGCCGCATCAGGAAATTAATGCGAGTGTGGATGAGATGTTGGAGTGTGTGTTGGTGAGGAGTGATAGTGAGGCTATTGCGGTGAATTTGCCGAATGTGGAACCTGTGGAGAGGCCGGAGTTGGTGAAGGTATGTTTTTTTTTTCTTTTTTTTTTCTTTTTCCAGTTCTATTTTCAACGGTGTTGGGAGAGATGATGATGATGATGATGCTGACATGTCGCTGCTGCTGCAGTGGATTGATCCTACGCATCCGGAGTGATGGGGCAACAGAAAGAAACAAGACCGACCCCTGATTCACTTGCAAGGAGACCTCGCGTACTCAGACTGCAGTGGTGCGATATCATGTATGTCTCATAGACGAGAGGATACACGGATGGAAGCCGCATAACACAATCAACACCCGAATAGCCTCTTCTTCAACATCTTCTCACTTTGTGTGCATGCCATGCTGTTGTTACGGATGAGGATGATGATGAGAATGAGGATGAAGATGGAGGGTAAAGTGAATCGTAAAGGGGAACCTACTCCGTTCTTTTGCGTGCTCACCTATAGCGATCTACAATCCAAAAAATATCATGATTCAAAGGACGGGAAGCAAAGAGGATGGGGAGCGGATAGTTTGCAATCTCGTTGGTTGATCGGGAGACCTTGGGAGGGTATCCTGAATATTGAGAATATTGCCACTCCATTCTCAAGAGTCAATATAGAACCGAGTGATTGGAAACGATTGAAAGAATTTTGCTAGTGTACGGCTACGAATACCTACGCGCTGATGCAAATGGTTTTTCATATTCTGATACTATTAATTAGCTCTATACCGATTTATGACACACTTGCCTACTACAGCCCTCCGTAGCCGGTCCGACCTTGTGCTAATATCATAAAACTCCATACCGTAAGCTTCAGAAGCACCTCCATCAGCATCCATAATTCCGCCCGACTCCAGACTCTGTCCCCTGTCCAAATCGAGAGCTCAAGATAATAAGTAGGTGTGCAAAAAAAAAAGAAAAAAAAAAAAAGCGCGCCGCCAATGGCAGACGCAACAGGCTGGACAAGCGTCCCGCGAAGAAGCAAAAAGTCTTCCCATCGGCAGCAGCCCATTCCAGCAGGAGGAGGATTATTATCATCATCATCATCATTTCCCGCTCCTTTAAGAAATCTCACATTGGAGAGTCTCCAACGCGACTTTGATGCAAAGACGAAGCAATGGCAGAAGACGGCATGCCGCAAACAGTTGCTTAAGCAGATTGATTGGGCGGTCGATGCGCGAGAGAAGAAGATGATGATGTTTCGGCGGTATATCTGTATTGGTACGGGAAGTCTCAGTCGCGATAATGTGGAGTGTCAGAGACGGAGTATGTGGCAGACTGTAGTGTTTTTGGATGTGGTGCGTCATATGCTTGATAGTTGCGTAGGAGGGGATGGTGAGGAGGGGAATGGTGGGAAGCTGGAGAGTGAGGATGATGATGATGATGATGATACTACTACTACTAGTGGAATATGGGCGAGTGATCCCGCATATACAGAACTGGACGTGGCCTTCTTCCAGACCAAGGGAGTGGAAGTGCTCCCAATCGAAAAAAGCGAAACTGGACTCGGCAAAAAAACGACTTCGCGTCTCCGAGATAGCACACTTCTCTATGAGCCTTTCGTGGACATGAATGCCTCCATGCTCAGAGACATCATCCAGAATGAGATTGACATCTACATCGGCAGCTCCGTGGGAGGACTCCAAGAAAGGCAAGGTGAAGTGGGCGAATTGGCGAGACAGTTTTGTGTGGGCAGGACGATGAGGAAATTTCCCACGTTCGAATGCGATCCTAATGTCTTTGATGGCATGGGTATATACTGGAAAGAGAATGTCGATTGAAGAGGGGGCATGCATGTATGCCTACCTTAACTACCTACGCCAGTACCTGCCTGGCCGGGCTATGCTCACGATAGGATCAGTCACTCATCAGACTGCTACGTATGGCCTTTCGAGGAAATTACTGAAGAACTCCCGGCTACCACGATCCCTTCGCCACGTACTTCGGACTTGCAGCCACTATGCGCATAAACTGGTTGAGCTGGTATAAGAACGCTGTGCCTGGAGAGCAGCTCTCCCTCTACTCTCTTGAATATGAGTTCTTCGGAGTGAGGGCAATCTCACGCTCGACATCATGATTGCCGACGACCTCGTATCCTGGCTCATGCGCCGAAGCCACACCCCAGCCATTGGCAGTGATGTTGTGGTCACATCATCCTACAAATGGTGTTGTTGATGGCTTTAATACCTACCTACCTTACTATCCATGTAGGTAGTCACCATCTTTCACTTCGGAGTCGACGATTCTTTCCCCACCTTTACCAGGGGGCTCAGCTGCAAAGCACTGACTGTGGGCACACGTACTGACTGGCGACCCAGCCCGCGCAATACGCTTGCGATTGTTCTCTGTCATGATGAAATTGAACATGGAGTCTGGTGGTCAAAATGCCAAACATCATGGCTACCGATTACACAAGCATACCTAGGTAGGTAAATCATTTTGACACATGTGAAAGAACGCCACGCTAATCCCGTACAAGCAGCAGCAGCAGCAGCACTTACTGATCAACAGTGCAAAACTCTGCACTACTACTAAGCCCTTGAGCGCTTACTTTTCCCAGGCCGTGGCTTGCCCTTTCCACCGCTCTTCATCTTGCGCACAGAGTACCCACTGTCATCTGCAGCTGACTTGGCATCATTGCTCTTCCCGAATCTCTTTTTGCCTCCAAATCCAAACTTCTCGTCCTTCTTTTGCCTCTTTCTCGCACCATCCCCCTTGGCTCTTCGATCAGCCTTGTCCTTTGCTGCGGTGGTGGCAGCGTCTTCGAGCGCGACGTCAAATGGATCTGTTTCATTGGTTGCGAGGTCTGCGCCTTGACGTTCTGTATCACAAGATTAGCTTCCCATTTCACGTTGTCGCACCTGCAAGAATCAGGCTTACTCCTCTTCAACGTTTGAATACGATCCAGTGTCGCCGTCTTCTCCTTCTGTCGCTCCTGCAATTTGGCTACCTGAACCTGTTTACCAAATTTCTTGAGATCTCTCTGCCTTCTTGCGTCGGAGCTGGCCCTCTTCCTTGCCGTCTCATCGAGCAACTTCGCCCGAACTTTGCCCATCTGCTCTTCACTCTTCACCATTTCGGCAAAGTAATCTGTCGGCCTGCTGAACGAAACGCCTTCCGCCTTCAGCTTCACGCGCGCTTCCGTGACTGCGTTGAGCGATTGTCTGTAAAATGCTAATTCGCGGTTCAGGTCATCTTCGACGTCTGGAATATCGACAGGATCTTCAGAGGTGATTGCTTGGACAGCCGAGAAGGGTAGGCTAGCGGGGAGTGCGAATGACTTTAGCGATCGTGCGAGTGCGGCCGTGTTGTTAATTGTAAGACGCTGATGTGGAACCACGTCTTCCTTGTCTTCTGAAGCAAGCGACTCGAGATCAGAAAGTGCAATGTCTTCTTCATCCTCGTCCTGCTCTTCTGCTTCGTCCTCATCGTTGTCTGCAGGATCATTTTCAATCTCGGAGTCGGACTCAGACTCATCTGACATTGCGCCAACCTCCGCGTCGTTTTCTGCACCCTCACTCTCGTCCGTCTCCCACCCCTCAGCGTCACCTTTTGCTTCAACATCTTCTACCGTCGCGCCATTGGTGATCTCCTGCGCCTCCGCGGCCGCTTTGGCAGCAAGCATAGCCGCCCTCCTCTCCTTGCGGTTGCCTTTGCTCGGCTTCTGTCTTCTGTCCACTTTGGCATCATCATCGTCACCGCCCACCTCTACAACCTCGGCGCCAGCGAGGACGTTCTCGAGCGCGGCAAAGTCTACGTCCTGCTCGCCGTCCGCTCCATCTCCGCCTTCCTCAGCCTCTGCGGGCTGCTGCTTTGCTCGCTTGCGCTTTTCAGCTTCCTTTTGCTGCTTCTTCTGCTTCTCCAATTTATGGTTGACCCCCTTTTGCCGATCCAGCGCAGCCTTGAGCTTCATCGTCTTCGCCATGGTGTCGGATTGGGAGGATCTGAGAGGTGTTGCAAAAGGGCAGTCTGGATGCTAGACCTGTGTCCCGGGTCTTCCAAAAGAATTTCTGAATAGCGCGGCTGCATGGATCCTGGCTATTGCCGAGAAACCTTATTTCTGACTGCGGGCAAAAACAAGAGACCTCCGGCTGGCACAATGCACTCATTGCACTGTGCACACTGCACAATTGGAACTTGGAAACATCTCTTCTCCCCCACATCCATCCCAACGCACAACGTGATCGACACTCCCGTCGCAATGCAGAGATGCTGGCCCCGAGGATGGCGGATGGCAGTGTCGTGTAGGCCATCATCATCACCATCATCATCATCATCATCATCATCGACGACCACACCCCCTCGGCGCCAGGCATCTTCTCATCCACCGCCCCCCAAACCATACCAACCCACCTCCACAGTCGGACGACCACCACCCATCATCCATGCATCCTCAGAGCGCATGCCGCCGGTTACGAGGAATGGCCAACACGGACGGCCCCGGCATCGGATCCTCTCCTCTGTCTCTCAGCTCACTCATCGCGGCCAATTCGGAAGTCCTGCGCAATGGGTGGCCTACGCTTTAGCCGCCTTCTTTGGCCTACACGTGTTCTACAGCTACTTCCACTCGTTTGATCTCTGCCACGGCATATCGATGATGCCCACCATCTTCAGTTTTGGCGAGTGGGTGTGGATCAGCAAATACTACAGACGAGGACGTGATGTCGAGGTAGGAGACCTCGTCAGCTTCAAGAGCCCTATCAGGGATGGTGAACATGCCATCAAGAGAGTGATTGGTCTGCCAGGCGACTTCGTACTGATGAACACGCCTGGCAAGAGTGATGCCATGATCCAGGTCAGGCCCTCGAAAGCCGGAGTGCTGTTACGATACTGATGAGTAACAGATACCGGAAGGTCACTGCTGGGTAGTGGGAGACAATCTTGCTTTCTCTCGCGACTCCAGAGTATTTGGTCCCCTACCTATGGGACTCATCATTGGTAAGGTCTTGTTCAAGTTCAATTTCCATCGCTACATTCCTTGGGACTTTGAGTCGTTACAACAAGGACTGCAGTCATTCGACGAGTCCGACGTTGATTGAAGTCTCAATGCCTCTTCTTACCTTCTTTCTGATCTGATTTGATCTGATCGGAATCTCGGCCTTCTTGGCAAAGCGCCTGGTACGCGTATCCGTGTCCGGCCCATCATAGCCATGCACATGAGAACCAGACTCAGGCAGTGAGGCACATCTCTGCAGTGAGACTCCGTATTGATGCCTCTCGCGCTGCTCTTGAAACATTGAAACTGGAACGAGGACACAACACAAATGCGTCATCATGCAGGTTGCGCTGTAACTTCCCCTCGCGGATCTCACCTCCTCTTCGGGCAGTGCGCCACACAATACCCAGGCAACGCTCCTTAAAGCGTTGGCCATCAGTCGCGTTACGCAGCAGTACTCCACCGAAACGACTTGGTCCTGCGTTAAGCTTCAACAAGACTCCAACACCTTCACTGCTTCCAGTAATGGCTCAGCCGATTCTCATCATTGGCGCTGGAATCAGTGGTCTTACAACGGCCCAGGCGCTACGAAAGGAAGGCATACCTTTCCGAATATTCGAACGTGACGAACGTCCAGCTTCTAGAGATGCGGGCTGGGGTCTGACATTGAATTGGTCATTACCAATATTCAAGTCGCTGCTGCCAGCGGATATCCTGTCCAGACTACCAGAGACCTATGTCAACCGTGAGGCTGTTGATGCGGGCGAGCAGGGTAGCTTCACCTTCTACGATCTGAGCACTGGCGAAGCAAAATGGAATGTTCCAGCCTCTGAGCGTATTAGGGTCAGTAGGCACCGACTCAAGAGGCTGCTATTGAGTGGCCTAAAAGTGGAATGGAACAAGACCGTTGGGAACATTGTGAAGAACGACTCGGGCGCAACAGCATTCTTTTACGATGGCACATCAGCAACTGGTTCTTTCCTGGTAGCCTGTGATGGTGCCCACTCCATTGCTCGCCGGATCATACATTCCACCACTTATCAGAACTATCAACTACCGGTAAGGATCGTTGGCACTGGGGTGTATTATACCGAAAGTCAGGTCGCTGGTATTCGTAGTCTCGACCCTTACTTCCTGCATGGCTCGGACCCTCGCACAGATGCATACTTATGGTTCTCGTTCCTCGAGACACCCGGTGACCCTGACTGTCCGGCTCTCAATGAACACGGGGAGAGGATGTACCATTGTCAGATAATGACTTCTTGGCCCTACCGCGAAGGATTCTGCGGACGTGCCAACCCCATTGAAGTCCCAAACACAAAAGAAGCTCAACTCAATTGGATGAAAGCACTGTCAGTCGACTGGGTCGAGCCATTCAACTCGATTGTGCAGAATATTCCGGTGAACTCTGAGATCAAAACCGTCTCGCTCACGGACTGGATACCTCAGCGCAACATGGACGATATCTTCGATGGCCGAGTAGTTCTCTTGGGAGATGCAATGCATAACATGGTCATGTACCGCGGCGAAGGCGCAAATCACGCTATCGTGGACGTATCGGTATTGCTCGATGCACTAAAGCCACTTTACAGTAACAAGCTGGACTTGACTGTAGGCAAAGTCAACAAAGCCTTCCGAGATGCTGTTGATAGATACGAGGATGAAGTTGTGGCGAGGACAGAAATTGCTGTCTTGGCCTCCAGGCAAGCGTGTCTTGACGCACATGATTATCAGCGTCTGAACGATGAGAGTCTGTTGGTGAGAAGGAGGCTGATGAGGTCTGATCTGGATTTTTCGGCGGGATGACTGCTTTCCTCGGACAGCGATGGAGGGATGAACGGAATCACGAGCTGATGGAGCTGGATTCTGCGAACCAAGTGATCTTGATCCGGAAAAGCTTACGACAAGTCCGTGCAAGCTCTTTCGGATCAACCGAAGCAGCTCATCGCAAAATATACAGAGCTTTGGGTATGTGGAATTCGATGTGGCATCTTGATTCTCGTGCCTGGCTGTCGTCGGCTCGTGCTTACACTCAACCGCTGGGAGCAACGCCAGCACGATTCGCGATCTCTGCATGCTGTTGTAGCACCGCTGTACCTGCTGAGAGCTGGAAACAGCACTGAAGGGGCTGGAAAACGCAGGCGTCGATTGAACAGACCGACCTCTCAGCCAACACAAACATCTGCACGGCATCAGGATACAGGTATCTACTACCACTTCTCAACCAACTATGCCATCAGAGCGAATAGTCCGTTTGAAAGGGTCATTGAGGCAGTTCGACGTAACAGCCTGAGCTCAAATCCTGGCCATAGTTCTTTGTTGTTGATGATGCTGGCGGCGCCACCAGAGGCTTGCAGCCACACCGCCCAGTCGGTCCTTCACTCGTAACACCAGCCTCTTTTAGCATGCGCGGTCACATCACTAATCTCGAAGGTCTCGGGTAAACCCAGCCAAGTTGGTTTACTTGGACTCTCAATACAACCGACACAGCGAGGGCTTCGGACCACGCCATGCGTTTCATGTCAGATGTGGTTGATTGCGTGAATTCGGGGCGTATCCTGGTCCGCCAGTGGACGCGCACAGTCCACCCTTCCATAACAGACACTGCACCCGGAAAACCTGCCTTCAGTAACATGGTGCATAATGAAGTCCACAGGGGCGACGATCATGTCCTCCACACGATCACGATGACAGTGCGTTGCTCAGCGTATTCTCAGTATAGCAATTTACCACATTGAAGCTTGCAGAGCTGCGCAGAATTGCGCCCATATCACGCCTAGACCGATATCTGCCCACGGATGGTGGGCTTCAATGCGCACATTACGCACCCGAGACCTGACATGCATGTTACTCACATGTTGATATCTTTCATGACTATTCCACTCTCGAGGCGTATCCCATCTACGTGCTAGTCAATAGAACACGCGAGCAGACATCCGGCATGGCTGGGCTTCTCATGCATGGAGCAATTCCACTGCATCGATGTTTCTTGCACGTCGTCAGCTCACCGACCTGTTGAGCACTGTACAGAAGGGCTTGTGGAGTATGACTATCCATATAAGATCTCAAGGTTCACTCGACAAGACTGTTCATCCTCCCAGCACATCTCTCCAGTCCGCTCTTCCCAGCCAATTGTGTTGACTTTTCTTCCACCGACATCTCACTCCCCCAAAGATTGGCCTTGACACTTCAAGATGACGAAGCTACAATACTTCATCGGTGCACTCTTGGCATCGTCGGTTTTGGCATCGCCTTGGAACCGAGGCGTGAAGCGTGGAGAAGACCATGGCAACTCGGGATATGGAGGAGGTGGAGGAGGATGGTCGAGCTCGAGCTCGCCACCTGCCTATGGGCCTACCACATGGGCAACGACCTGCGAGGCATCGACCATCACGATCCCTGTGACCGCGTATTCGACGTCTGCCTATACTATGTACAACACATATACGACGACGGAGACCAGTACAGCACCTGGTGAGCTAAGCCTGTTCGATCTCCTTAATATTGTGCTGTGTGAAGCTGATTTATCCAGGGACGACTGCGACTTCGACATGCTACGTTACGCTTCCACCCAGCACGACCACGACCACTACTACATACTACCCACCACCCTCAATCTCGACCGCGTGGAGCTATCAGACCATTACTTATGATTCCACTTCGGTGGTGACGTGAGTACAATGCCCATTCACACCTGGACCAGCCTGCTAAGACTATACAGATCCACCGAGACAGTGATTTCTTCTGCTTCTTGCTCATCACAATACACCAAGCCTTGGAGCTATCCTACCATCAGCGTACGTATCACCTTCAGGCATGATGCACGTACGAAAGTCCACTGTGTTTTGGAACTGACATTTTGCCTTACCTTAGACATCCTGTCCACCTCCCACGACTCTCACAGTCACTTCAACAGCACCACCGTACTACCAAACTTATACCGAGAGCTACACGGCGACTTGTTCGACATCTCCATGGTCTGCCAGTACCATTACAGCCACGATTACCGAGTCTGCTACGTGCTCGACGACAACGACCTGGGCTACGCCACCTGTCTACACTACACCAAGCACGACTTGGGCTACGCCACCTCCTTACACTACCTCTACTAGTTCAAGCACTACCACTTGGGCTACGCCACCTGTCTACACTACCTCCACCTCTAATTCAAGCACCACCACTTGGACCAAGCCACCTGCCTACACTACTACTAGTTCAAGCTCGACTTGGACCAAGCCACCTGCCTATACTACTACTACCACTACTACTAGTTCAAGCTCGACTTCAAGCACTACTACTTGGACTAAGCCACCTGCCTACACTACTACGAGTTCAAGCAATACCAGCTGGGGAGGCTATTCTCCGAGCGCATACTCGTCTTCTAGCACCGCGTGGTAATCGCTCTATGCGGGTTGCACCACAATAAGGTACTGCTACCACAGGGCAGGAGAAACGGCCGGGAGATTTGATGATGAGTGATGATCTGACGTCTGCTGGGAAGAATTGTGCGCGAGTGCTCGAGGTGTCGACTCAAGGAACGGGACGGGAAAGCTCTCTTTCACACACTCTTTTCTTTTTTTTTTCTCTCTCTACCACACACACACACACACAAACACACACACATTCCTTGCACATAAGTGATGGTAATCTTGGAAATGGGTTGGATGGCACAAGGGTGTAATGGAAGTTCGTAGGCCTACGTACGAAAAGCAATGATGATAGCGGTAGCTAGTTACGAGGTGCAGAAATGAGCAAGACCAATTCGCTCCACAATGCTCGATTGTCTCCTGAAGTACGTTTACAACGCTCTGCTGACTTCTCCAGCCGACACTGTACATCAATCGGGGATGCTCTGGTTGTGTCAGGGTTTTCGATGTTTGAGAGAGAGGCCTGGATCCAAGTCTGAAGATATTCATTCACATAAGAGTCCTATAGCTTCTCTCGTCGAGTACAGTATGCAGGTATCGAGGCGTTTCTTCGATGTTTTCTCTGCAGTAGAGAAGCATACCTACAGACCTAATCTGCTGCACAAGAATCAGACATGGACACGAGTTAGAAAGCGCCGACGTCAGCTTCCATTCTCGGGCCACGGATCATCAAATGGACTGGTGGCGTAACCTCATTGATCACAAGGCCTGAGTGGCGTCGTGGCAGCAAGCCAACGCGGCATTTCGAGTAGGTCTCGATTCCAGTGTGAGAGTGGCAATTGATACCAGGTCCACGAATGCTCTGTCCAGGCTTCGAACGAAGGCTGCAGTGCAATGGACAGTGCAAGGGAGCGGGATTGGATCTCGGAGTGCAAGAACTTCCCGTGCGCGACAGAGAAAGGCAGAAAAGATCGATGCCGCTTCAAAGCCGATGAGACTCGGCGTCGAAGAAGGCTTTTACAGCCTTGGTAGCCTCATGTGCAGATTTATAGACTAGACAGATCAGTAATCGTCAGCGAAATGAATTCTGTCGAAACACTCACCCATCACCTCCGTATCATCGCAGCCTCTCAGGAACTCGTCACTTCCCCCAGTCTTCTGAGTCTGACGAAGGTTCTGCGCTTTATCCGCAATCTCTAGTGAGCGTTGCTTGAAAGACTGCGATGTTCAACATGTCAGCATCGAGTTCGTGCACTCCAAGCCCCTCCCCTCGCCTCGCATGACGATCAAACAGTGCAACTTACATCGATCAAGCAATCAGAAAGCTCATCGTTGACCTGAGTCTCGAGCATCTTCTCTGCGAGGCCATAGAAGTATTGCGCCTGCGCCCTCACGTCCACGCTCTTCGGATCCGCGCTCATGGCGTTGATGACTCTCTTTCCCAACGCGTTCGGCATGTCCACTGAAGCGATGGATCCTGTCCCAACACCGCCAGGCTCAGAGACATGGAGGAATTGGCCGAGCCAGATGGGGAGATGGATCTGTGTGCCGGGTTCAATCGCGTTGCCATTGTTCAGCGTGGCCGACAGCTGACTGTCCAGGGCCAGCTCGAACGTCGTGCGCACTTTCTGCGACTCTGTCAGGATAGACGCAGGCGAGTAATAGCCGGTCATGTTGAAGGGTACGTCAGGTAGCCATGGGGGTGAGGTGGTCGGTGGTAGAATACAGGTAGGAGGTATGAGAAGAAGCTCGGGAGGACTGCAGTGTACCGGAAGGCGGCAGTCGGAAGTGGTTCTAACCTCTTCGAACCTAGAACTAACTACCTTGCCTACACGTCCCTACATGAACCTTCCGAACTACTGCACTAGATTGGCGAGAACTGACTAGCTGGAGCTTCGACCTTATTCCATCGAGCGACAAACAACCCGTCACCCATCCATCGGCTACGGGACATGAATTGATTCTCCCTCCCACACACAAACACAACCACACACCCACACCGCCGCACCGCAGAACCGTTGCCGTCCATTATCCATCCTTGAGCAGCAGCAGCTTCTACCTCACTTCGACCTCGCCACCGTCGACACGCATACATTGCTTGCCTGCTGGCCGGCTTGCTGTTGTGCCACCCGTCCGAGTCTGCTAACCCGCACCCGAGACGCCGCTGCTCTGCAGCTTGGTGTCGTGTGAGCTTGACCTCACCACCATCTTGACGCCAGCCGCCGATCATCAACCACCACTACCACCATCACCACCACCTCTTCCTACCCTCCACCTTCCCTTGCGCTTCTCGCACCCGTCGACTCCCTCCAACCACCCGCATCTGGCGCCTCTCATGAGCCGCCAAGTCTCGGACTCGAACCACCGTCAAACATGGCCGAGGTAGGCGCAGCACACGATCGCGTGGCAGAGCTCGTCGACGAGACCCGTCACCAGTCCGCCCGCAATGGCAACGGCCTGTATGCATCGGGTGAGGACGACTCGCGGGCGACTTCGCCTGGTGTGGGCATCCGTACCAGCCTCAAGGGCAGCGATGGCGAGAACATCGAGCGACTGGGAAGGACTCGCCCGCGGGTCTTTCCTTACCAGAAATACCTGCCATACGAGACGGAGTCACGGGAGCAGCGCGAGCAAGATCTGGACGAGATGTTGAAGCATCTCTACATTGCAGTTGCTTCTGGCGACTTCGTGTCGGGCGCCGTGCATTGGACTAAAGAGATTCGAGGCTGGATGAACTTGAAGTTCGACCTGACCAAGGTGCAACGCATCAAGCTCGTCAAGCTCTACTACGAACTCTCGCTGGCACCCGGCTTGGAATATGGGGTCTCGGAGCGCTTCGCCAGCATGTTCATGGTGCTGACCAAGCGCAAGCATTACCTGCGTCCGGGCAAGGATCTCATACTAGACTGGCGGCCCCTCTTCAAGGAGATCAAAGTCTTCGTGCTGCCGTCCGAGAGTAGTACGCAGAACACGTACAGCAGCAAGCGTAATATCCGGACCCTGACCAAGCTGTGTACCTTTGCCCAGCTCTTCTTCGACCCCAGAGAGATCCCGGCCATGCTCGAGGAGTTTCTACCTTACTACAGCATGTCATTTTCCGAGCAGGCTTTTGTGGTCTTTGGACTCTTTAACTTGATGCTACCGACTGCTGCGCCCCCAGCCGATGACCCGAAACTGCAACCGCAGTACTACCTGCCCACATTCTTCCACCTCTGGTCCACGATCAATCGATCGATGGGGACGGACATGCGTATGCTTGACATCTTCTCTAGACAAGCTAGGGACTGCCTCGGAGCGGAGCATATACCTTTTGGTGCAAGTGGCATCTTCACCGAAGAGCAATCGTCCATCATCTTTACTGCCATTCTGAGGCTGCTTGAGATTCCGGTCGGTCAGGCTACCACTCCCTACAGCCCACTTGTCGATCTTGGTGCTGGCGTGGGCATATATCTCGACAGAGACCCCAGAAAACATCCTGTCTCGCACAGCATTGCTCGATGGATTGTCATGTCGCTTTCACCACAATGTTTAGAAGCCGGCAACGAAAAGTCGGTGTTGCATCGTCTCGAGGCACTGATACAAGGCATCGAGACATTCTTCCACCCTTCAAATCAAGGCAGCTGGACCAAGTCATTAGCGCAGCTCGTGTACTACCTTGCGGATTTCTTCGTGATGCGATGGAACAGGGAACAGAGCGGCGAGTACGAGATCCCCGAGAACCGAAAGCTCAACGAAGCAGTGAAGCGTCGCTTCGTACTGTGTCTGCGTGATGTGGTGTTCATGGGAATCTATGCCAAAAGTGGCACAGCGATGAACTATTCCTTGAGCACATTGCAGAGCCTTGCATTCCTTGAACCAAACCTCGTGCTCCCTGGTGCTCTTCAGCGCATATACCCTGCCATGCAAGGCCTGGTCGAAGTGCACCGAACAATATCATCGATTCGTGCGCTGCAGATGTTGAGCAGAATCATTGCCAGGACCAAAGGATTTCGTTGCCATCTGACAACGCTCCTCGGCCTGGCACTTCCTGGAGTGGATGCCAACGACCTAGACAAGACCATGCACAGTCTGGCTTTCATCCAATCCGTCTGCTATAACATACCACTGTACGATCTGACGAGAGAGAGCAAGAAGGTCAAGGGTGAATTGAATGGAGACTATGAGATGGTCGACGGTGACTCCCCTCTACCATCGGGCTCTGGCACTGGCATTGCAGTCGAGTGGGTCACTGGACAAGTTGCACGCTTCGAAGAAGCTGGTCCCCTTCTCGAAGTGGATTACTCCAGTGAGCTGAGTGACGAGGATGAAGAGACGATTCTGAAGTCGTCGACTGCAGGCTTTTCCGAATTCCTCACCAGCTTCCTTGCACGCGTCTTCACACTCCTGCAAAATCTGCCGGATGCCGCCCGTGTGAAAAGCGGCAGTCCCGAAGAGAACGTAGTCAACACCCTGCCTGCCACATTCAGTCCTCTGTTGGCCAGTCTCAGCCCGGAGCTGTACGATCTCGCACTCGAGCACATCGCTCGGTTCATATCCAACCATGTTGTTCACCAAGCTAGAGATGCCATGGCATTCATATGCAATGCACTCGTGAAGATCTCGCCTAAGAAAGCATTACATCGCTTGTTACCCGACTTGATCACTAGCATCAGGACAGAGATCACCGATAATGGTGCTGGTTCCACGCGCACTACTGGAAGTGAGATCTTGCCACGCGATCGCGCGCTGGTGTGGCACGTCTCGTTACTCTCCATGTGCGTAGTGCATGTGGGCCGTGACGTGCTGGACTTCAAGGACGATTTGTTCGATATCGCTGGGTTCATGCAGGACACCTGCAAGGGGATCCCTCTTGTGCACGTGTCGAATTTTGTCCACCATCTGCTGCTCAATTTGACAGTGACATACACGACGGACTTCAATCTTTTTGACCAATCCGAATTGCAACGCGGACTCTCGCCTCAGAGTTGGGGCCAGATTGCCGACCCTTCGGAAATCGACATACAATGGCATGTACCCAGTCAAGAAGAGATCGAGTATGCGGTACGCCTCTTCGAGGCACAGGGATCGCGTGCTCTCAAAGCTCTCAACAGCTTGATCTCTGACACTGCGCAGGTCCAGCGTGACGGAACTGGCAAAGACTGGTCCGATGAAGTCACGCGAAATCTGGTTCTTCTGCGACTCATCATTAGCGGCATGTCTCGACTCTTCCGCTCAGACGATGGTACTGTGACTCCCTATGTCTATGTCACCGCCAGTCCGGCGAGCACAGACGACAGCCTGACTTTGGAGCAAGCGATGCCCAATACCACACCGAGCGAGGACGGTCCGCCTGATCTCAGTGTACCCGAAGATGAGCAGGTCAAGAGATCATTCCAATATCCGACTGGTTATCCTCTTGATGTGCACAGCGCAGAATATGAGACTGTGCACAACTTGCGTAAAGTTGCCGGTGAGACCTTACATAAGGTGCACGAGTTCCTCATCAAGAATCAAGAGGACGATGTGCCGTGTTTCAACGCGCTCTATACGGCCTACAGATCTTGGTTCGTCGATATCGGCATTGAGCGTTCTGCTCATGTGCTCGATCGGCTCACCCGTCTTCTGGGTGCAGATATCCATCCTTTCAAGTTTTCTGGTACGAGAAAGCAGTATCCGCGGCCTCTACTCGTGAGACGAGCAAACCTCTACCACTTCCAGCGTCTGCGATTCAACGAACACCCGCGCGCTGCATCTGACCTCGACAAGACGCTTCTTCTCGACTTGGCATATTCGAGCACCTCGGTGTATACTGACATTCGCAGAACGGCGCAGTCTGCTGGCGAGCAGGCCATGAAGAGTATTGTTGGAGCAAAGCCCCTCATCATCCCGCCGCTTCTCGATGCCCTTGAACTTGCACTCAAGGCAGGAGATCACCCCAAAATCAAGGGAGCCGTATTTTCACTGCTCTTCGGGAGTCTTTCGAAGCCAATCGCCCGCAACTGGAACTTCGCCCCTCGTATGATTCGCCTATTCATCCAGGTTTCGGAAGCCGACAGGCCCAGTATCCAGAAGCTCGTGGGACAAGCCAGCTTTACCATACAGGACATGACGAAGGCAATGGACCGCATGGTGATCCTGGACGAGGCTACCCTGGAGGCCATTTGGCCTGATGCGCCGGACTCCACGGGCCTAACCATTGCTCGCACAATCGAGGATGCCCAAGCCCTCATACCATCGAAGAAGGAGAAGGTGCAGCAGAGGCGTGCTATTGTAGAGAAGCGCAAGTCGGAAATGGCGCGCGAGCTCATTGACAGCGTACGCAATAGTCATTGGAAGAAAGCTAGCAGAACAGCAGTCTTGGCGATTGGGCTGGACTATCGATTTGAGACGATTGCGTCAGACGACATGCTGGATCTCGTTGTCAAGGGAGTCATTGATCCTCATCCACAACTGCGAACACTATACGGCACGAGTTTGAATGCAATCTTCAGCCTGGCGCAGACGCGTGCTCTCGTGGGTCACAAGTACGAGAATTACTTGCTCGATGAGCAGAAAGATCCCGATGAAGTCTCGATACCGACAGAGCGCGATGATCCTACGTGGACGCAGCGCTACCTGGACTCGTTCGCGAAGCCGGAGGCGGTAGCGTACATCGACTCCGACTATCCTGGATGGCTGGTCTGGCAAAAGGCAATGCGCGGTTTCCGGACGGGTAAGAGTCAGCTCGAGTACGATGCTACAGAGCGAAAGGTGCGTGCCAAGATGGGCTCCTCTATTGATCGGCATTGGCTGTCGACGTACTTCGGATACATGAAGCAAGAGCCACGCGACAACGGCGATCGGTTCCGCATGTCCTACTCTATGATTGTGGCTTATGCCATGGATCTCATGGCCGATGGTTTGACCAAGGCCACGTGGGATGACTTCAAAGATCTCGCACAAGCAGTGTATGGCGACGGCACGGACAAGCATCAGCACCGTGCCATGGCTGAGATCATGGGCGCCATGCTCAGTAGCTCGGAGGATTTTGACCACCACCTGAGAACGAAGATCTGGGACTTCACATTCCCAACCGTGCGCCGCATCTTCACCGATGGCCTGACACCCGAAAATATCGGTTACTGGTCGACATTTGTCACTCTAATTGTTGGAGGCAAGGATCCTCGTCGCGCTTGGCCCTTGGTCGACTGGCTCGCCAGCTTCCGCCTGGACATGGACTCTAGCGCTGCGTTCAAGGAGAGTTCCAAGGTGACTCTACTGCAGCTGATCATTGCTGCCAACGGTTGGCACTTCCAGCTGCACCGGCCCATCGTGGAGAACTTCTTGGAGCATCTGGACCATCCGTACAAGAGCGTCAGGGAGGTTATGGGTAGTACTCTTTCGACCATTTTCCGCACTCGATACCACGAATCCTACAAGAACGTGCCAGAATTGCTCGAGGCTCAGAAGTCTGCCTCGTCAATCGGGAGCCGACCGTATCAGCCTACAGAGGAGTACGCTAGCATAATCAAGAACGTTTTCGATCGTCTTGAGGCGTGGCGCAAGGAACGTCCAGTAGGCACACAGACACCGACATCATACACGCAGGCAAGCAAGACAGTGCTACTGTGGCTCGACACCTCTCTCGGCTCCTTTGACTCAACAACCTTGGTGCCATTCTTTCCTGGCGAGTTTATGGAACAGCTACTGCACATGATGGACATCAAGGAAGACCCTGAACTCCAGGCGCTTGCATATCACGTGTTCCGCCATTTGCCAAATATCCCCCATCGCCCCGGCGAGGATGTTCCATTCGTCGCATCACTCGTCAAGATCGCCAAGAGCTCCGTCTCATGGCATCAGCGTTTACGTGTCATGATCATCATCCAGGTCATCTATTTCCGCAATCTCTTCCTCATGGACGCCAAAGAAGGCGAAGCACTTTTCCAATGCGTCCGCGAAATGCTGCACGATGTCCAGCTCGAGGTTCGACTTGGCGCTGCCGCAACTCTGGGAGGCATGGTCCGCTGCTCACCGGTCGAATATCGTGGCCAGAAAATTGCGGAGCTGAAGAAACATTTCACAAACCTACTCATCAAGAATCCCTTGCCCAAGAAGCCTAGAGGCGGGCAACAACAAGCGATAGCTACACGTGCAGAAGGTACCAGCACTCCCACACAAGAACAGAACAAACTTGTCCTCACACGTCATGCTGCTGTCCTCGGTTTGGGTGCATTGGTCCAAGCCTTTCCCTACACGTCTCCGCCTCCCGAGTGGTTGCCTGGAGTGCTCGCCACACTTGCTGGGCGTGCCTCCAATGATCCGGGGATGGTGGGCAAGAGTGTAAAGACTGTGTTGAGCGACTTCAAAAAGACTAGACAGGACACTTGGCATGTGGACGTCAAGGTGAGTTTCTCCTTCCCCCAGTTCGTTGTCCATCAAGCTTTGCTAATACATATCGCGTCTAGGCATTCAGTCCAGAACAACTTGACGACCTGGAAGGCGTTTTGTGGAAGAGCTACTTTGCATAGACGTATGAAGACAATGATCAACCATCTCGGAGCAGGGTCGAAGTCGATTGATTACAGATGGCACGAATGAGTAATGGATGGTATGAGCCCACGAGCTTGATTTTTCCAATATCCCTGATCAAGATGCTTTCAGCGGCATTGCATGGCGTCAACTCATGGGACCTGTAGGTAGTAGTAGTAATAGTGTGTCTCTAGGCATAGGTTCGGCGCTCGGCGGTGCTTCACAGTATATACCATTTGCATCTTCTACGTTGCTTCCCGTATGTGTGTGGCAAAGCATAGGTAGGTACCTTACCACTCGAAGCTGACTCGGCGGCGTTTTTGGCGTGAGGCGTAACAAACATAGCATGCAAAAAAGAAAAACAATAAAAAAAAGGCAGGAAGAACGAAGAGGGGGGGCTTCTTCATTCGACAAGACAGAACCCATTAAAGCCGTCCAAAAAGCGGGCTTGCGCGCGCGTCCCATCATCATTCACGGATCTCTCGTTCTCTTGCTAGAGCTATGATACAACTTGTACAAAGATATGCTTTCATAAACCCTAGGTCGGGGAGTATTTGATACTCTCTGCTTATAAGTACTTGGAACGGTGGCCGCAGCTTTTCTCTTTTTTTTTCTTCTTCTCTTTGGCAAAAAAGAAAAAAGAAAAAACACTCAAAACAGACCACAAAAATGCCGCTCATGTCCACGCACCCACGCACCCACGCACGCAACCCCTCAAGAAACGCTACAACATCATCATCGCACGCAGAAGCGTCCGTACGCCAGCGAGCGAGCAAGCAGCAAAGGCTCGCACATCTATAGCGCCACGCTGCGCAGGCAGCTCCATTTCTCTTTCAGAACAGCCAAGAACGCCGAGTCGATGACAGCCTCTGCAACAAACAGGGGTCATCACCATGGCCCCAGTTCCAAAAGAAAATAAAAAGTGGCCTGCGGTCGTGCTGGTGGGATACTGGCAGGACCGGCTGGAGCTAGTCCGTTCACCCAGGTCGTTCAGCTCGCACAGCAGCGGCTGCAAGACGCCAAGCGCGGCAGACGGGGTTCGTGCGTTGGTTCCGTGTCCTCCCTCCCGCCTAGCCACAAGCGCCTCTGCTACTCTTTTCATCCCCTGGCCCGTCCCTGCCGTGGTTGATGTCGACCGGCTTGATGGCGTATCGCTCCTGATTCAAGGTGCTTTCGTTCTTCACCTTCAGACTGCCCTTTCTTTTAAGCTTCGGCCCAGCAGGCGCATCTGGGTCCGTCACCAGCGTTGCTGGCTGGCTTTTCGGACTCACTGGCGCTTCCTGGTCTTCTGAATCGGAATCCCTGTCTGTGGCTAGACTCAACATACTGGCTGCATTCGCCTGTACAGGCGACGCGCTGCCCTTGACGCTGTTGAGCGAGGCAGAACTGTTGCGCCGCTTCCCACTGCCCATCAGCTTGCCTAGCTCATCGTCATCATCAACATCAGCTCGCCTCCTCTTCATGGCCATCGATTCAGGCGGCGAATCTTGAGCTCGTGCATCCCGGTTCCTACCTCGTTCGTGTTGACCATCAGGCGAATCAGTAGAGGGCAAACTGTCGGCGACTGTCGTTTCGCTACTGCTCTTCTTCTCTTTCAACGTATCAGGAGAGCTGGCGAGGAGATCAATGTCTTCATCGTCATCGTCGTCGGGGTAGTCCACGAGCGCCTTCATAGGGCCTGCGTGTGTAGTGCGAATGGTATGTCCGTTAGACATGACCGCATCGATTCGTGCCATCGTGGCATGAGACGGCAAATCTCCGTCCTCATCCTCGCCAAACTCGCCATCCAGGTCATCGTCGGTGTTGAAATATGCGTCCTCGTCTGCATCCTCTTTGAGTCCGCTGAATGTCTGTCTTCCATTGAGCATGCGACCTCGTAGCGCATCAGGCGTGTCGGGTTCGGTCGTGAAGCTAGTATCGCCTTCCCCTCCATTTGGCATGTATGGATTTTGATATTGATCAAACTTCTGCACGATCCCCTGGAAGGTATTGACGTATGTGATTCCCATGAGCCGGTCTCTGTAGGTCTCTGCGAGGTGATAGATGATCTGCTTGATACTTTCACGTTTAATGAGCTCGAAGAGCTCCAAGCAGCAGCTGTTGAGCAGATTGTCTCTGGGCATGGTCTCGTACACAATGTTGAGAATGGGCTCAAACAGCTTGTTGTGAGTAAGTTGCCTGTTGTGAAACTCGTCCTGCAGTCCAATACATGTGCGGAACCACTTCAACGCGATGAGCTTCATGTGTTTCTGTGGGCATTCCAGTAATTGCGCTATGCGAGAATGAAGATTCTCGGAAAGAATAAACAGCTTCGCCTGGTATGCATGCTGTCTGACGAAAAAGCTGAGAACTTCGACGAGGTGCGTGTAGAGGCTTGTATCCTGGACCGTGAGATTTCGCATTGATTCCCGGCCCTCCAGATCCTTGAGTGGCTTGAACAAACGCTTTGCACCATCATCATAGAAGTTCTGAATGAATTGGCTGGCCTGAGGTGAGAAGTGGTGGCCGGAATGGCCGTTAGGGCTGCCGCGCTTAGCTAACATTTCTGAGTTTCCCACTCGACTCATAGCTTCCATTCCCGCTTGTGCAGAGTTGGGGTCGAGGAGAATCTTAATCGCGTCGGCCATTTGACTCTTCACTCCGAGATCGACTTCGACCAAAAGTAGGTCTATCAGGATGTCCGTGAGAGGGACTGTCTTTTCGTGTATCGCCTTGATGATGTGGTTGCGCACCACGTGCGAGTCATGGTCAATCAGCGAGACCAGAACGTCAGTGCCTGCGACCCGCACTGCTGCGTCGTGGTGTCGTAGCGCATAAGTAATGGTATTGAAGAGGCCGTGATGTATGAAGTTCGAGTACAGCTGTGCCCTCGCAGGTGCCTGAATGTTCTTGGAAACGGCGCAACAATTCTGGATGAAGAGGCATGCCTGCTTCTTCCTTTCTGGGTCCTCCTTATCATCTGTGAAGATCCCGAACAGCTCCTGTAGGAATATCGAGTTCCCCTGCAAATGGTTGACGATATCGACCTGATGGAAAAAGATGAGGCTGTTGAGCACCGAAAAAGTGGGATCGTCAAGTATGCGTGCAAGCACCACATCCTTGAGATAGAGAAGTCGGTATGTGTAGTGTATCTTCTTCTTCACCTCGGGATGACCGATCTTTACCACCTCTTTGAATTTCGAGGTGTCAGATAAGAATTGTCGGTGGTTGGCGCGATGTGATGGGAAGTCCGGGTCGTACTCGAGAGCGCCAACAACACCCATAATGGCTTGATCTGTGACGATGAACTCAATGATCGACGTGTCGTTTAGCAGGATCAGGTTCTTCATGATTGTGCACAGACGATGCAGTTCGTTGACATCTTCCTTCTCCTCGAGTTCCTGCAGGACCGGTGCCAGCTTGAGGATGTACATTTGATCCGGGCTCATGACAAACTTGCTGAGTGCATCTCGTCCTGCAGGGGTGTTTGCAATCAATCGGATTGCCTCGACCACATCTTCAAGCTTGCCAATGATGGGCTCCGGCAACGACACTGAGTGGCCAGTGTCCAATAGATCGTCTGATAGGCCGTCCTCGGGCACCAGTCTCCCTTGTGTCTCGCTCACAAATTGCCACAGATGCGCGCATCCGTCCGCCTCTTGGAAACTTAGAGCCATGTCCACCCCATTGCTCTCCGTCCACACAATCAGGGTTTCCTGCTGTTTCTGGTATCCATCGTCCTTGGTAATACGCGTCTCCAGTATCACGCGCTCGGGCTCTTCCTCGCTGGTGACAACCACGCGCGCGTCCAAATCTTCGGGCGGCGCATCCTTTGCGCTCAGGTATTTGCCCTCACAGAAGCCCGTTCCCCGGTCATACCAGTCGTTGTTCTTGAGCTCATACACCTTGACTCGCTTTCGATCTGCAGTGTTGTTAGTAGCAGGAGCGAGCGCCGCCATGGTCGCACTGCTACCGCTGTCGACGGCGGCCAACTCATCCGGCGTGAGCGGCTACCGCGGTATGCGCCAGGCTCTCTATCCCACTGTTCTTCTCGCTCGGCCCAGCGTATGCCTTGGGCGCGGCGCAGAATATGGTGCGCTGCGGCCAGTCGCCTGCCCGGGGTGGAGCGCAGGTCGAACGCGGTGATGCGGGTGGGCGGGCGCGGCGGGGATGGCGAAAATCTGAGTTTCGTCGTCGATGGTGTGTTGGTCGTGGTAGCCCTGGTGGGCTCGGAGCAGGCCGGACGTCGAGGTTTCGTGGAGTGGCAAGTGGCTCCTGGTCGTCGCGTGGAATACTTTCGTACGGGTCGCGTGCAAGAAGCGCAGCGCGTAAGATGACGCAATATGGGCTCCGGGGAAGTGAGAATAAGGTGGTGTGTTTGGTGAAGTCTTGCACAAGAAGAAGAGTCGGGAAGGGCGATCGCGGCGGCGGCGTGGATGAGTCTGGGTCTGTGCTGGAGATTTCGTTTCGTTTCAGACTAGAACAGCCGCCGTCGTGGTTCTAGGTCTGTCAGCCTTAGGTACTTCCGACCTACTAAACTAGTGCTCTCTGCTCGTGACTTTGACGGTTCCTGCGCCACTTGGGTGCTCACCTGCTGCTGTAGGAGGTACCTCCTAGGAAGTACAGATACAGGTACACTGGCTGTGCTGACTACTCTTGCAACGCCGCCGTAGAAGGGTGGGTGATGGTGAAATGGGAGATACCACTTTGCAGGACCGCAGGTTGCCGTTGAGGTCACGAGAGAGCGAGGGCGACACGCGAGCAGATGGATGCAATGACGACGCCCAGACGAGAGTTATGCTATTCTAGGATCCTCCATGGAAGAGAATGCACAACTCCTCCTGGCAGTCTTAAGTAATGATCTGATCAGGTTCCCATTTGAGAGCAAGAGCGAGTGAACTGTTTCTTTCGTACACCGAGCAGTGACATGGTGCCGAGCCAGCGTATCTCCAAACAAGAATCTATGTCTCGCGAGCCCATTCTTCACTCTTCGCAATTCTGTAAACATCGGCCTCGCTGTACCGACTAAAAGTCCAACATTTCCTTCATCCCAATTCCGCCTACCTGACCCATCTATGCCTTGCTGTAATCGTAATTCTTTTTCGTCTCGACCCCCGGTCATCTTGTCGTCCTCTATTTTGCACACCGTCTTCTTCAACAGGTGCATACCCTCTGATCCGTCCTTTATCGGTATTCCTATGCTTCCAGACACTTTGTCGCCAGAGTATACTGTCCGTAGTAACCACTGGCGAGAGCGGAGCAGCTAGTCGCCTGCGGCCGCAAAGACTAGCGCAATAGAGCAAACAAGTCATATTCTCGGGCGGAAGTACGATGCCATATCTCCCTCTAGGCCTTCGATAGTCTGTACCAAATATTTGTTACGCAAAAGTTCGCCGGCGACGCTCGCGCAATCCGCAGTCAGAGCCACGCATGCTGGAAACCATGCACTACCACACAGTAGCGGTCCGAGCTCAAGTTGTGATTGGTCTAATGTTCTTTAGGTCATGCCCTGCAAATGAGCCATAAACTCATCGTTGGCCAGTCGTTCGCGCAGTGCTGCTTGCGCGGCATCCTCGTTGTTGTCCTCGCCGTTGGAAACGGCATCGTAGGTATCAGTCATGATCCTATCCTGCTGTGCGGCGAGTCCATCCACTTCGGCTGGCTGGGAAATGCGCGAACTTTCTGCGTACTCTCCAGCATCACGATGGATGAACTCGTCGTACTCAGTATGTTTGGAACTATATGTGGGCCGTTGACCATATACAGGGTTCTGGTATGGCAGTATGCCAGGACTACTTGAGCTGGAGCGCAGAGCAGCGGGCGATGGATAGTCGGCGAAGCCTTCCTCGGGTGGTGGCGCAAACGACCATACCTAAGATTGATGTCAGCAGATGTTCCAACACAGTACTTTGGCTCCGGACACGCCAGCTCCCTGTGTAACAGGTGGCGCGGTCCATGCACAATTTGATCGTTGTACATGGTGTGAGTGTCTTACCTCCATAACAGTCTTGCCGCCGCGACTTGCGAGCACGACAGCCTTTTCTTCCTCAAACACAACCCTCCACACAGCTTCTGCAGGGCTGCCAAGTTCACGCACCAAACAGCCGCGCTGAAGATCCCAAACCTTGACGCGTCCATCGGAACCACCAGAGACGATTCTGCTTTCATCAAATTGCAAACTCGTCACGCTATTGTCGTGAGCTGCCAATCTGTGAATCGCGGAATATGTACGTAAACTCCATACTCGCACGCTGCCATCGCTGCCTCCGGTCACTAGAGTGTCATTGCGCAGCTGAAGTTGTCCCACGAGAGAAGTGTGGCCTTGCAGTTGGGCCAGACAGCGACCGTCTCGCGGATCCCACACGCGAACGCTCGTATCGAGCGATCCGGTGGCGATTCGTCGTCCATCAAAGGCCACGGCGTAGATTTGGCTGAAGTGTCCCTGCAGTGTGCGAAGACAGCGGCCTTCACTAATCGACCATATCCTCGCCGTGGTATCATAGGACCCAGAAACGACCAAATCACCATGGACCTCCAAACATCTGACCGAAGCCTGGTGTCCGACCAAGACGGCTTCGCAACGTCCTTCTAAAATATTCCACACGCGCAAAGTCGTATCTCGTGAACCCGATATCGCAGTTCCAGAGCCACTCATCTTCAGACAGCGCACAGTACTGGTATGGCCTCGCAGCATGTGCGTGGCCATGCCAGTCGTCAAGTCCCAGACGCGTACGTCTCTGTCGCAACCTCCCGATACCAGCGTGTCGCCATGCGGAACCATTGCCCACACACCCATGACATGCCCTTGTAGGCAACGTAAATGCCGCCCTTCAGTGTCAAAGACGTGTATCTTTGCATTGTCCAAAGCCACAATAATATATTTCGAAGTTAGATGCAACGACGTGACGACGCCTTGATCGGGTGTAATCTGTCTGGTGTCCACATGTCCTCCATGCCTCCATGCTGTTTCAACTTGATAACGCTGCTTGAAATGGCTGCGATAACTGATGGCCTGTGGTCTTCGTTTGCTCGAAGATGCAATTGTGCGAGCGGAGAGATTCGGCGGGAGTGTGGAGAGGGTACTGCTGAGGCTACTCCTGCTGGTGAGATCTGGTGCACTTGAAGATAGTACATTCAGCGAAGGACTGTGCATATCCGCGAATGCTTGATATCCATACGGTTGAGGATGGCGCGGTTGAGAGCCGGACGTCGTGGTCGTGTTCGGTATGGGTCTGGCAGAGGAGGAAGAAGAAGCAGGGCGATCATCAGACATCCTCCTATATGCATGCCGCTCGCACAAGCTTTTCCACGCCATGTCATCGCTCACGAGCTCGCGCCACCTCCTGCTAACCTGTGAGCTGCGCGCCAAGGTTCTCGCATCCTCGATGAAGGTCAAGATCCTCAGACATAGCTCATTGGGCAGTGATGAGAAAGGATCGCGCTTTAGTCGTGGCGCCACAAAGTTCGCCACGAATCCCAGCAATTTTCCGTCGCACATATTCAGCAATTCTGCAAGCATTCGTTGACGTTCGTCGTTGCTAGCGTCTGCGAATACGGCGCGCATGTTCCTGTATCCGAAGCCATATCCCCCCGAACTGACATGCGTGGACACATGCGGCCCCGCGTCGTCGAGATCGAGATCTCCAATATCTTCGCGCGGATCTGCAGTACTCCAATCGGGCGCTCGGTGCATAGGTGCGGGACTCGGTGCCGGTGTGGGCGGGCTCGCTGGCGCCGAGGGGAGGGTATTCCCCGGTATGACATTGGGATTGGCGGGAATGGCGATGGGCATGGCGGGCACCCGATCTATCGGCGCGGACGAGGTCGCAATGCTTTTACCATGTCTTGCACTTCCGTAGAAGCGATTGTTGTTCGACTGGGAAGACATCCGAGCCAGAGGAGATGTCGCGTGGTCCTCCTCGGCCGAGGTGGGATGTGTAGAGGTGTATTCCATGATGCTCGACGAGGGCCGACGCCAATCTTTTCCGCAGTGTTGATGGTGGTGATCCATCTGCGCGTGCTCGCGAGCAGCAGTGGCAGCAGCAGTCGCTGTGAAGGAGAACAGCAGCTTTGCGTAGCTGGCGGGCAAATAGGCGGGAGTGGTAGGGACACGTGCTGACGCTGACCCGGTTCCGTTCAGCGCATCGTGATGGCGTGCAAAAGGCTCAGGCGACAGTCGTAGTGGAGGAGAAAGTGCAGATGAAGATGAAGATGCTGCACGACGACGGCAGCGTGCTGGTGTGAGGATTAAGTAGTGTAGCCGTCCTGTACGGTGTATCCCCTGTGTACTGCACGGCACTGGTGTTCTGCGCCGCGACGGTGGTGTGCTGGTGGTGGTGGTGGTAGTGGTGGCACAGGAAGAGGGACGTCTCGTTCGAGCCTCTGCCTTTGTGTCTGCGTCGGTGCGTATTCGCTTCCAGTTCGGTCAAGTGACGTCCAAGGATGGCGGCTGTAGAACTACTGGCTGAAACTAAGGTACTGGCCGGCACGTGCTCGTGAACACATGAATGAATATTTCGCGGACGAGTGTGGGCGTGGGAGTGTGGGAGGGCTGAAGGATGTTTTCTTTTGCACAGAGGCGACGTCCAGATCGTTCGAGGGTAGTACAGCGCACTGCTGTCTGTCGTAGGAGGTAGAGAGAGCGGATCCTGGCTTGCTTGCGTGCTTCTGCCTCCACCTGCTAGACGGGAGGCTCCAGTAGACGAGAACTAAACTACCTTTGACCTGGTTTATTTGTCTAAGCGCTGCAGATCACTTGGCCAGAACTCCTATTGCCGCCAAAAACTGCCAAGACCGCACCGAGGACGACTTCACCTGCTGCACAATCTCCATATCTCCCTTCAGAAGGCGGTGAGAGGTGAAGGAAAGTGACTGTGTTGTACGGCCAGACTCTCGCTCACGCCCGGCTGAAGTCCCTGTGCTCGTAGGAGGCTGGACGGCCGCGACCAGGTGTACACTCTGAAGTAACATTGTCACCAACGCCGCATACCAGCCACCCCTCCACTCGCCTAGCTCTCAGGTATAGGACCGCTCTTCGTCAAACGGCTGGGCACGCAGGGTAGCTCTCGGTATGTCGACTTTGCACAACCCGAGTGTGCCAACAGCGAATGAAGAACACCCATGGGAGGGATCTGACGTCGATCATTCGACAGCGGAGTGAAAAGGAGACAGAAATGTGCAGAGGCCTCGCACGATTACATCCCATTTTTATATATATTTTACATTGCCGCCACGATATAAACAATAATCTTTTTTTCCAGCGCGCCCAGCTAGTCATAGCGTCTTGAGTCGAATCAGGTATGCACATTTCTCGTTTTCTGTAGTGCTAGGCCAATAGCGTCATTAGGTCGGGACACATGGTCGTCAACGGTCGTCAAGCATTTCCCCTCTTTCTAATATCGCATAGTTTCAGATACGATTGCTCCCCCGCTCCTCCTCCACGACCACCACCACCACCACTACCATCCTCTACCTCCTCCTCCCCCTCCAATACCTTTTCAGCCCATTTCCTACCCTGCCAGAAGAACACCAGGATAGCCATCAGAGCCCACAATCTACCACTTGTAATAGTTCTTGCAGTAGTCCTGGCCGTAGTAGCAGTTGTTGTACAGGTTGGAGTACAGAATATAGTAGCTACGGTAAGAGTTGTAGAGGTCGGAGTCATAGTAGTTGTTGTAGTAGGTGTATGGCCAAAACTGAGATCGCTGGTTGGAACTCCATCTATGAGCACCCTGGACTTGCTGCTTGATTCGAGTAATTTGGGACGAGTTGGGGACACTCCAGCCCTGGGCTTGCTGCGACTTTCGAATGTCGTTCAAGCGGTCATTGAACTGCTTGTGCTGAGTGTCAAGCTCCAATCTGAGGTCACGAGCCTGCGTTGTTTATTGTGGTTAGTAAATGCGAGAGATTCATGAGGAGTGTTGTTGGCGTACCTCGACGTCTGGAACTGGGCTTGCTACGGCGCCTCCGACTGCCATGGCGGCGATAGCGGCTGTGAAGAGCTTGAACTGCATTTTGAAGATTGATTGGGCTGGTGGACGAGGAGTGATGAGGAGGTTGTTTGTTGGACTGCGAGGACTTGGGAGCTTTGTGTGTGTGGTGGATCGACTGTCTGGCGGATGCTGTGTTGATGATGAGGAGGAAGTGAAGGGAGTTCACACCCATCTTTATATGTTCCACTGATCACGTTCAGTCCATCAGATCAAGGTGGTCCTTGTGCGCGCATCCCTATTCTCCGAGTCGTTGTTGTCAGCCAAGAGTCTCGTTCTTCGTATGTCAATCGATGCCTGGCATGGTACGAGCATTAGGAACAGAGACGATTGAGTCAGCTCACGTACAGAACTGTGCCTATTTAGGTCATCAATCTGAACTGAACTGTACATTTTAGCAAAGGAATAGTTCTTGGACGATGTCAGTGTCTGAACGATGGCTTGGCAGGCACACGAGTCCAAAGGCTGTGCTTAAACTTCAGGCCGTGATCTGGCATATGCATGGAAAGCGACGAATATCAGATCCGAGCATCCGCGAGCACTTCAATTCTCGAATTGACTGCAAGGTCTTGGCTTTTGGTGAGTAGCTTTTCGGACTTGAGCATCTAGCCTGGTTTCCGGGTGATGTTATCTGATCCAGCAGTCTAGAGAAACGCTTGCTCGAAGTCTAGAGAGATTGCCTACCTAAGGTGCCTACTCTCCAGCGTCTATAGCAACACTGTGACCTAGGCTCTGACATGCCAAAGCCCAGAACCAAGAGCCACATGACCATGCATCAGGGAAGTCCTCCTTCGTCCAATGCTCCTCGCAACAGTCCAGAATGCCTGCTCCTGGTATAGCATACCGCCTAACCCGAGCTCTTTTTGGAAGGCATTGCCAAGCTCTCCAGGTTGACAATTACCCTTTTCGTCACCCCAGCGGACTCCAAGATTCCGCATCCTGAGAAAGCTCGCCTGACTTATACAGTACAAACGGCACTACCATGTGGCAAGCTGGCTGGAGGCGCTGCTCGGAAGCTCAACCTAGTTGACAAATGTCATAAAAATACTGTTGACATCGGATCCAGGTTCACAGACTGCGAACTTGGCAGCACAAGGGCTTCGTCAGCAACTTTTGAGCTGCCTGAGGCCTGGAGTCCAGTGCATAGGTATGTATGCATCATGCACTGCTGCGGACGAGTACCAAGCCTGAGACTCCTCAATTGAGGGTTCGGATCGTGCGGACACTTCTCGATGCGCAATTCGTAGCCTGACTTTGGAGATGTGCAACATCTGGACTCTGAGGATATGCAGAACAGACAGCTTGAACTCCGGAAGTAGGCACTTCGCCCAGGAAGTCCTGCTCATCGTCGACGGACCAATGTATGCAAGAGTGCTTCGCATACTCGGAACATGAGCGCATTGGCGAGCTTGAGCTGTATCGTGGCTCTCACTTGCAGCAGCGAAAGCCGTTAGCGAGGAAGAGAGGACATCATCGGACAGCACTTTCAGTGTCTTCTACTCCACGAAGTCGGGAACGCTCTTCGAATGGCGTATCACTCGCGCCTTGCGAGCACATTTCTGCAACTTCATTTCCCAGCCTCTGCGGACAGTACATTCGGAAAGCGGTCTGCTTCTTCCTCCGAAGAATCCGATTTGGAACTTTGCGGGATACGATCGCTTTTCCCTCGTTCATTGACGAAGACAACATCTTTACTAAGCACCTCAAAGGAATGATCTGCTTGCCTCGCGCAGTTGTTTATGGTACGTCGTGGTTCTGCTCACAAGCTCGTACCTTTGGGTATTCACTTTGAAGCTGCACAGGTCTCTCTTGTCATATGACGAAGTTACAGTATCGCCAAGCTGGGCATTTTAGAAGGTCGCAAATCGGACATGCTTTGCTCTAGCCTCTAAGAACTGTCATCCTGGCGTGTTGTCCCATTGCATTGTCGCCAGACGCTAGGTAGCAGCAAAACGACTGTGCTCCTTGAGCCAAGGCCCGACGATGCTCGAAACCATCGCAGCGCTAGCTGCCCATGATTGCAGATAGGTACTCGTTAGTAGACCCAATAGTCGCAAAAAAGAGTTTGTCCCGATAATAAGAAAATTGGCCTGGCTAGCAATCAATCTCTCGGTCATCGAAGCCATCCTCTCGGTTTCCGCAAGTCCACCTTCAGTTCAGTTCAATTGGTAGATGAAGAGCCGACAACGAAGATCTTCACCCCCTTCTCTCTCTCGATCGAAGAGGAATTTGCGAAAAGGCCAGAAATCCCATATCATTAGCCCCGCTCAAACATGTACATAGCAACACCTTCCATCAGCGTGAGAGTGACCCAGTCGACAGGTGCGTTGGGCCGTAATATGGCGAACAATTTCGCGCACGTGTGTCGTCTTCCCTGAGGATTGACCGCCGTTCCCGGAGCAGGCCAATCAGCTACCACAACGACCAGTCTGGTCGTCGAGGAGTGCAGTGCCTGAGTTCGTTGAAAACAGCTTCACGTGGGATGCCAGGAAGCCCGATCTCGCGGCGAACATCGATGGGGACTATACAGGCCATTCCGAATAGAGCCGGGGACAGACATGATCGAGTGGCTAGGGTAGGTGACCTCACAAGGCTCATATATCGTATTTGCCAGCGAGTCTTGAAATTATGCTCGATAGAACTCTTTTACCTGATGCCGAAATATACACGTGCATCTCTCGCTGAAGTGGTAGTGGCTAGTCACTAGTGGGATCAACCGCAGCTGTAACAACCAGTTCCCGCGTGAAGAGGTTCTCACTGGATGTTGGTTCCGGATACGGGCAGTACGTCAAAGTCCAGGATGATGGGCTAACCATAGCCCTGTCGTGTTGTCTTGTGAAGGTTCGTGCCGCACCAGGGGCAGCCATTGGACGGGAGGGGGGAGGGGGGCTGGAACTACCAACTAGGAGGCTAGGAAGTAGGTATTCTTGTCTCAAGACTGTTCAGAGACTTCCGCTTCTTCCCTGTCTGCCATGACCGCACAGCCCGAACATTGCCTGATTACATCATTCCAACACGACACACCGCACCTATTTTCTCGATCGTCTGGGTTGCCGAATTGCTATCGATGGAAGTCCAACCACCACGTTTGGTGACCCGAGCCCAGGACTGGTTCCCACCATACCATTCCTTGCGCCAGTCAATGGATGTTGGCTGTACGGTGCATGTACTTGATACGAAAATTAAACACATAGTGACTAGAGAGGTGAGGGGAAAACAAGAGGCATATTTGTTCCGCCGCAGTCTTCACTGAACGCCCGTCCGTCCTTTCCACCACCAGCCTTTTCCAAATATGTCTCCTTGGCATCTTAGCTTCTTCTTGATTGCAGCCTAGAGTATCTTTGTCAGCGGCGGGAGCCTATGGATGTCTCTCTGCATAGCCTCCTCGAGCATACAAATAGTACCTGAGTAACCTCGACGGAAAGCTGCGGGCCCGGTTGTCCGTATATATATCCGTCAGCGAATTCGTATCCGGTGTGCGAATTACTGTATCCACATCTTCCAGAACACGCCCTCGGACAAGCTTCCCTTCTTCTTCGAGCAACATCGTGGACTGCAAACACGTGGCAGTATTCCAACGCAATTGTGTACAGTCGTCCAACCGCTCGCCAGAAGCGTCACGAGGAAAAGACCGGTCATTGTCCAGCTCACATTCGAATGCTTTCAACGCGGCTGTTCACGGTTTAGGCGTCAGTGCGACAATCTGGCTACCACTCCACGGCCGTCTCTTGAAGTTCTACTATCCGGCAAAACAACTACATCTATTGCTCGACCACCTGCAGCTCGCGTGACACGTCAGCGAAGGCATACACATCAAGTTTCGATAGCATCACTACCGTCGATAAACGTCGATCCCAAGATCAAGAACAACAAGAACAAGCGTACCAGCGAGAACTGCATCACTTGTACTAGACTTGCTCCCGCGGTGCTCGAGCCACCACAATACTGCTCACCAGCGTGGCTCACGTCTGACTTCATCGCTTCAGCCAAAGGTCGATATAGCTTATTGCTTATCACTCCCTCCAGCAGAGAGGAACATCTCCGAACGAGAACATGTTGACTTGGATCAAACACCGCAGTGGTTTGAGCACCCGCGGCCGGAAGAAGTATCAGCACTCGAGAACAGACAGCTCGGGTTCTGATTCTAGCACTTGCACGACATCCTCGGTGGACAGTGGAGCAAGTACGGTTCGAACAACCATCACAGCTCAAACTGACCCAGATGTGTGTACGGATCTTCGAAGCAACCACCAAGATCGCAAGAACTCCTGGGATTCCAAGACGGGGTTTCGCTCTAGATCTCCCAGCTTCTCCTCAATCAAGACTTCGGAATCCCTTCTCAGTTTTGAGTGTATTGGTGACGAGGCGATTGCGATCGCCACAACAGCGACAATCACGAGGTGTAAAGCGAATACCTCGGTGAGAATCGTCGATCGACCTCGTCTCCGAAGAGCCAAATCGGAGTTCTTTTTCGACCGGACACCTGGAGCGACGTCGCCGAAGACACAGTCAAAAGAATTGTGCTTCGAAGGTCGACAGAACTCTCGGGAGCAGGCGAGGTCCAGAGACGGATTGTGTCCCATTGGACCTTTTGCACCACACGGCGCTCACGCCTGTCACTACCTCCATCTTCCCGTGTCACCTCCAGTCGGAGTGGCGCAGTAGGTGAATAACATGTGTTGCCATTCGAAGATCGTATACGCCACCTGCGGTCACAGTGAGTTCGGTTCAAGGCCTCTGATTAAGTGTCGCAAGGCTCCGGCAGACGTGGTGGTGGGTATCCCAAGGACAGGCCTATCGAAGGGTACAAAAGACTCACAGCCACCCTGGCCGCATCCAGAAGACATGGCTGCAGCTTCAATGCCCAGATGCGAGATCTTTGCGCATCCTTTAAAGACTCTTCGAATTGAACGGCTATGCCCGCGTTGTGAAGCCGGAAGAGATACACTGTTGCGCAGCCAAGCTGGACGATCCGCGGTCACAGAGTTGAGATGGGACCGACCGCAGTGGCGAAACAACAATGACTTTAGGCACTTCATCTCGCAGCTGGCGGTCTTGGTGGAGAACTGTAGGATCTGGCCAGGCAGCAAGATTGAAGACAAGATTGGCGGGCGCGGGGACAGTGTCGTGGGAGTCGAGGCGTGGTGATATGAACCCAGTTTTCTTTTTGTCGACTATGCAGGATGAATGCATGTGAGATGTCTTACGAAGTTTGATACGGACGTGATCCATGGATGGGAGGTGGCGTTGACCGATTCGGCGTTGGATGAAGGATAAAAGGAGTCTTCAATGTAAGCTAGCAGGTCTATGCAATGTAGTCTGCTCTTCTCCGAAACATGATTGATGCGTATCTTCAGCCCACTCTGCGCGAACTTGTGGTTGGGGGCACCGGTTCCACATCCTTCGAAGAAATGCTTCATCGCATTATGCCGGCGGCGGCCAAGGTAGAATTGATGCTTTTAACATCTTAATTTTGTGGTACATATATGATCATCACAGCTCCTATTGTATCTATCGCGTCTTGGTCTTGCTATCGACTGGCTTGCTGTACAGCCACACGGCCACAAAGATGATCCAACCTCCAATAGTGACCCAGATACCCGAGATCCAGGGCCAGGCCGCAGAAATCACGAATGATCGCGGCCACTCGTCGTGAGCGAAGTGGCGTACTGTTACTGTGCGCTTCTCTTCGAGATTGGTGAGGAATGGTCTGCGGTACTCGACGAAGAAGTTGAATATGCCTAAAGAGTGTTAGCGGGAAGCGCCCGTGTCCCATGCATAATGGGTTGACATACCATGCTGATCAGGCGTCTTGAACTCTGCCTCAAAGATGGTAGAGTTTGCTGTTTGGCCCTTTGATTGCAGGTTCAGCCTCTGAAAGGGGCTCAACATGCTGAACTCCAACTGCATGTCATCTCCCGCTGGTGGGTAGAATGGTGCCCAGTGATCGTTCTCCCATTCGGCGACTTCAATTTCGTAATGCACGTCGTTCTTGATGCGGTAGATCGCCGGGTTCAGCTCGACATTACCCACCTCGGTGGTGTTGGCAATGTTCTTTTGCGAGCCCTCGTTCAGGTAGTGCTTGATCGACTTGACCTGCAAGACGCCAAGCTCCTTGAACGTCCACGCCGAGACTTTTTGTGCAAAGGCCTTATTACTACTCTTCTCAGCCTTTTTGCTGCCTGGAAGCTGCACGCTGGCATCGAACCACTTATCTTCGAGCGACTCGGCGCTTCCCAGGACGGTGAAGCGGGCGCTGTTGCGGGCTTGGAAAGCCGAGACGAGGTTGATCTGCGAGCCAGTCGCAAAAGGGTCTTCCACCGCGTCGGTATCTTCTTTCGGATTGTAGATGTAGGCTGTGGACGGGGCCTTCAGAATCGAGGCCAGCAGAGGAGAAGCGTTGCCCAAGACGTGTCCCACGGCGTGAGGAAAGGCGATCAAGCCATCAAGGCCGAAGAAGTCCTTGACATTCTTCTTGCTCTGGGAGGGAGATGGAAGCAGCAGGACATCGTGATTGTCGGCGGCGGTCTTGGCATCGTAGTTGAAGTGGTCGACAACCAAGCTCGTGCGGTCGGCGGGGAGAGCAATGTCGAGCTCGAGCAGCAGGCTGCTGATGGCGGTGGGGACGGCGGTGTCGGAGGAGAGGGCAAGAAGGACATTGGAGCCCAGGTTGACGAAGTCGACGAGCAGGTTTGGGGTGAGGGCGGGACCGAGAGCCTTCAGCTTACTGGGGAGGAGGAGCAGATGCGAGTAGGCGGGGAGGCCGTGTTGGAAGAGCGAGAGCGACGACTCCTTGGGCGACTTGTACGTGATGTCGAAGCCTCGGTCTACTCTGCCGTCAGCTGGCCTTCTTCCACAGCGCAAAGTCCGTGTATGCTCCGCTAGGAAATGGATGAGTTCATACCTTGAAGGTCCGTCCAGAACTGCGAGTAGCGCGTCTTGTCTGCATCTTCATCGATGACAACCAGCAATTTACTGCCTTCGGCGCTCCTTGCGGACACGAAGCCCACAATGCCCACCAGCAGGCTCAGTAGGGGTAACCGCATTGTGAGTGTTGTGTTGTTCAGTAGTCCTACCACGAGCAATCCATAAAATCAGTCAGTACTGCCAATCCAATGGAAGCAACACGTAACCTAAGGTAGCTCTAGTGCTCCAACGATTCTATCCCCTAGTTCTAAACCTTAAGCCCGGCCGCCAAGTCCCGTGGACCGCTGTCACCGGCAAGGCAACGGAAGCTTCAGGTTCAACACACGGCCTTGTACTGCGCGCGGTAGAGACACCTCACGACGAGAACACCTCACTCACTACGCGCACGCCCTCCAGACCAAGCAAAGGAAGAAAGAGAAGAACGAGCAAACACACACAGACATACACACACAAACGCACACAATGGCGCCAGTCACGTTCTGGCAAGCACCGGGTACATGGATTCACTACATGGCGAGAAGGAAGCCTGCGTTGTTCTGGTCTGTCGTTGTAGGCAGCTTGGGTCCCGTCTCAATGGTATGGACAAGGCGATGTGGACATGCCGATATCACACCCCCAGAAACATGAATGAGGCACAAGATACTGACCGCAGGCACAGCTCGTTGTCCCGCCCATCAGACGCCGATTGGGAGATGGACCACGAAACCAAATACCTCTTACCTACCCGAGTACGTGAACCCGATCGGTACGGGTGCGAAAGAGCCTCATGATCACTAACCTCGTGCACAGTCCCAAAAGGCAAGAGAGTGATACCCGCGGGCTACGATGATTAGATGAGGAGGGCGCTGCACACACAGAGAGGACAGACAGAGAGAGAGAGGGAGAGAGAGGATAGTGGGGCTTATATGCAAGCACACGGCGTTTCAAGGCGCTACGAAAGAGATCAATCTCGCCGGGCAGAAGTTCACACTTATTGTACATTTGCTACAATCCACATTTGTTCACACTCAGCCGCCATCCGGGCTGCCCATGGCTTCTACCTCCTACTGCACCTGCAGTTTCACACGATATAAGCGAGGGTGGTGGTAGAGGCTTGGCCAAGTACAAGAGTCTCGAGTCTCTGAAAGTCGCAAAACACTACTCCTTGAACATCACCACCATGGCCACGCGGCAATACGAACATGATGGGTATCTATCAGCGCTGGCCCTGGTATAGCCAAGCCAAGACCATCCTGGCTGCCTATATCATCTCGGACTCGGCGTCAAACCTGCCTGACACACACTCTGCTTGTTGTACTTGAGGCAGAGCCTTCCTGTTCACTGTGCGATTCCTACTGCGTAAGCTGCTTCCCGCATGAATAAATAGCTACCTGTGCCGATCATCACTCGCCCTCCGAGACATTGATGACCCGGTTGGGCAGTAAAGCGCCACAGCCACGGCTACTCGTCGTGCGGCCAGTGGAAGATCGACGCAATTGTATGGAGATGCTGGGCGAAATGCAGTGTGGCAACGGACGTCTCAGTCTTTGATTTTCAAGTCTTGATACGCACGCACCCTTTCCAGCAGTCGCTGCGAAGTATTTCGATTTTCTATGAAGCCATCTTCACTCGGGCGCAGTGAGCAAGCCACAGTGAGCAGTGCCCGTGGCATACCCGACCGAATTCAGGATGTATGCATTCAACATTCAGCTCGATCTTCGTAAATGCGTGTCTATTGGAACCTCTCAACATCAACCTGATAGGAGGTAGCTACGATGCCATCTTAGAGAGCCCCGGTACTATAGGTAGAAATATGTAAGACACATGAAGGGAGTGCAACTGGTTCGAGGAGAGCGCAGGTGAGATCTCAACAATACATGTACCTCCTATATCACTCGCGTACATGTCCGGTAGATCAGCGCGCATCGGGTGCATGGAGTGGGTGCTGCAACGTCACCAGAGCGTGCACAAGCTGGACGCCAAGCTCACATTAGAAGTACGAAGGAGTGAGCTTGTCTGAGTCAAGCTCTTCGGTAGGTAGATGAGGACTACCTGACATGAGGACTACATCTATACCTCCCACAGTCCTTCACTTCCTCGATCGGAGCTCAAACATATCACACGTTGCACCCGCCAGTCATCTGCGACATTCTGTACATGTGCCTGTGCCTCCCCTCCGTGGCGCAGCTGATTACCTCGGGTCCGTCACGAACTAGCCATTCGAGGATATGACCTACAGTGCCCACCGGCACCCTCGTCACGGGAATCACAGCAATCGCAGGAGGAGGCGCTACGAACAAGGCAGAGATGTGTCGCTTGCGCCAGTCGCGGCAACATGATCGCCGTCCTCGACCACAAGCGGTACCGCCGTCGAAGCAGATTGATGAGCACAGATAAGGCTGGGGCGGCGCAAAACAAGTTCACCCAGCAGATTGTCTACGTCTGCACCTATCAGCAGCTTCGGAAGAGATATGCAGCTACATGTACAGTATCTAGACTGGTCAGACTGCTCCAGGACTGGTGATTGCTACCTCCTACCACCCGTCTCACGCTCCACCATCAGTAGCATGACGTCTCTGGCGCATTTTCTGGACACCTGACGATGGAATGCAGACCGCGATTTCAAGCAGGTAGGTGGTAGATATTAGTTGCTCTCGTCTGCTAGGTGGTGGCCGTTCGAAAAGATCACAGACTTTTGTTCACACCAAAATACAACGAACAACCCCTTCCCGTCCAGTACACTATGGCAGGCAGAAATCTCATTCGAGGAACTCTGAAGAGGAACCCCAAACATGTCAGAAATGGCTTGAAGTCCTATGTCCACGCCCTCCACAAATGGAACATTTGCCCTACTGTCCAAGGACCATACTGCACAGTCAAGAAAGCGAGCCAGCAGGCCAAATTCGGCGGTAAAGTAGGAGGACGTGTTTCGTTCAGAGAACAGGTACTAGCCAAGAAGGATGCCTCTGGACAGACGGGCGAGGTCCCAGTACGTTACTCCTGTGCCGCCGCTCCTGTCGCTCCGCATCTAACACGATCCAGGCCGAAGACATTGAGAACAACGCAGAGTACCTCGCTACCGTAGGAATCGGCACACCAGCACAGAATGTAGCACTCGACTTCGATACAGGTTCCGCAGGTAACGTAGAAACTTCAATCTCAGTGCTTGCTGCAGTGCTGATGTTTGAGGGCAGATCTTTGGGTCTGGAGCACTGAGCTTCCTGCGTCTGTCAAGAGCAGCGGCAGCAAAGGTCATACGATATTCGATCCTTCCAAGAGCTCCACATTCAAGAAGTCATCGGGAGAGACCTGGCAGATTCAGTATGGCGATGGCTCTGGAGCTTCTGGAGATGTCGGTACCGATACCGTCACACTCGGCGGCTTGTGCGTTGAGAACCAAGCTATTGAGCTCGCAAAGACTTTGAGTACCGAATTTCAACAAGGCCCGGGCGACGGTCTACTAGGCTTGTCGTTCGGCAGTATCAACACTGTGCAGCCCAAAGCAGTCAACACCCTCGTGGTAAGCCTAGACTCACTCCACGCCTCTCACGCACATTATTTGCGAAGATTGAATCTGACCCTTTGTTCAGGAGAATATGATCGCGCAGCAGGACATACCCAAGGACACCGAGTTGTTCACCGCCTACCTCGGATCCACTCCGCCAGGCGACAGCACTTCAACAGGAGGCTCCTCAGCGGCTACTGAAGATAGCTTTTACACATTCGGTTACATTGATAAGACTGCAACCAACGGACAAGACCCAATCTATACTCCCGTAGACAAATCACAAGGCTTTTGGATGTTCGATTCCACAAGCGCCAAAATCGGCGACCAGACGATCACGAGAACTGGCAACACCGCCATCGCCGATACGGGAACCACTCTGGCTCTCGTCGGCGATGATCTGTGCGAGGCCGTGTACAAAGCCATACCCGGCGCGAAGATGAACACGCAGCAACAAGGCTGGGTGTTTCCCACGAATACAGATCTCTCGACTCTTCCTGCCATCCAGGTGGCGGTGGGAGATTCCCTCTTCACCATCAACCCCGAAGAGCTCCCCTTCCAGGATCTCGGAGACGGCACATATTACGGCGGGATTCAATCTCGAGGCGAACAAGGCTTTGATATCTTGGGCGATGTCTTTTTGCGTTGCGTGTACGCCATCTTTGATCAGGGTAATACTCGATTTGGTGCGACGCAGAGAGCTTCGACCTTGAGCGGCAGCAGTTGTGGGCAAACCAGTAGCAGCAGCAGCAATGGTCACGCGTCAGCTGGCGCAGCATCTTAATTGCTTGATCAAGCGTGAAGGAGTGTAGATACATGTAGTTTACAGATATGTCACCAGGTAGATTGAAATGATAAGCAAGAAGTGCACTCTACTCACGTTCAGAAACTCGAAGCGAGCTTAGATGTGGTTGGGCACTGTAGAGTAATCACGTTCTGCCAGTCATTGTCGTTCCATCTCTGCATTCTACGCAACTCAAAGAGTTCCACATACCAAGTGGAGTTCACCTTCTGTGATCATCATGCTGAAAGATGCCCCTTGATCCTCATCGCTGAGTGTGAACTGTGCGCATCGATCTGCACTTGTCGAGCACCGATGAAGCAACATTCACCCAAATCTTGAGACATCTACTTCCTCCGATACACCCGAAATGCTATGAGAGGACTCGGGAGGCATAACCGCAGGTGGCTGTGGTAGGAGTTGGTCATGGCTTTCTCAACCCAGCCACAGAAGCCTACCTGATATCTGGCTACCATTACCACTAACTTCAGTGAACCATGTTGAGATTATGTCAGAATATCAGATATTCTTCTGGTACGACTACATGTACTCTACGATACCACCAACCTTACTGACTGACCAGCGGCTTCTCGATGCCGAATACTGACCACCTGGCCGTCATGAGCAGGATTGCAGTGTATGCTCGCCTCTCGAGGGAAAATGGAACTGACATTGCCGAGTCGTCCCATAGGTCGGTCGTCGCGCGCCGCATCAGGTAGGCTCGTTCCTGTGCCTCTCGAAGCGGTAACGACTGTCTGCACCTCTCGAATGAACCATTTCCAGTGAGCTGCGAACCATGGAGAGGAAGCTGCATTACGAGTCTTTGTATCTGCGCCGGTGCTCAGCAGTCGCCATGGTCACTTTGCTCCGCGCAATTCCACACGCCAGAAAGAGACGGGCAGATGTCGGTGAATAGAGTGGTTTCTACCGACTACTCACTCGGAGGTTGTAGATTCTCGCTGACCACGACGTCAGCGAGATTGATTGGGAGGGTGCAATTTGGGTCGTACCAATACTGGGCCGGCGGGAGAAGGAGAGGTGAGGATCAAAGTTGACGGTGAACCACAACTTTAAGCTTGGGTAGGTATTATCCTCCCAATCTGGAAGCTTCAAAGTTGGATATTGCCATCACCCGGGTGACGCCTGCACACATAAGTAGTGACTGTACCTCCTCTTAGATGCAAGATACAACCTGCTCGGATACCGCCTTCTCACCAACTTGACTCCCTCTTACCATATCTCCGCGAAAAGGACAAGCACTACGATGGCAGAGGCAGCTACCACTCAGAATGCAGAAGGCGTTGCGCTGGCGGAGGCGCCTGCAACCAAGAAGGTGAGGCCGGCCCACTGGATGACCTTAAAAAGGAAAGCTTTGCGGAACATGGAGACTCCTTACGACATCTTCGAAGTAGAGCAAAACGCAACTCTCACGGAAATCGAGGCGGCCTACTTCAGGAAAAGCACATGGCTCCATGCGATGTGTGACGACCAACAGGATCCACACGCGGAGGACCAGATGGAGTATCACTCACGATTGCAGACCTGCTGGGACGCGAGGCACATCTTGACAAGTCTCAGCGGTACCCAACGCGGTTTGATCGAACGAGGGCTCCGCGATATCTTGGACATGTGCCTGGAGTACAGGGACTCGCGCAAGCGCCGAAGGGAGCCTTGGAAGTTTCTCGGCATCTGGAAATCCGCCTCTAGAGAAGAGGTTGAGAGGGCGTATCTCTGGCTGACTCATGTGTGGGCGCCGTACGAGGACATTGCAGGCGTGGTGATGGCATGCATGGAGGCGGCACGAGATGCTATGCTGAGGGCTTTGGCAACTCCGGTCGAGGTTGCTCAACCACGCCGAGTGGGAAACTCACCAGGCGCAACACAGCAAGAAGGACCAAGATCGAGAGGTCCTTCTCGTCCTCAGCAAGGCGTTGCAATCCGTGACGCCGAAGTGCATTCACCACCGGCTAAGCGCAAAGCTCTCGCTGCGGAACCACCAGCGGCAGAAATACCCAGGAAAGCCTTGCGGGTATGTGCAGGAGAGCTGCTCCACGCAGATGAGTCGGCCCCATCAGCAGCAGAGAAGGTCAGTGAGGCCGCCAAGCGTGTCCCCGGTAGCGGAGAGGGTTCTGATCAATCCACTGCAGATGCAAGTCCCAGAGGGAAGATGACCGCAGAGCTGGAAGCCGCCGATGTCGAGTTCAGCGTCTTCAGGACCGAACTGAAGACAAGCAGGACGCGATCGGCAAATTTCTAGCGGTGCTGATGTCTCAGACAGCTCAGAAGTCGCTTCCATGGGCGGAGCTGAAAGCCATGCATCTGGATTCGCAGTGAATTTTTTGCGGCATGCACCAGTGACGTGCTCGTGTTATGATCGGTGTAGAAGTAGCACTTCTACGAGGAATCATCACCCTTCGAGACTCTGAAAAGAAAGCAAGTCTCTAATCACAAACTCCGCACGCCTCTCATGTCTAAGGCAACAGCAACAAAGAAGAAGCCATATCAATTCGTCGAATCGCTTCTAATGTCCGCGGACAAGAATGCCATGCCGACACGAGTGGGAATCAGATGCATGCGTCGGCCTCGCCGGCTTCACCGGACTGCTTCATTGCGGCATCAGAGTAGCATAGACTCGAGGAGCACCATCAGCAAACATACCGACGACCAGGAGGAATCGGGGCCAGGCACCCCGCGGCCGGAATTTCTTGGAGGGTTGTACCAAGGGTCAACGCCTGTGATCGAGGAGACACCAGATGGGGAGAGAAGCGATGCCAGATCAACTCCATGTCCTACCCAGCGTATTGCGAACGACGAACATACACCGCAGTCAATCCTGGAGGACGTGGGCGTCCTTCTCAGCGACATGGACCAATCTATGCCAGATGCATCACAACCAAGCCAGGCCGATGACTTTGGTGAGCAGGAACTCGACCAAAACATCATCTATTCTCCCGCCTCGACGCTCAGACGACACAATACCCTGCTTTCGAATTCTAATGCAACTTCCATCGAAGGACGAGAAGTTCGCAATGCCACGGCTAACAACCATCGAGCGCGTCTCGCAGCCAGTGAGATGCAGGTTGAGGCAGATCGAAAATGGCACGCCGAACTATTGATAGAGATGGAGCGATCGCAGGCCCAGATGAGGGCGAGAACGGCAAGACTTGAAGAGCTTGCAAAAGGCGGATGGAGGCCGATATCACTGCTGTTTGTCGCTGTGTTGTCGTTCGCGGTGCTGCTGCTGCTCATGTATGCATATTTCTGCTGGCTCCACTGGCCCGAGATGTCGTATATCCGCAGGAGAAGGCAGCAAGTCCTGGGTATGTGAGACTGCTCCTCGACGCGAGCGTGCGACATGCCTCAGGTTCTGAAGGATGCAGGTCTTGGGGGGGAGGACAAAAATTGACCATGTGAGACATGGAATCAATCACCTGACTCGACCTTTCGGTCTTATGTTTTACCCTGTTGAGACTTTGAGCCCCGTGGATATTCCTTGGCGTGGAAAGTGACTTGACTTGTCTTTGGACACACAAATAGTCCTCTCAATGAGACAGAAGACTGAGCCAGTGACTTTCCCACTCGACACGCGACACTGTGGGTTCTCCATATAGTTTATGTCGTTGGCAGTCGCATATCCTTTTTTCCTTTTTCGCGTTGTCGAATATATCTGATTCCCCCCCCTCCAGGCAGACACACTTGCAGCAGGCTGTGAGCGTAGCTACATGTACCTTGATGAAGATACATCCGAAACCCAAGACCACTAGACCACTAGATCAGACAGCCGGACAGACAAACAGCAAACATGTCTTCTTCCACCACGATGCGTTGTGAATTTTGCCGCCTTCATCGAGATGCCACCACGACACCCTGTGAGTGCCACCACCAACAAACACAGCAAGAGTCTCCCGGATTACCACCACTACCACCACCAAAAGCAATAACACGTGGTCGCACAATCCCGATCCCGATCCCGATACGCAAAGCAGCGCCCGTAGGAGTAGGAGTAATGACAACAGGTACTACTACTACTACTACCACCAAGAGAACAGCAGCAGCAGCGACAGTAGCAGGCGCTCGCAATCGGCGGCCACAAAATGTGACTTGTTCTTCAACAAGAATAAGAACAAGCTCTTCAGAATCGGATTCGAATTCGAATTCGAACAATCATGATTCTGTCTTCTCTTCCCATCATCATCATCCTAGCCCGTTGGCTAGATTTGGATATTGGCTTCGCTCAAAGGGTACTCCGCCGCATGCTTCATCTGCTTCTAGTCCAGGGTCGGCTTCGGCTTCGGCTTCTTCGTCGGAGTCGTCGGAGTCTGATGGGTTGATGTTTGATATGGATATGGATGATAATGAGGAGGAGGAGGATGGGGAGGATATCGTGGTTGCAGCATCGGCTGGTATATCGGGTTTGATGATGGCGTCTTCACCACCAGTACTACCGACACTATCACCGACACCGCCAGCGGGTAGTAGTACGCAGGTTGTTGCGGAAACTCCCCTGGGAGATGGTAGTTTGGCTTTTCAACGGGCAAATCGACAAGTCTGTTTGGATGATATGGAGCAGTCTGGTCAACATCACCATCACCACCAGAAAACTCGGCCTTCTTCTTCTTCAGTGGGTGATGGTGATTTGCCAAGAGCTGCAGACGCAGACGCGCATTTCGCTCCTGTTTTGCGTGAGGAGGAGGAGGCGACCACCACCAGAGTTCGTCAATTACGACAATCTCGAAATGCCCTTGTCGAGACGCTGGAGAGGAGTACGGCGCATGTGAATCGTCTGCAGGCTCGACTGTTGGTTTATGCGGGAGATAAATCTGCTTTGACGGAGGAATTGGGTCGGGCGAGAGTTGAGAGGGAGGAGGCGATGGTGGGTCTTTGGGGAAGGAATCGAGGTGGTGGTCGTGGTGCTGGCTTTGTAACGTGGGGAGTGGTCAGGGATGTGACAGTCTTCTTGGTGATGGGAATTGGCGTCCTGTATTCGTTTTGGTTGTGGGTTAATGAGCCGGATTTTGGATATATCCGGAGAAGGAGGGTGGAGGTTTTGTCCGAGTAGAGAAGGAGCATGGATGGATCAGTGAGATTGTTTTTTTTTCTTCTCTTTTCTTTCTTTTTTTTTATTGCGATGTGGGGGTTTGGGGATGCCAGGATCTGATAGAAGTATGTTCTTAGAGAGATAGATCTGTGTACATCAATAATAGTATGAGAAGTAGTAGTGGTAGTAGTCAGCCGAGTCAAAGAACGGTCCTGGAGACTAGAAAACAATTCAAGGGAGGCAAGCAAGTAAGCATTTGCGAGGTTTCATCAGCTTGAGGCAGCAGAACCTCTTGCTTCATTGCTGCATTTTTATTGTGGAGGTGGTATACTTGCCGTGTATATCATTCCAGCTGCCAGCTCTCCAATTAAGAAGATGTTAGGTGGCTGGCTATACCGACGAGTACAACTGTCCATAGTGCCATCCATATGCCAGAAATGCGACATATTCGTCACAAATGTAACCTTGTTGGTCCCATTCTATGCAAAAAGGCGAGAATTAGTTCTTGAGAAGCTTGCGGGACCAGTGAAGCCCGAGAGCCCAATGGAAGAGCCTGGATCAATTAGCAATGAGAGGTACCTTTTTGGAGAAAGCAATGGGGGGGAGTGTTTCTTACCTCGCATCTACAATCTTGCCATCCTCCTTGGATAGTTCTGAGACGGTTGGCATACTTCATGAGCCGCGCCACTGGGCAACAACAACGACAACATACCTTGAAGTTTCTCATACAGCTGATCAAGTGGCACAACACGGCGTTCAATGTGCTCTCCCTCGTCGAGGTGCTGTTGCGGCTCCTCGTCGCCTTCCTTGAGCTGTACCACAATCGTGACCATCTGGAGAAATTAGTTGACTGTTTCCTAGGTACCTAGTCCATCTCACACAGGACTCACCTGCATGTTGGCGTTGGTCAACCCCGGATCAGCGACGATAGTGGGACTGCAGTCAACGACCTACACTCATGTTGGCATTGGTCATACCCGGCTGGCAACTCAGCACGTCAGAAACATCACAAACCTTGCCCTCGTAGCCCGTCTCCTCCTTGAGCTCTCGCACCGCAGCTTCTTCGGGGCTCTCGCCCTCGTCGATCAGGCCCGCGGGAAACTCGACGCAGTACGCGTCCACCGGAGGCCGATATTGCAAGATGATCATCGTCTGCGGTGGCTTGTTGGGGTGGCGGAGAATCGGAGCAATGGCGACAGCGTCTACACCCCCTTTGGAACGCGTCTTGCGCGCTGCAGCTTCCCAGATGCGGTTTTTGCCATCTTGGTCGGTCCACTGACTTGAATCATCAGTAACTTGAGTTGGTTGAAAATTCGGTGCGATCAGGCGTTGATGACCTCAATCTTCCGCAGCTCCGTCCATTTTGCCTCATCCGCTGCCAAGGGACTGATGCGGTTGATCTTGGGCGCCTGAGCAGGGGACGACATGGTGAAGTGGCGGAGCAAGTGAATTGTGCGTGTGATGGGAACTTGTGGTCTCATGGACAGTCGTGGCGCAGTGAGAGTTGGGGTGGAAAGCAGGAGTAAGTGAAGGGAATGGAACGTGGAAGTTGAGTGATGGATGACGGTGACGGATGATGCGCGTCTGTCTCATTGACATGATACTAGCGTCTACTAGAAAAAAGCCAATCATAATCACTTCCACACTCACATCCCCGCCTGGCAGCCGAGGGCTAGAAACTACGTAGAAGGTATCGAAGAACCATCGAAAACATCAAGATCGAGTGCGACTGCAACAGATCTGTCTTCGGGACTAATCTAAGAAATATAAGCTGCCGAGGCAGAGCATCGTGGCGACAAGGACCCTTTCCCCTGAATCTTGGACCCCCAACCCTTGTCGGTATTTCTACACTCTAAACACGACGCCATACCTTGAAACAGTAACACTATGGTGGTCACTATGGTGGTCAACAGGACCGATCAAGGGAAACTGCAGAAGAAGACTCTCTATCAAGGGTCACAATCACGTTATGATGGAGTAAGATGTCATCAAGACTCTTCGTTCTGGATCTATGCTTCTGCAATACTGCCGACTGCAAAAAAATGCTCCAAGACGACAAGCCCCGTTATACGTGGTGCAAACTGGCACATCGTATCTTCTTACTCTCCACTGGGACCTGGTCGCATAGCCGAATATCCTGCTGGGACACCAAAGTTGGGTGTTCCATCTCCATTCCATCTGACGACAGCCGCATTCGCATATCTGCGCTCACCGCAATTGCCTCCCGAATCCGGAGTCGAGTGATATACGTTCCAGATCTCTTTGCCATCAGGACTGGTAAAGAAGGAGTTGTGTCCTGTCCCGTACTCCCCGTTGGCACTCGAGAAGTGGGGACCCGACTTCTTCCAGCTAGATGCGAGCATCGGATCTCCTCCGTTCCATTCGAGCGTCCCAATGGCATACGAAGAAGTCCAGCAGTATGATCCGGAATAGGCAATAAAGGTCTTGCCTCCGTGGTATATTGCGGACGGTCCCTCATTCACGGGGTTTCCCACCAGTTCCCAGCTTTGAGTGGGCTGCGACAACAGTTTATGCTCACCGGTTTTGACTGCACCGGTGAGAGGCGTAATGTACAAAGACTGCTTACCGCCCTGCTCGAAACCACCTCCGAGGAAAGCGGAGTACACAAAGTAGATTTTGTTGGCTGCGCGGAGAATCGTCCCATCAATAGCCCAGCCCGGAGTGGAGAGTTGTCCGGCGTAAGAGTACTTATCCCAGGGTGATAGTCCTCCTGTAAGTAAACCTCGTGTCAGCACGTCTCACGCTACTACTTGCCAGAAAGGAGATATCAGTTATCATGGCTCACCTCTGAGTACATGGGATCTCTGTTCTCCGAGAGGATTGGGGCCCGCGGAGTAGTAGATGTGCCATGCGTTGTCAACGAAATGCATCTCTGGTGCCCATACATTGCAGCATCGACTGGGCGTCGAATCCGCCCACACCAGCTTGGTCTCGCCATTCTTCAGGCCGTCGAGCGTCCTGGCCCTCGTCATGCGCAAGTCGACGAAATTCGTGGCCATCATGAAGTACCACCTTCCCGATAGAGATATATCATGTCAGCTGCGTCAATGACTTGGCGCTCTCGCGGCCTTTTGTTTTCTTTTCTTCACACTTCAATCTTACCCTTCGTGGAAGACGATGTTAGGATCTCCGCCATTGGAGGTGCGAAGAGGATTCGAGTAGGATGCTGCTGATACCACTCCAAGCATACAAGACAATACTGCGAATGCAGAGGAAAATATCGTCAACCGCATGATGATGATGATGATGATTCCCAAACGGAAAAAAAAAGATTAGTAGAATGTTGGAGAGTATAGTGATCGTTTGCGATCCAATCTCTCTTTATACGCATCTCGCCTCGCTTCGTGTATTTAGCCACACACCCCAAGGTGCAAGCCATGATAATAGAAAGGATCCCTACCCCAATTTCCGCCGCTAGGACTTTCAAACGCAGTCCCCCGGTGAGACGCGAGACGCAACATCCCCATAGACTATAGTCGATTGGTATGTGCTCTTTTTTAAGCGAACGGACCGAGTTTTCTGCACAGTCAGGTACAAGTACAAAGTACGAGTAGGTGTCTGACGGTACATGTATCGCAGTATCGATTGTATTCTCCTTAGTGCACTTTAGTCTTCACGAAACTGAGACCTTTCCAGGTCTTGGCGAAACTTTTCACTTTGCCGTAATGGGAAGGAGGGCGAAGGAATAAGATATGGTGTACTAGGTTAGGTACTCCCTCCTACTGTTACTCGGATTAACTCGTATCGAGACGTGAGATCTGAGATCAGAGGGAGAGGGGGAGAGTACATGTAACACGAAGGAAGCAGGAATATACAGTATAGATGAGTAAAATCAAACAAATGGACAATTAGAACCCGCCAGTTAGGTCGTTCAAACTTCATGAATGCCGTGTTCTTGCATATCTGTACCCTTCTTGTTTCGTAGCCATGTGAGTGAGAATCTAGACGAATACTAGGAGGTAGGGGGGAAAAAGGAGGAGGGCAGCCGGCTGAATGATCATGTTTTGACTTTTCCGGAGATATTGTTGGTAGAGTAATCTTCATTTTCCATCTTGGCTTCTTCTCGGTGGCGTTCCATGATCGCTGTCTATAGTAGTCAGTGTACAGTGAGTGAGAGAAAGACATGTAGTTCTAGAGTGACATGTGATGTTGGAAAAAGAGAAAAGTCAGGTACCTACGTGTGCCTCCTCCTTAGTAACAGGTACCTTTGTACAGTACCTAAGAATCCACAGAATCCATCATCTTGGCGCCAATAACTGCTCTCTCTCTCATTTCTCCACCAATAATCTTCCTTTTCCTCTCGTCTTTAGGCAGCCTCCGACCGAACCGACGGTTAAAAGCAATTGCTTTGCCCTCGTTTCTTTGCACTTTTGCACTTTTTGCCAAACTTGCCAATGCTCGCCATCACATCATCATAGTCCCCCATACTTCCCCATACTTCTCTTTTTATCCGGCCTCGGCAGCGGCAACGACGACGACGACGAAGACGACGACTGGGGGACAATGCCGAGTTGCAGTGCCACTGACGCATACAGTAGTAGTAGAAAGAGGAGGAGGAGGAGGAGGAGGTAGCAGCATCGCATATTCACACCATGCCAATGTATACATACATACAATCTAGCCTCATCGTGGAAATAGATCGTCAGGACTAAAAATGGCAGTGGTTTCTTCTACCTTCTATATGAACAGTCCGCTGGCTGCTTGCTATCTCTCTCTCTGGTCGCATTTTTGTCGTCGTTTGCAAAAACCTGGTGGTAGTGGCAGTTTTGGTTTTTCTTTGAGTGAAATCCAACAAAATGTATCGCTTCACGAACATTTATGTTTTGGCTGCCTTTGGCACTATTGGTGGCGGTAAGATCTTGTTTCTTTTTGAAGAATTTTGAAGAACAAAAAAGAATTGGAGACAAATGCATAGAAAGAGCTGACAATGGCTTCCAATCCCAGCCCTCTTCGGTTTCGATATCAGCTCCATGAGTGCTTGGTTGGGGACGGAACAATATACGACCTACTTCAACCATCCGGGTTCTGATCTGCAAGGTGGTATCACTGCATCGATGAGTGGAGGATCACTACTTGGTGCTCTCCTTGCTGGTTTCAGTGAGTTTCTCCTCCTCCTCCTGTTGTCCACAAAAAGGAATATTTCCCAATGCTCAACGACTCCGTACCATAGTTGCCGATCGCCTAGGACGGAAAATTGCCCTCCAAATTGCCTGCGTCATCTTCGTCGTCGGCTGCGCCATCGTGTGCTCTTCGCAAAACGTGGGCCAACTCATCGCAGGAAGAATCGTCAATGGATTCTCGATTGGAATTTGCTCGTCACAAGTCTGCGTCTACCTTGCCGAACTATCCCCATCAGCCATTCGAGGAAGAATTGTAGGAATTCAACAATGGAGCATCGAATGGGGCATCCTCATCATGTATCTGATCTGCTACGGATGCGCGCAGACAGTCGAAGGACCAGCTGCTTTCCGCATCGCGTGGGGCGTGCAAGGTTTTCCCGCCATCGTCTTGTTCCTGGCACTATTCTGCTTTCCCGAGTCTCCGAGATGGCTCGCAGCAAACGAGCGCTGGGAAGAATGTCTCAGCGTGCTGGCGGATTTGCACGGTAAAGGAGATCGATCCCATCCTGTCGTGCTGGCCGAGTTTGAGGAGGTACAAGAGGCGCAGCGCATTGCAGCTCAGGCTGCAGGAGTGGGCTTCCTGAGTCTCTTTGGACCAAAAATCTGGAAGAGAACTTTGGCTGGTACCTCTGTGCAAGCTTGGCAACAATTGTTAGGTGGAAATGTCGCCATGTACTACGTCGTGTACATTTTCCAGATGGCAGGCCTCTCTGGTAAGTACCTAGTGATCACAACTGCAAACGACTTTTAAAGGGGGGAGGGGGGGAAATAAATATTCACTTGAGAAATCCCCGCTAACGGCATATGGCTACGTGATGTACCAGGCAATACCAACCTCTATTCTTCCGCCATCCAATACGTGATCTTCCTGGTCACGACGGGTGTCATGCTCCCCATCATCGATCGTGTCGGTCGCAGACAACTTCTCCTCGGCGGTGCAGTGACTTGTATGACGCTTCACTTCGCCACCGCGGGCGTCATGGCGACCTATGGAAGACCTGTGCCCGAAGTATTTGGCAACGCCAATCTCCGTCTGGAACTCGATCCCACTCCCGGAAAAGCAGTGATTGCTCTGAGCTACATTTTCACGGGTATTTATGGCCTCACTTGGGCTCCGACGGGCTGGATCTATTGCTCAGAGGTATTTCCTCTGAAATATCGTGCCAAAGGTGTTGGTCTGTCTGCTGCTACGAATTGGTACGTGTCTTCTTTTTCTTTTTCTTCTTCCCTCCCCTCCGTTTATCAAATACCTATATATACACCTATGCTAACAACCATGTGAAAAGGGCCTTCAACTTCGCCCTCGCCTACTTCCTCCCGCCCGCCTTCAAAAACATCACCTGGAAAACGTACATCATCTTCGGCATTTTCTGCTTCGTCATGACCTTTCACATCTTCTTCACCTACCCGGAAACCGCGCGAAAGACTCTCGAGGAAATTGACTTATTGTTCGATTCCAAAATCCCCGCATGGAAATCTGCGGGAGTAAAATCTAATTCTCTCGAAACGCGAGCTGCTGAGATTGAAAAGGGGAGTGTGAATGATGATGATGATGATGTGGTGGAGAGAACAAGGGGGCGGGATGGTGAGAAGAGGCAAGTTGTGCGGCAGGTGGAGCATGCGTAGAAGCTCCCTCTCTCTCTCAGTAAGTAAGTAGGTAGCACATAGACATGGAATGAATGAGTCTCCCGCTTCGCGTAGCTGCATTCAGATAGTTCTCATATATTCCATTTATATTTACCTCCTTCGTTATGCCACCCGCCCATTTTTTGTGATTTTAGTAAGGTAGGTAAAGTAGTAAAGTACCTAGCCTAAAGTTGTTGCTCTACATCTCGCATTCAACACCATTTCTCGTGGAACCTTGATATATCTTAGAACCTCCCTCTCTCCCCCCTCATCTGGGATTATGCTACAACGTCTATGGGAATGGTGGATGCAAATTCCAGCTCCGTTTGATATAGACATGGACTTTTCCATTCCCAAAGACGGCGGCGAGCGAGTGCTTGGAAACCTTTGGTCTATTGCTCGATGAGATCGCAACATCTGAAGCATTGGTAACAAGAAAAAGGAGGAGGAGAAGGAGGAGAAGAAGAGTCAAAAGAACAAATCCCCCCCCGGCAAATTGTCAAGAAAAGAAAAACAGTTCATCGTTTAAGAAAGTAATATAGAATATACCATTCAAACTTCTACAATGAAAAAAGTTCTAGTCTAGTCTAATCTATATTGAAATTCTTCAAAACCCATCATAAGACACCAGACTGATGCAAAATTTCAAAGTCTTATCATTCATCTCATACACAAGCTTTTTGGTTGGGTTCTTTCCGCTCCATCAATGCCATCCACTCAACAAGACTGATCAAGAACAAAGGAAAATAAAAATATAATCTACTCCTACAGAGTGCTGCAGAGCACGATGACTGGGAAGCCAAAGATATGCTTGATGCAGAAAGGACCGTGACCGCCGTATGGCGCAGGTGCTGGATCGCTATATTGAGTAGGTGCTGGAGCGCTATATGGAGTAGGTGCTGGAGCGCTATATGGAGCAGGTGGCGGAGCGCTATATGGAGCAGGTGGTGGCGGGGCAGCTGCAGCGCTTGTGGTGGCGGAAGAGGGCTTGGTGCTCGTAGCAAAGGTGGTAGGGATCGGTACAGCGTCGGTAAATCCGAGGGAGAGAGTGGTCACGCTGTAAGCGAAGTTGGAAATGGAGAGCGATGGGATCGGAACTCCGGGGACGACGGTGACGGTGAGGACTGGAAGGCCCGAAGATGTGGTACTGGCACTCATGGTGGTACTGCTCGCTGATTTGCTCGAAGGAACGGTTGCGGTGGTAGAAGAAGTGCTAGTCTTGGGGGCAATGGTGGAAGGGGCAGTCGTGGAAGAGCTGGTGCTCGTGGAAGAAGAGCTTGCTGTCGAAGCCGACGAAGATGAGGTGCTTGAGGCGACAGCACTGGAGGAAGAAGAGGTCTTTGTCGAGGTGCTCGGGGCCACGGCGATGGTGGAAGAAGAGGTCTTTGTCGAGGTGCTGAAGGCAACGGTGCTGGTGGAAGACGAGGTGCTCGGGGCGCCAATGCTGGTAGAAAAAGAAATCTTTGTCGAAGGCAAAGATAAGGAGATGCTCGAGGGAATAACGCTGGTAAAAGGCAAGCTGCTCGGGGCGCCAATGCTGGTCGAAAAAGAAATCTTTGTCGAAGGCAACGATAAGGAGATGCTCGATGCAATAGCGCTGGTGAAAGAGTACATGCTCGGGGCCACAGCGATGCCGGAAGACGAGGTGCTCGTAGCGGAAGACGAGGTGCTCGTGGCGGCAGTGCTAATAGAAGACAAGGTGCTCGGGGCGCCAATGCTGGTGGAAAAAGAAATCTTTGTCGAAGGCAAAGATAGGGAGATGCTCGGGGCAACAGCGCTGGTGAAAGAGTACATGCTCGGGGCCAAGGCGATGCCGGAAGAGGAGGTTCTCGTAGCGGAAGACGAGGTGCTCGTGGACACAGCGCTAGTAGAAGATGAGGAGGTGCTCGAGGCTACAGCGCTGGTGGAAGACGAGGTGCTCGAGGCAACAGCGCTGGTGGAAGAAGATGAGGTGCTGGGGGCCACAGCGATGGTGGAAGACGAGGTGCTCGTGGCGACAGCACTAGTAGAAGACGAGGAGGTGCTCGAGGCAACAGCGCTGGTGGAAGACGAGGAGGTGCTCGAGGCAACAGCGCTGGTAGAAGACGAGGAGGTGCTCGAGGCAACAGCGCTGGTGGAAGACGAGGAGGTGCTCGAGGCGACTGCGC